GTAACTTGACTTTGACTTCTGTTCATGTCTGTACCGATGGTTATTGGAGCTTAGGCACTTCTGAACCGGACATTTTAACATCACCGGATCAATTTGACTCTCTAAACCGATCGACAATAATTGCCCCATTAGTTCTATCAGGTGAGAGGCAATATGAGGACACGATGGTGTTCACTCAATTTCAATCTAATACAGTGTCTGGAATTGTTCATCCCCAACACCCTGAATTCAATTGTGATTTTCAGTTGTACACTTCCCCAAACCTTAGTCCAAAAACCGTCTATTTGAATCTTTACAAAGATACGAACTACGCCTCGTCTGGACAAAGTAAGGTGTATGTCCTGATAATTTATGGTAGAAGAAGACATGAATACTTCTGGACAGTAGATAAGACGAGGAATAAATGGACCAGGAAACAGTAAGTTGAGTAAATCTTGATTTAAATTAACAAACATATTTTAGCGCTGGGAGCAGTTGTTTTTTTACTAGTACCTTGAGAAACCAATTGTTTTTTTTCTATTGTTTCGAGTCTAGTCGCTGCGTGAGAGAACCTTCAAGATAACAGAATTGATCAAAATTTACAGCACTACAGTGACATAAACTGCGTGCATTAAGTTCTGACAACTACTCAAAAAAAAACATATGTTTATCTGTTATGGGCGAAAAATTGAGTATACGCGAAATAAAAAAAAACTCGCTGAAACCTGAGAAGACAAAAAATTACAATTAATCAACGCCTGCTTCGCTTCTCTCCATTGTCCTTACCTTACATTTGGCTTGGGACGCATGTTGTGCTTGGTCAAGAGTTTGCGCTAATCTTTACTGCTATACGTAAAATTTAAGCAGAGACTTAAAGTTACAATTTCTGAAACTTGAAAGGAGCAAAATTTATAGTTCCTTGTCCCGCATGTTATCGCATGTAATGACATGTGTGCTCTCAGTTTTCTCCATATTCAGCAAACGGTCCACATCGGTTAGGGAAAAACCAGTAAAATTTTGTCTGTTTTTCAAACAAATGAGTAGGCGTACACTGTAGGTTGGTCTCAATTCTTCTGCGAATAAATTTTTTAAAAAAAAATATTTTTATTAAAAGTGGCAAAATTTTCTATTTAGATCCTCGTTTCGAATTGCCAGGGTTCATGTGCTAGAATCCCTGACCAGCGGTGTCACAATTGATAACAACAATTACTGGCTGATGGAACTAGATCAAACCGGAGCTGGACCATTGTAACTCTAATTGGAGTCACAACGCCTGCAACAACCACTGCCGAGGCTATGACGACTCCGAAACACACGACACCCACGACAACACCAGAATCTACGACTTCTGAACCTACGATAACATTAGAACATACAACAACACTGGAACCAGAAACCACGACTCAAAAAGCTACGACTCTAGAGAAAAAAGCAGAAAAAGAGAAACGAAAACAAGAAAAAAGCAGAAAAGAGAAAAAAAAGGCACAAAAAGAAATAGTAACACGACAAAAAGGCAAAAAGGGAAATAAACAATAAAAAGTTTAAAAAGGCACTTATGAGTCACTAATGTATCAAAGACTGATTTTTCTGGAAGGAGATTTAAATTGAAAGAGATTTCCCATAGGAGCTAGTCTCAAGCAGCCAGCGAGGATTCTGGAAGCAGCATTAGTTTTATACGTTTTTTGTTGAAATATGTATCATAAATACTAAAATGATGTAATTGGTAATAACTAAAAATTATAAACTGATGTTCATTAATTGTGCTTAGCTGTCTGAAATTATCAGTTTGATAATTGCTGTGATGAAAAGTGAAAGTGGTTAGTTCTTTTGAGGGTTGAAATTTTTTGAATTATTGGATAAATGAATGATTTTTATCCACAGAGAATTCTGAAAATGCAATATCATTTGTTAAAAAAGAATAATATTTAACAAAATTTTGCATCATTTATTTTTTGTTAGTTGACAGCCAAAGTTGTTTTTCATAAGCAAATGTTTTCAAATTGGGCTAAAAAGAAAATCAAAAGTAAGTTGCAAAAAAATCAAATTTGAGAAGTATAAACTTTCAGGTTTTTTTTTGAAAAAAAATAGGACGATTGTTATATAATGGTCTTCACCACGTTCACTGACGCCTAAAAACAGGGCTTCAATAAGGAATTTTTTCATAAATACTTTATCAACCTTTTTCTTTCATTGACTTTTTATCAATTCATGAAAAATATCTACGCTTAAAGGTCTAAATGCGCGCCTACCTACCTTTATATAATGATATTTTGATCGATGAACTCATAGCCAAATAGCAGTGTTCAAAAAAGCATGATTCTGTTGTGTTACAACGGGTGATAGGGACTCAAAAAATGATTTAACCATGTAATCATTTGCACAATAATGAATAGCTTAGCAAACAATTTTCATTTTAGTCAAATGCGACGAATTTGTGTCAAAAACTTTAACGGAGAGGCGAAGTCTAGACATTACAATATAAGAGAGCCTCTTAGTTGAAAAAAAAAAATTGAAAACTTTGAACACACTAGATCCATCAACATGAATATAGTTAGTTTTCAAGAACAACATGCTAATAAAAAAGAAAGCAAAATTATCATCGCGAAACAATTTAACAAGCGCTAAGAAAGCCAAAAACACCTGAGTACCAACTCTTCGCTGAAAAAAAATTGAAAAGACATGAAAATTATTTAAACTAATAGGGTTCCCCTCAAACTCAACACACACACACACACACACACACACACACACACGCGCAAAAACTTAATAAAATTGATTGAAAAAAATGGAGAAAACGGAAAAAAAATGCAAAAAAAAACAGTCAAAAAACACAATGACCAATCAAAAAAAAGCTTTTAGCATTTACCGAGCGCCCACTGAGATAACAACAAATGGTAAGCAGCCCCCGGAAACAAAAAATGCCACAAGTAATTGTTATATAAAAAATCGATTAATTTATTTTTAAAACTTTGGAAGCTTGCAAAACGAAGTACCATTTTTCTCTAAAAATATTCATTCAATTTTTTCTTCTTGAATTGACGCAAAATAAAGTAACCGAGCCAATAAATTGCAAGACGGAATCATTTAAACAGAATAAAACTTTTTAGCGAAAATAAAAGCGGAAAACAAAACCAAGGAAAAAATAAAACGTCTGGTTTATTATAATTTAAAAAAATACAGAAGTAAACCAAAAACACTCGTCTTTACGTTAAAAAACGCTCGTGTTTACTGTCAGTTCAAAAAAAATTTCTGATGCGGCAACTAATACACAAATTATCAGCAAACAAACAAAAATCCGACAAATCAATTTTTGCAGGGTTCTTTTTCCATTTTTCTATATTAAAAAAAGGTCCTCCTGGGACTCGAGCCCCATACCCTAGGGTAAAAAAACAACAGCGTTACCACTATGCCAAGTGAGGATTAGTCTTGAAATTACTGAGCTAATAGAGCAACTTTACAGTTTCTCGCAAATTTGTAAAAGTTGTTTTTTAGGCGAAGTCTAGTTTCCGATTACGAGCTACTTGGTCTGACAAAGGTAACCAAATTGAGTAGGCAAAATTACAACCAACATGAAAAATTCTGCAAATTTGAAAAATGACGTATATTTTAAACGTTATTATGCTCCGATTATGTCTGCTGCAGCTTCTCTATTAGAGATGACCAAAAAATGCGTCATGAGAACAAAACGAAGACGAGTCGTGGAAAAAACTTTAGTACCTGGTTATAAAACACTTGCTACCGCAAGTGAAGCAAAAGGGAGCTGCAATTTAGTAAACACAAGCGGAAAGCGGCAAAAAATTCAGAAGTTTTAAAAAGCACAAAGACACCAAAATTTGCGTGGTAATTGAAATGTAAGATACTAAAAGCAACCACACTAACTCTGCTTTTTTAAAATCGGAATGTATAACACCAAAGTGCGTAAAATTGAATTTTTCAATTTTTTTAAGAATGTTGGAAAAATCCTAAAACCGAATTTCAAATAATTTATTGTTCTAGGAAACAAACTGTTTTTTTCCGGTTCATTTGATAAATTAAAAAAAGCATCAACTGTGCTAAAACATTATTAATCAAATGTTGAAGAACATGTTATTATACTGATTTTGCTGCCTCTGCTCCTCTCAAAGTGTCTCAAAAGCAGCACTTTCAAATTGGAAAATGCGCCACCAAAAAAAGCACTTTTTTGCTGCTCGTGTCAAAAAAATTGCATTTTACACTCGCACTACGCTCCGCTTGAGTCTCTAAGCCATGTGGTCTGTACCAGGATACGAGAAGCTAAATACATCCCTTTGCAGCTTTTTCTGTTTTTTTTTCCTTTTTTGCTTGTTAATTATTTTTCAAAGGCAACAAAACACATGCTGTCAATTATGCACATTTCACTAATGTTTTATGTGCTCGTATAATTCTCTTTCAATTCCATTTCTGCTTTCTTGGTTTGATTTTCACTTTGTTTGAATCATGAACTTAATTTATTTTCATATTGCCTGCATAAATCTTCGTGAACTTCGCTGATTTCTGTTTGAAAGTAACACTTTTATTTGCAACTTCAGTTGAAAAAAAAAACAAGTAGCATCGTACTATGACACTGATATCCGCTTTTGTAAATATGACACAATATCCGACTCTGTGATTCTATCATTGGCAGGGGCGGATCTAGGATTTTCTCGAGGGGGGATTTTCAAAAAAAAATTTCGAAATTTTGTTGACCTTTTTTTAGGTCGACCAAATTGATTTTCCGAGCTCTCCCAGAAAAATTTTAGGGCGCCTTCAGAAAAATTTTAGGGTCCGTCAAAGTCAGCCAAAAATGGATATCTCAAAATAGTTCAAAGGGGGGACCTTTTGGGTCGGCAGGGGGTCAAACCCCTAAAGGAGAAAGAAACGTCTACCCCCCCCCCCCCCCCCCCCCAATCCGACCCTGATCGTTGGAATTCCTAAAATCGAAATCATGACCTGAAATGTAATCACGCACAAGGTGACTCCACTTCAAGTTAGTGACCTGATCTGGGTAAGATTTTAAAAAGAAATTGTAATATATATCTGTAAATTAAGCTAAATAGAGCCAAACAAGGAGAAAGGAGCACTCAGGTTCCAGCTAAACAAGCATGTCAAATCATCAGAACTATTTTAGCCAAACGAGAGAAACTCATACAATAGCAATCAATCAGTCTGCAACCAGACAAATCGCGCGGGAGAGACGCTCAAACGCTACAAAACATGCTATCAGAGTTATCGCTGCATCACTCAAGTTTTGTAACAATTTTGAATCAATTTCAATTCTCATCAAGGACTCATGTTGTTTCCAGGGAGGCCTTAGGAGGCGGCATTCCTTTGGTGTCCCGAAATCAGTTTGTTTTGGGTCTCCGAGAAAAGGCATGACTGTAGAAATTGAGAAGAAGAACAGAGTGATTTTCGCGAGTGTCCAAATTTGAAGCGGAGGTCTCGATCAACCGGGGCAGAGAAGTCCTACAAGTTATTATGGATGTTTTAAAATGGAATCTTAATTGCCCAATTCTGCAACAAACTAGTTCAATTTTTTAAGTTTCCGAGATCAATATTAGCCATCAAATTCAATTCAAAAATACTATTCTATTTTGCACTCTTCAACTTACACATTTGACCTCCTGTGAATTAAATTGCATTTTCAAAATGAAAGCTTAATAATACCTGCCTTAAATTGTAGCAGGTGAGATGTATCGGAGTAACTCGATCTGAATAGCCTAGTATCCAATGACGTCATGATGAGTGTGGATCAACCGAAGCTCAACCTCCTCTACTCGTATGGCTCTAGTTGATGGTAAAGTTGATGGTAGATAGATTGTTCTAGAAGTAGTTGGTCCCTAAAACCGTTCAAAAAGAGCTACTATCAATCATATTAATTAAGATGGCAATTAAGAACTAGTATATATTCTGACCTCTAAAACTTTGAACTGTACTTATGGTTCATAAAAAGCATTCACGGAAAAAGTAGTCTTATTAATAGTTGCTTCATGACATCAATGAAGTTTTTCTAGGATACAGAACGGCAGAATTCAAAGTTCTTCGAACTATTACCTTCACTTTCGCCAGAATGAAGGTTCCGCCTGACTGGAGAACATTTTCTGTCCGGAGCTCACCTGGACAAATCGCAATAATGGTTAAAACTTCAATTATGTTTGCCTATTCTCATTAAAACATTACATTGAATTATTCCACATAGAAATATATACATATATTAAAAAAAGGATAGCCGGTTGCTGAGCATGTAGCACAGAATGTTCCGACCATATTCATAAAAACTACAAATGAACGTTTTTCAAATGATTAAGTTCTTCAAATTATTGTCCTTTTCCGTATGTGGTGTGATGATAAAACTTTACACACGCGTAAAAAGTTGGTAAATTAGACATACTAGACAGCAATTGTCTTAGAAAAAGATTTTAAAAAAATTGAAATTTTTTTTAAACAATATTTTTTTCATTATTTTTTTTTAAATTTATTGCCAGGGAAGTGCCAAATTGTTTCCGTTTGAAAACTTTTTTTAGTCTAGATGACCAATTTAACAATTTATTTTAATTAAACGAAAAACCAAAAATTCAAACCAGTTTTTCTCGACACTGAGAGTTTTTTCGACACTTTTAATGTCGTTCGAATCACGACTGAAAGTGCTTTAAGAATATATATCACTCAACCCAGTTAGATGATTATTTGTGGTACCTGATTTTGAGTAAAAAAAAGATAAAATTATAATACACCCGAATACAAATTTCAATGGTCGAAACAAAAAAGGAAACCAAAAATTCAATCTGGCGTCAGTTTAAGTTCTAACGTAGACCATTTATAAAAATCACAGCTGCAAAATTATTTGGCATGAAGAAAAACACGTGACCGAAACTTCAGAAGTAGTACTCACTTTTTCGATTTTGAACTTGCGACTTCCCTCCTTGTCTTTTCCCTTCTCCAGCTGGGATATTTTGGCAGTCTGCCAGCATACTCCAGCCGAGTTCTGTATCTTACACATGTACATTCCACAGTCTCCCTTGCCAATCTTGCTGATCATGAGAGTCGAGTAGTAGTCCGAGTTCTTGACGTTAAGACGTCCGTCTACCGAGGTCGCTCTCAGCTCCACGTTTCCCTTCATCCATTGGAACGTACCCATGGGTTGCGCCATGGCCGAAATCGAAAGCACAGCGCTTCCGTTTTCACTCACCACGAAATCTTCCATCGTTGAAATGATCTTCGGTGGCACTTCGACTGTGAAAGATGAACTCTTCTCAATTGAAGTCACACTCTCGCCCGAGCTAGAACTGCTCTTGGTCATCTTAGTATCCATGCTCAAAGTCATTCGAACATGTTTGAACTTGCCATGTGTGTGTTTCTTGGACGATGGTATCTTTCTGACACGGGTCACAACGTCCTTTGAGATAGCTCCAGCATCTTGAAGATCTCCCAACGTGATCGACTCCGGATCGCTACTATTGCTATCTGCCTTGTAAGTCGTTGTTTGGACTCGTTCTGGCTTCATTCGTCTCGACTGGACTCTTTGAATAGATTTAATCGGAATCGATTCGTTTAAGTCGCTGCACAAGCTGCTGCTTGAGCTGGAATCAATTAGTTCCAAGCACTGTTCCGACAACGCAGGAGAAATCAGTTGCTGTTCATTATCGGAAGCATCTACTTTAATTGTCACTCTTTTTCTTTCTGTCAATGGAACCCAGACTGTTGCATCCATAAGCACCTTCTTGTAAGGAGACACGCCTCGTTTCGGAGTGTCGAAAGGCGAGTTGTTTCGACTCGAATCGCTTTCGCTGGAGTAACGTGTAATCAACATTTCTTCTTCGGTTAGATATCGAATGTGATCTCTGATTGAAGCTCGCTCGCAGGACATCGTGAAAAAGTTACAGGTTCCAGAGTCAAGTGAGATCTCCTTCGCCTCTTTGTTACTCATAATTTCAGTGAATATTTTAGGAGCTTTCGGAATTTCCGACAACTCACTGGTCTTTTCGTGATAGTCTACCATGTTGGCTCTCGGCAACCAGTTAAATGCAAGGTCTCTCTTCTTTCGCATAGTTGATACTTCGTTTGAAAAAGAGTGGAGACCACCCGAGGCTGACGACTCGTGCTCGCTGAAAGTGTTCATGCTATTGTCGCTTCCGTGTCGGTCGATACTGGGCACATCGTCCAAACTCACAGCCTCGCTTACAGTGGTATGACTAACGACTGGTCGTAGCGCATCGCTTGCGCTCTCGGCTGTTCGGTAACTCACACTTGGTGTCGATTCGTTGCATGTCTTGTAGCTCTCGCTGTCACTCATTACACTTTCAGAAACGTCTTCATTTGATGCAAGCTTCGCGATTATTTCTTCATCCGAAAGAGTTCGCACGACTTTGATGTTGACTTGGTCGCCAATTTTACTTCTCTTCGAGTCCCTAAAGGCCGAGTGCCTGGAGTGCTTCTTGTGTTTTCGATTCTTGTGAATGTTGATGATTTCCTGCTCAACTATGATGAAACTCTGAGGTCTAGGCATCTTAATTCGTCTCTGAATATCACTTTCCTCAACTTGCTCTTCAAAAGTAGTAACTTCCACTTTTTCATCACAAGCCACGACTTCTGAATCTGAGTAGAATTGTCTAGCTCGGCAAAGGTACTTCTCTAGATCCGAGATACTTTCTGTTTCTGAGTCAACAGGTGTGATCGATTTCCCGATAGCTAGCTTCTCAACTAACATCACGTGACCTCGGTTGTTGACCGACTCAGCTGTTTTCGCTACACCTTCCGCGGATTCGGTTGTTATTGACAAATCGTTCAGACTCCCGTCTTGGAATTGAGAAACCGTTTCTTTCGTCAAAGAAGATCCGATTCGCTTCGAGTTCGAATCATCAAAGTCAAAGTGCTCGTTACCACTCATTGCACTTCCAGCTTCCGACAACTTTTTACCGGACCTTTCTTCGGGAGTTTCAACTGGAAGGGATCCAGACAAGTTGTTTTCCAGCTGCTCCAGTAACAGATGCGCAGGTAATAGGGCTTTCTCGTTCTCAGGTGCAAACTTCTCCGAGATGTCATCGTCGCTGATTTCTTCTTCAGTTGAACTATCTGGTTCCTGCGGCATTTCAGGTACACGTTCCAAACAATCATCTTCATCGACCATTTCAACGTCAGAATCCTCGATTTCGGCAAAATCATCATCATCAATTGGTTCCGGTAGTTTCTCCTCAATTGGATCTTCAACAGTTCCCAAAGGAATGTCTCTATCTATTAAGGACAAATCTGGCCTATCGATTATGTCGAAGTCTTCTTCTAATAGAGATTCGTTAGCTTCGATATTAGAGCTCTCTTGTTCGGGAGCTGAATAGTCCACAATTTCAAATTGCTCTTCCGCTGCTTTATCTTCAGGAGCATCCTCAAACAACTCATCTGATGCTGAACTGCTGCTTGAAATTCCAATGCTAGTAAAGTCATCTTCAGAAACCTTTTCATCGCCAAGGGTCTTCTCAAAAACAGGTTCTTCGCATTTTTCATTCTCGACAAAAGGCTCTTCAATATCAGCAAAATCTTCCAAGGATTCTTCAATTATCGGGAGCGCTTCAGTTTCCAGCGCAGGAAGTGGGTCCATTTCTGGCTGTGCGCTTGCTCCAGCGCTAACCATTTGTTCAATTTCCAAATCTGAAGGCTCCAGCATTTTTGTGACGGACTCTATCAATGATGCAGATCCACTAACGAAACTGGAAGCAATTCCTTTGGCAACTTCAACAACTAGCGAAGATTCTTGAATCACCGGCTCCTGGAAAGTGACCACTTCAGGTTCTTCGACATTTTCTACAATCGGTTCTTTGATCTGATCATTCTTTGGTTCCTCGTAACTCATAACTTCTCCAGTTTCAGATATTTTATTTGCTTCGGACTCTGCAATCTGCTCCTGGCACATGAGGTTTTCCATTGCAGCGCAGAGCTCACTGGGTTCCAACTTAACCTCAGACTGTGCCTCAGGAGTTAAGAAGAGATCCTCAATGGGAGATCCAGATACAGAAGACATCGATCCACCAACACTGCTTGCAAGCTCAACTTTATCGCAATCAATTGTTTCTTCAGCTGTCTCGTCTCTGGAAACTTCCTTGACAGGTGATTTTTGTTCGACTCCAAATGGTTCCATTTCACCTATTACTTCCTCCTCAGTTTTGTTTTCAGTGTTTTTCATTAAATCGACAAAAGACTCATCAAGTTTTGATTCAGATTTTTGATCGTGAGAGTATTCAAAGCTTGTAATTTCTTCAACCGTGCAACTCAGCTCTTGTTTTTGGTTTGCTAAGTCTTCGATATTCTCAAATGCTATTTCTTCAGACACGGAAGAGGTCTCAGCAACATCAACATCAGCGCTATCAAGTTTAGCAACTGCAATTTCGGATTCTTTAGCAACAACTTCAGCTGATTCCTGATCAACAATGGTCTCGTTCAAGTCTTCAATTGATTCCCGTGCATCGATATGAGTAAGTTCGGGTTCCTTCGATTCCACTTCTTGTTTCAAATCTTCAGTTGGTTCTGATTCAGAAATAACCGGAGCTTGCATAGCCAGAGACTCATGAAGACTCTCCGCCGAAGAATCCAATGACATGTCTTTGAATTCTTGTTCGACATAGGTTTCGGATACACTTTGCTCTTCCATCATCTGCTCTGAACTTGTTTCATTAACAAATTCAGAAGCACTGATAGGCAAGGTCGTCATATCTTTTTCAACGACCGATTCTTCGCCTTCATTATAGCTTTCAGAGAAATTGTTCGACGGTTCAGTGCTTGATAAAATGCAAGAAGCGGTTGCTTCATCATTAAAGTCGTATACTCTATCTTCGGTCTTAATGGCAGGGTGCGCCTCTTCAACAGAGTTGATTTCTTCAATTGAAGATGATAAGCGTCCTTCGGAAACTTCATCTGCCTTTGCCATTACCAAGGAGAGGTCCGCATAAGTAGTAATTTCAACTGCAGATTCTGATTCATCTACTGAAGTTGCCATTTCAACTTGCTCAGTTGAGATTTCTTCGGTTTCTGCGATTTCTTCAACCTTGTCAAGAGAATCGGTTTCTTGAGGCATAGAAGCATTCAAGACCGAATCAACTTCAGCGCTTTCAAGTTCAGCAGCTGCAATTTCGAATTCTTTAGCAACAACTTCAGCTGATTCCTGATCGACAATGGTCTCGTTCAAGTCTTCAATTGATTCCCGTGCATCGATATGAGTCAGTTCGGGTTCCTTCGATTCCACTTCTTGTTTCAAATCTTCAGTTGGTTCTGATTCAGAAACAACCGGAGCTTGCATAGCCACAGACTCATGAAGACTCTCCACCGAAGAATCTAATGAATTGTTTTTTATTTCTTGTCCGACATAGGTTTCGGATACACTTTGTTCTTCCATCATCTGCTCTGAACTTGCTTCATTAACAAATTCAGAAGCACTGCTAGGCAAGGTTGTCATATCTTTTTCAACGACCGATTCTTCGCCTTCATTAAAGCTTTCTGAGAAATTGCTCGACGGTTCAGTGCTTGATAAAATGCAAGAAGCGGTTGCTTCATCAACAAAATCACATACTCTATCTTCTGTCTTAATGGCAGGTTGCGCCTCTTCAACAGAGTTGATTTCTTCAATTGAAGATGATAAGCGTCCTTCGGAAACTTCATCTGCCTTTGCCATTACCAAGGAGAGGTCCGAATTAGTAGCAATTTCAACTGCAGATTCTGATTCATCTACTGAAGTTGCCACTTCAACTTGCTCAGTTGAGATTTCTTCGGTTTCTGCTATTTCTTCAACCTTGTCAAGAGAATCGGTTTCTTGAGGCATAGAAGCATTCAAGACGGAATCAAATTCAGCGCTTACAAAATCAGCAACTTGGAAATTCAATTCCTCTGCAACAGATTCAACCGCTGCCTGGTCTACAATAGTTTCGCTCAGTTCTTCAGCTGGTTCTTGTGCATCTACAAAAGTTAACTCTTCTAATTCCCGGGGCACCGAAGTTATCTCAGCAAAATCAACATCGGTGCTCGCAATGTCAGCGACTGGAACTACAGATTCATTCGGAGCTAGTTCAATTGCTGTCTGGTCAACAATTTCTTCGTTGAAATCTTCGCTTAACTCAAAAGAATCTAAGTGAGTCAATTCGGGTTCTTTCGACTCAAATTCTTGTTTCAACTCTTCAGAAGCTTCAACATCAGTGATTACTGAAGTCTGATCTGCCGTCGAGTGATAGAGACTCTCAACCGAAGAATCCATTGATGCTTCCTTATCCTGCTCTTCGACGAATGATTCAGTTAATTTGTGTTCTTCCAGTTGCTGGACTGGCAACAATTCACTCAAAGATTCGGTCGCAATTATCGACTCGGGTGTCAAATCGCTTTCTAGAATTTCTTCAGGTTCTTTTGCAATTTCAGAGAAATCATCAGATGGCATAACGGTCGATAAAACACAAATAGTCGCTGCTTCCTTGCTTAAATCGGCTGCATGATCTTCGGTTTTTAGAGCAGGCACTGTTTCCTCAATAGCGCTAATTTCTTCAATTGAAGATGTAAGACAGGGTTCGGATTTTTCTTCTGATTTAGCCAAAGCCATCACAGATTCTCCGTCGCTAGTTTTGTCCAATTCATCAACATTAAGTGACTGTGCAACTTCGGATTTGATTTCTGAGATATCTCGAGCTTGCTCAGCATCCTCTTCCATTGCTTGGACAAAATTCTCGGAGCTTTTTTCATGAACATTCACATTTACTTCAACAACTGAACTGGATTCCTTGACAATTTCTCCATCAAAAGCACAGGTCTCCGCTACTGAAGATTCTAAAAGACTGGAGTCTAAATCTTCGGCGAATGACTCAATGCTTTCAATATTCTCTAAAACTGAGCTATTCAGCACAGGAATAGTTTGCTCACTCGCAACGCAATTAGTCTCTTGTGTGACAGCTTCCTCAAAAGTGCATTCTTCGTCATTATCGGAAACCGTATCATTTATATCATTGCAGAAATCGAACTCCGGAAGTTCTGCACTCGCAGCAACGCTATCTACAATTTGCTCTACCGCTGAGCTCTCAAGAGGTTCTTGTTGAGTAGTGACATCATTTTGATCGACAAATTCAGCAATTGGCGAATTCAAATTCTCGTAAGGCGAACTGGGTTCAGGTAGATCTTCTACAACTTCAGCGGCACATGACTCGACTATTGGTTCTGCAGCAGTCGCTGTCTGCAAACTCGTCACGGATGTCGAAGCGGTGATAGTATTTAGAGATTCCCGGCTTGACAATGCCTCTTCTGAAATGGTTTCAAGACTCAGTTGCATCATTTGTCCAGACATAGGCTGGCATAGACTGTGGATTTGGTTGCATTCAGGCATCTCGGAGTTCAACTCCAGAGGCGCTTCTTGCTCTGTGACCGAGCTACTTGTCGTTTCACAGTCGTCTAAGTTGTCGTACGATGACGCAGGACTCGCTTCGTTGCTTGCAGCATTAATTTGAATCTGGATTCCAGAAGCAATAGATTCCTCGTATAAAGGCAAGCATTCGTCTTCCTGAATTTCAGCTTGATCCAGAGTTTCCTGGTCCCTCAATTGCTCAAAAACTTGTTCTTCAGGAGCAGACTCGGGTTCTAACTCAATTGAAGCGATGTTGCAAACACTATCAATGATTTGTTGCATAGTTTCTGCTTTAGCTTCCTCGGTTTGTTCGATTTTATCTGTAGTTAATTCTGTTGCTGTCTCCTGCTTAAGCTCGACCATGACTTTTTCGAGCTCCGCCATGAACACATTAGTACTCGATCTTCTTCTGCTCGCTGATTTAGGCAGCGATTCAAACTTATCGTGATTGTGTTCGCTTTCTAGAGTAGCATATGCAACTTCGTTAACATAGAAATTTGCTTCTGATCTCGGGGCTTCCTTAAGCTCGACAAACTCTTCTCGCGCAATATCGAGTCTTGAAGAGTAACCAAGAGCATCATTGAAAACTTCGACGTCCGTTTTCAGTTCCGAGCAGTAAAGTTCGACCAAATCCGAGTGCTGCTCCTCATAATTCTCATCATCCGATGGATTTCTTTCAGGAATACTCAGCGACGATTGGTACACTTCCTGGGGTTGCACGTAGACACGTTCTAAGCTCTTTTTCTGGCTTCGGACGGATCCCATCTTAGGCATATGACATTCAAGAGTCTCGGAAGTCTTGGCGTAAACGATGCAATTCTCCATGGAACTGTCACTCAGTTCGTCAAAAGCCTTGGTTCTCAAAGAAGATTTAAGAGGTTTGCACCTCTGGTCAAAGCATTGAATGACAATCTTGACATTATTTCTGATTCTTCGCACAATTTCATTTCTAGAAATATCAGCTCCGATTGATACTTTTTCGTGTGGGCAAGCACAAGCTTCGTCATTGATTGTAATCTTAGTCGACACTGAGTTGGAAAGATTTGCCTGGCTGCTGGATCGCACAATGCATTCGTAGTTTCCAGTATCGTTTTCATCAGCGTTCATAATCATTAACGAGCTGTACTGGTGCTGCCATTTCAGCTGATCGTTCACTCTAAACTTCTGCAAATCGTTTGGCAACTCATGGCCGTCCTTTTTCCACACTAAATTACTGTTTGGGTCGGCTGCAATTTTAACAGCGATGTGAACATTGTTTCCAGTTTTAAGATAGTTTTGTTCTGGCAGCTCAGACAAGAACACTGGGGGTGCCTGAGGGATATTTCTATAATCGTCCAGCAATGCGGTTATGCTTTGGCTTGTCCAGGTATTCTTAAGAGTCTGGTCAATTTTGTTCAAAATTCGCTCGGCGCTAACAGGAGCCAAGCTTTCCGCACTTCTTATTGGGAAAATAAGCTCATCGTCGTCGTCTAAATCACTCAGTGAATCTGCTGAAATGACCTTGATCAATGTGTTTAGTTTTGATTTCGCGATATCGTCGGTAAAATGAACGCCAATTTCGGACACAAATCGCTGCTCAGGGGGACAGTCAAAAACGTCTTCTTTTTGCTCGATTTCAATTTTAGTTTGAATTCTCTCTTCTCCGAATTCGTTCACGCTTCTCAGCAGATAACTTCCCGTGTCGTTACGCGAGCAGTTCTTGATCAATAGAGAAGCAGTCTTGGTTCCGTTTTTATGGTCATCGACATTGACATTCAGCCTTGAGCTGTATCTCAGAGGCTTCCCGTTCTTGTACCACAGATATTTGCAGTCATCAGAAGCAGCAACCCTCACGTTGAGTCGAATGTCGTTGTTCTCTCGAATTTCGACCGTAGATGGGTACTGTGTTAGAACTGCGGGAGGCGCTTCCAAGTTGGGATATTCGTTTAACAGTGAATTTAGAGACATATTGCTCAACCAATTACTGGGAATCATTTCGTATGAATCACCAGTAGAGACGCTCCAGCTGCTTCCATCAAGCGATCCCTTGTTGGGTCTGCGACGTTTCACAAAGCCTTTGCGAGGTGCAACCTTGAACACGGTCGCTGGTTTATGCTCAACCACTGGTTCTGAGCCCTGGTTCAAACTAGGCCATTGGATGCTTCCCTTCAAAACTGGTTTCTGTGCTTTCGCAATTGACTGATACTTGGGAGCTCGGACTGTCGCATTGCAGATATTACCCAGATCGTCAATGGCAATTTTGCCTCCGGTGTAAGATCTATCAGAAATCTGAATCAGTACGTGAACGTTCTCAGTAGATGAGAAAACAGATCCACTTGAATAAGTCCTGAGAGGTTTCGGACTTCCCATTATAGGCACTTCGCACCAGTCCACAAATTTGGAATCCGGCGCACTCTCGGAAAACGGTGTACTGCAATTGCTTCGGTTCAACTCTCTCTGATTTTCCTTCGATGCTAAAAGAGATTCGGATCCAAAATGTTTCTGCAACACTTGTTGCACCTCTTCGCAAACCAATGGTGAGTTACTCCTAGACGATGCTAGAGAACTCGTTTCATGTTGAGATACAACTCCAGGCCTCATCGCGTTTGTAGGCGAAGATCTCATTGCAATAGGGTGTAAGACAGTAGGCATCGAGTTCAAGTTAGTCGTACTCTGAGGAAGAAGCTCGACTGAAGAGTCGGACATTGCCTCGACATCGTTTTGTGATTCAGTTGCTCTCGCATTTTCAAAGGACGACCTCTTCACTTCGCTAGAAGATGTCTGCATGAACCGTTCTTGCATACCAACCGACAAAAGATTTTCCCACGATAACATTTGCTGCTTAGGGGTAGCTTCTGTTTTGATTTCAATGTGTACCTTCTCGACTATATTTTGCGTTTGGTCTTCTTGAACTTGCTGAATAGGGGATTCAACTCTTGAGCTAATACTTTGAACTTCATTGATGAGGTCAAAAACTTGGTTGACCGAGTCTTTGCACAAATTGGACGCAAACGAAAAGCAAGAAACGGGTATCTGGTTTGAGTTCAATTCAGTTGATAGAATCTGTTTCGGGAACTCAATGAACGTTTCCATGTCATTTTGAGTTAAATTAGTCAAGTCAGACAGTGGAGCGGGTTCCGACACTTGAGAAGCAGCACTTTCTGTGATGACAGAGTCCGTGTCATCCGCAAACCCAAATCCTTCTTCATCTTCATCTTCCGTTTGAGAATCAATCATCTCAAACTTAACTGGCTCATAGTGTCCGTATTCCAAATCATTGTCATTATTTAGCTTCCTTCCTTTAGCTGCCATTTCCACAGCATCTGTTTCCGCAACGTCTGACTCAATTTTAACTGAAAAGCTGGCAAGGTCAGTTCCATCTCCGTTTTCGGCCTTGACTTCGTATAAACCACAATTCTCCTGGCTTACTGAAAACAAATGCACTTTAATATCGACACCTCTGGTCGCGTAGTGAATATCGATATGCACATTTCTCGGTTCGTAGAATCGATGACCGTCCTTTGAGATCTGAATTGAAGTTCGGTTTGGCGGGCAGTCGACAAATAGTTCAGCAGAGAAATCGTCACCAGCTTTGAGAACCACTTCGCCAATGGGTGGGGAGGTAAAAACGGGCGGGAAATTATCAGGAGCTGTACTGTTCAATTGCTCATCAACCATTCCATGTTCAGAATTTTCGCTGACGGCTGGACTTTCCGGGCGCGTCTCTTCTGCTCTCGGAGTTCCTAGTTCAGTCAACTGTTCAAAAATATCGGCCGTGAGCTCTGAGATCTCGTAGCTCGAAGAGTCTTCAAGGTGTCGGACAAGGGAAGCAAGAACCTTCATGGTCGATTGGAGTCCAGGTCTGGCCATATCCAGGACATCCAAACTAGCCTCGTGCCATTCGATAACATCTTGTACAGACTTACCCTGAAGGATGTTTCGAAGAACAACTGCGCAATAGAATCCCATCGCAGATCGTGTGCTCAGGCAACATCCGTGAATCAATTTTGATTTTTTAACTGAGCCGTCAATTGTAGACCACACCTCAGCGTCTTGTGCATACTGGGATCCGAGAAGCGATACATCTCTTTGGACAGAGTTATAAAGAACATCTCTCAGATGTTGTCGCTTGTCTACATTCTCAATGTTCGTCGTTATTGACACTTTTTCGACCATTTTGTCCAGACAATCCAACCATGATCGCGTTTCAGTTGCTGCCGAAGCCTGCACGAAAGGAAGAACATTGGAAGACAGGGCTCGGAAGTTTTCCAAGGACTGCTTCTGATAATAACTAACTTCATTAATCTTCTTACTTGTTTCCTCTGTGATCCAAGTACGTGCTTTTACAACATCTTCTGAGAAAACGGAGCATTTCTCCTCGCTAACATCGACTTTCACTAGAGAGAAATTGTTCGGGTGAGATTTCAGATTCTCCGATTGTTCAGTTGCACTTTCGGCAACAAGCACCAGTGAACTTCTACTCAAAGCTTGAATTTCTTTCGCCACTTCTGAGTAGTATTTGTCTGGTTTGAAGTTGGTACAGTCCAGGAACTGGTACTCTGAATCTTCCTCGATTGCTTCCATGTGAGAAAGGGTTTCCATTTTGAAAGAAATGTTAACAACTGGCTTGCATGACGCCAAAATTTGCTCAGAGTTTGTCGAAAAGAACTCTTTGAACTCAGCTTCAGATACGCTGACAATTGCCTTATCTGACCTTGTGCTTGAAATCAGACAGTCATCTGTTTGGATCGAAATGTTAACGTTCTCCTGCTGTTCGCATCCTTTAGCCAAAATCTCTAGCGTGTTGATATGCTCATCAACATTGACATCAAATCTGTTCACATTCGAAACACTGGCAGACGTTAAAGTATTGGGACCACTTTGTTTGATTTCACATTCTTCGGTGAGAACTGAAATGTTTACATTCTCAACATCGCTTCCCTTGCCCAAAATTTCCAGCATCGAAATCTGTTCATCCACTGCAATCAGCTGAGTTTCGCGTTGTGATACAGAGATCTCGGCATACTTCTTATGTTCCACATTATGCTCTTCGTCAGTTAGGTCAAACGCAATGCTGACACCATTTTGCGGAACCGCCAGAAGTTCTAAGCTCCCGTCCTCGCTTCTGGGAGTAAGTGCAATGCTCTCTACATTTTGGACACTTACGCATGCCAAGTCTCCTTTGTCGGCAACTCGCGTAGATTCCATGTCGACACTGATCATAACCGATTCTCGAGGCACTGCAAGAACGTTGACGGTATCCTCGAAGTCTTCGAATTTGCTTTCCTCTTCTTGGTAGACAGAAACAGTGGCGAAATCAGAAGAAACAACCTCGCTGCTTCTCTCGCTAGTCGTATCAATACTTATATGAACTGGTTCAACAGATGGCAACGCATCCATGTTCTGTGTTTTGATCTCGAGATTGACAGATTCGGCTGGTCGGAGTACTTCTTGGCTCTCAATAGTCAATAGCACCCGATCTTCGCTTAAGACACTTGACGTTTCAGAATGTTCTAACTGGACAATCACTTGCTCACTGGGAGATCTGTCTTGAATGTTGATGTGAAGCTTTGTGTCTTCTACAGGTAGTGGCTCCATGTCTAGAACTCGGATTTCTACATGCTCTTGCGAAGTGATAATTTTTTCAACTCCTTGCATATCAGCAATCTTAATCTGCACGTTTTGCTCCGAAAATATTTTGTGCTCTGGCAGATTTCGATCACTGATCCTCAAGTCTACTTTCATGACTTCGGGAACTGGCGATTCGCAGGTTTCCGGTTTCTCAAAAACAATTGGTTCGGGAACTGGCTGAATTGGTTTAAGCTTTCTGAATCCCCAACTATCTTCGGCAATGAGCTTTGTCAAAAGATCATCTGGAACTGGTTTGGCTTTATCTTGTTCGATGTCAATCTTGATAGCAACCAAGTCCTGAGACCTAAGAACATCTTCCTTTTCAGCTTGCATTATTTGAACTGCGTCCAAGATACTAGCATTGGCAATGTTAGCCCCTTCTTGGGGCTGCTCTTCATAGACAGGAACTTGCAAAGGTCTATCAATCGGTTCCATGCGTTTTGTCTCATCAAAACTATGCTCACTAAAAGATTCGGTGCGCGCTATTTGCATTAGGTTCTCAAGTTCTTCCACTGAAGTTATTGACCTGTCGTCATCAGCGAGTTCCTTTTGTTCGTTTTCTTCCGGCTCCTTTGAGGATTTAACTTCTTGTGGAATCTCCTCTTCTGGTTCTTCTGATTTCTCTTCTGGTTCCTCTTTGGGTTCTTCGAGCTTTTCTTCTTCAATTGTCAGTTCTTCTTTGCTCTCTTCTTCCTCAGTTTCTTTGGCTTCTGGAGCATCTTCCACAACTGGAGTTTCAACTTCTGGTTGTTTAGCTGGATCAACTTCATCCTCGACTTCTTCTTCTGGCTCCTCAGACTTTTCCTCTTCGACATCCAGGTCATTTTCGTTCACTTCCTCTTCCTTTTCTTTGATTTCTAGTACATCGTCGTCAAGTGGTTCTGCCTCTTCAGGAGTGTCATCCTCGGGAACCTCAACTTTTTCTTTCGTCTCCTCGTCAAAAATCTCTTCTAGTTTCTCATCAACCTCGCCTGCTATTTCTTCAGCAGGTTTATCATTAGGTTGCTCCTGGTCAGGAATTTCTTTCTTTTCCACATCTTCATCTATTTCTTCATCTTCTGGTTCCGTTTCTTTAACCGCTTCATCAACCTTAAGTTGTTCTTCAACTTCTTCCTCTTCTTTTTCCTTCAGTTCAGGTTCTTCTTGTTCTTCCTCGGTTTCATCCTTCGCTTCTTCATCAGCAACTTCTTCTGCTTTAACTTCATCGTCTAGTTCTTCATCTTCTGGCTCGACTTCTTTGGTATCTTCTTCGATTTCCAGCTTTTCTTCAACTTCTTCCTCTTCTTTTTCCTTCAGTTCAGGTTCTTCTTGTTCTTCCTCGATTTCATCCTTCGCTTCTTCATCAGCAACTTCTTCTGCTTTAAATTCATCGTCTACTTCTTCATCTTCTGGCTCGACTTCTTTGGTCTCTTCTTCGATTTCCAGCTTTTCTTCAACTTCTTCCTCTTCTTTTTCCTTCAGTTCAGGTTCTTCCTCGATTTCATCCTTCGCTTCTTCATCAGCAACTTCTTCTGCTTTAACTTCATCGTCTATTTCTTCATCTTCTGGCTCGACTTCTTTGGTCTCTTCTTCGATTTCCAGCTTTTCTTCAACTTCTTCCTCCTCTTTTTCCTTCAGTTCAGGTTTTTCTTCTTCCTGCTCGATTTCATCCTTGGCTTCTTCCTCGGCTACTTCATCTGCATCTTTTTCATCTTCATTTTCTGGCTCGACTTCTTTGGTCTCTTCTTCGATTTCCAGCTTTTCTTTAACTTCTTCCTCTTCTTTTTCCTTCAGTTCAGGCTCTTCTTGTTCTTCCTCGATTTCATCCTTCGCTTCTTCATCAGCAACTTCTTCTGCTTTAACTTCATCGTCTAGTTCTTCATCTTCTGGCTCCATTTCTTTGGTCTCTTCTTCAATTTCTAGCTTTTCTTCAATTTCTTCGTCGTCTTTTTCCTTCAGTTCAGGCGTTTCTTCTTCTTTTGCAGTTTCGTCTTTTGGTTTTTCTTCGGTGACTTCTTCCGCAGGAACCTCCATTTCCTCCTTTGTTTCTTCATCTGCCTTGTCTTCAATTGCTTCTTTCAGTTCCTCGGCAACCTCGGTCTGCTCTTCAACCTTCAGCTCGTCATTAACATCCTCTTCAGTGACCTCATCAGCCGGTTGCTCCTGGTTATCTTCTGGCTCTTTTTCTTCTTCAAAGTCTTCCGAAACTTCATCTTCAGGAGCCTCCAACTTTTCCTGAGTTTCTTCGTCTGCTTTGTTTTCCATAGTTTCTTTTAATTCTTCTGCTTCTTGAGCTTCGTCTTTCAGCTCGATTTCATCCTCCACGTCTTCTTCGACAATTTCGTCCATTTTAACCTCATCCTCAGTTTCTTTCTCTTCTTCGACATCTTCGGGAAGGTCCTCAATTTCTTCAGGAACCTCCATAGACTCCTTGACCTCCTGATCACCATTTTCTTCGATTTCAACTTTCTCTTCAGAATTAATTGCAACCGAGAATCCCAAACCAACTTCAGCTACTGCAGAAGTATAGAAACATGCGAAGTTTCCGATGACGTCAGGATTGCAGTCCTTGATATATAGTTTAATCTCAGTAGTACTTGTCTCTTTGTTCGGCACAATCGATATTTCATAAACCGTTCCGTCGGCCTTCGAAATTGTTTCGCGGTAGTGTTTGAATTGAATCAAGTCTGCGTTGTCAATAATTTCATCAACAGTGATGGTAATTTCGAGCAAATCCTTTTCGTTCACACTGTACTCATACTTCTCGATTTCCATTTTAGGCAGCTTTGTCATCTTAGCAGCTAATGGTTGTTCAGTCTCTGACATAGAGACATTGTCTCGAGTGTCCTTTGTCTCCAATTCACTTGTATCTTCAGGCTCATCGTTTCTAGAGCGGGCCAGAACAATTTCTGATGTGGGTTTGGTGCTCTCAACCAAACCTTCGGCAGACATTTTGTCGCAACATTCCGCATCTGCAATTACTTCGGCTTTAGCTTGCATCTCTTCGGATTCTTGGAGGGACAGACTTACCTCTGTGGCTCGTGCTAAGTACATTTGATTGTCGCCATCAGCTTTCACTCGGTTCTTTGGAACGGCGTCGCATTGCTCAACTCGGATCAGCGCAACAATAATTGACTCACGCGGTCGGGCCCATTTGGCATCAACGTGATCAACATCACTTACACCTCTGGTGTCCTTAATATCCAAAGCTCTATCCCAGATGTCCAACAAAGCGACAGTTGCAAGTCCAGATTTCACCAGGTTAGTAAGGTACTTCTCTCTTGGTCTAGCCCAGTCAGCTTGTACTTCTGGTGCCACTTCTTGTTCTTTTCCAAGTCCTTGAATGTCATTGATACATTCGATGACAAGATCAGTAAAGTCGCCAGGACCGTTGACTTCCAAAGCAAGTTTGACAAAAGTTGCTCGGATGCTCTCTCTCAACCTGATCCACTCCTTGGAGTCTTCTTGACCCATGCAAATCATGTCTTTTCTCGGGTCCTTTTTGTCAGATTGATCAGCTGGGAACTCGATGTACTCTTTGATAATTGCCTGTTCGGCAATCGTGAATGAACCTTGAACCGTCTCTCTCACTCGTCCTGTGTTAATAGCTGTCTCCCTCGCTTTTGCGAGCTGGTTCAGAATGCTCAAAGAGATAACATGTCTAGCCAGAGTTTTGTGAACAACTTCTTCAACTTTACGTGTTCTTTCATAGTCGGTCATGTCTCTAGTTCTCATCCAGTTCTCATCAATTTCCGCCTGGTGCCCAGTTCCAATCAGTGTAGATGCTTTTCTGTCAAAGAAGAGATTAGCGGCACTTATGGTCGAGAACGCTTCGGTTCCTCTCGCCTTAACTGAATCACAATGTTGGCCTTCACGGGTTCGAATCCATTCTTGGACAACTTCTTTAGGCTTGCAGATCGTTCTATACAGCAACAAATCCGCCAACTCATTATCTCCTGCAATGTATTTCACGAAGTTAGAGCTCAATATTGTTTCGATTTCCTCGATCGTTAAGGGACAGTCGAACCAAGAGTGGACTAGTTGTTTATTCTGTGCAGTTCCTCCGATCATTTCACTGAAAATTCGCGCTTTCTCGGTTTCCAATTGGCTGAAAATTTCCTCGGCCGAGCAATTTTCCGGTTCTGGCTCTTCTATTATTTGCTCAGCAATTTTCTCTCGGAGTCTGGCCAAGAATGGATAGACCTCTTCCTCTTTGCATAATCCTAACATCAGTTCCTTCATCGTCTCTTGATACTCTTCATATAAAATCGTCACCACGTGACAGTCTTCTTCGGCAACTTCCGGTTCTTCCTCCCACTTTTCTCGTGTTCGGATCCAAACCATGTCTTCACTTGGGAGCGACCTGCCTTTGACCTTCGGTTTTGGCTCGACACCAGGTATTTTGGCTTCAAATGAAGACTGTTCTCCTGGAACTTCGTTTGGATACTGCACTTCTACTTCGGTTTCGCGAGGTCGGATCCAGGCGTGGGTCTCGTCAGTCATAACTGGCAGACCCATTCGCATTTCCAGACTAGTAACTCCCAAAGATTCAGCAACAGCATTAAAAGGCTGTGCATCTGGCATTTCGACAAACTCCTCCCGAGGCCGGGCCCAATCTAAGTCAACTTCGGAACTGATTCCGAGAAGCTTTTGCATTTCGGTTTCGCCCATTTTCTGGTCTGCTCCGCCCTTCACTTCACTACTTTCGCACCCATCCTTTTGAGGAGCTTCCATGTTTTCCGCAGACTGCTGGCCTAGATTCCCACTTTCAGCAGCCGCTTTCAGCGTAAGAGCAACTTTGCTTCTGGCACTGTCAGTCAACGCCGCTTGCTGAATTGTGAAAACTTCCTTCCTGTATTTTCTGGACCATTCTTTGGAATCCATTTCATTGACCAAATCTTCGTCCAAAAATTCAAGAGGCGCAAATTTGTGAGCGTGTTCTTGCTCGTTGCAGTACGCCACGACTTCCCTCGGGTCAATGTCAGCGACACCTTCCTCGCCGAACTGATCTGCCGACACTCGGTCTTGGTCGTTCTCAATATGGGCGAAGTCTTTGGCTTTCTCGTGCTGGACAATTGCGTCGCGGCTCTGTCGCGTGGAAACTTCCACTTTCTCTTTGACAAAATAGTCGAAAGTGTGGTTGTCTCGGACAGAATCCGGGTTCATCCATTGTTGCATTCCGAATTCAATCAGGAACTCCAAAACTTTGTTGTCAAGGTTCGTATCTTCAGTCAACGAATACTCAAATTCGTTCTTTGGCTCGATACAAAGTTGTCCAGTTATTGTTTCGATTTTGAGATCGATTTTTTCTCTTAGCCTAATCCAGTTAAACATTTTCTCTTCTACTTGAGCCACGGCTGTAAACTGCGGCTTGGCTGTTTCATCTCGTAAATCAGGCTGTGCGTCGTTGAAAATTTGCTCAACCTCGATTGCCTGTTTCAGAACAATGGGTCTCATAAGTTCTCGCAATCGAATCCAGTAGGCGTCATCAGGTTGCTCTTTCTGCTCGGCGCTGACCAAAATCAGAGCTCGCGAGAGGATTGCTCTGATAGCTTCAGAAGTCTCTGCGATTTCACTCATGATTTCAATTTGCTTTTCTTCAGGTACACTCCAGCTGACATTTTCGAGTCCAGAAGGAAGTTGGGTGCTCTGAAGCGCAACTCCAATCCAAGCTGCTCTTAGTCCAGCTCCAAGAGCTTCCAGAGTTCTACCAACTTCGCTCAGTTCAAGGATGTCTCGCTTTGTGCATTGACTACACATAACAGGCGCGGAGTCACAAAGATTCTTGAGCTCTGAACCATTTATGCAGTGCTTGCCAAGTAAGCATTTACTGGTGAATTCCGACAATTCGCATTGTGGCGAGGTTTTGTTGATTTCAGAGGCGCTTAGTGTAGCTCCTGTGATCTTACTCAAGAGAGATACTCTTAATCGCGAGAAAGATTGAGCCTCTTGCTCAGCAGCAACAGCCCCTGTTTCAGCGCATGATACTTGAATTGTTTCTTTCTTTTCACAGGCAATGGGCTCGGTTTTTCCTTGCTCAGCAAGAATTGGCACTTGCTCGGGTCTTGATACAAGTCCCAAAATGACAGTTGACTCCTCCGCAACTACACTCGATGTTTCTCTTACTTGGAAGGTTTCCGCCGACAACGCCATTTGATGCGACTCAATAGGTCCGTTAACATTGGCCCATTCGCTATCGCCTTCAATTGCCCTTGCTTCAGTAACTGGTTTCTTCTCGTCATTTTGGAGCAAGTCCAAAATCGACTTTGAGTAAAATACTCCATCGGAATGCGACTGTCCACTTAAGAAAGTCAACAAACTGTGCATTTCAGTTTCCGAGAAATCACCGGCACTGATTTGACTTCGTTTTTCGTCGCCGTTGAAGAGCATACGAAGTGTGTTGTCTGAGAAGCCGGAACCTGTTCGGTTGTCTCCGAAATCCATAGGCATAACCACCTCTTCTCTCAGTCGAGTCAATAATTGAGAACTTTCCATAGGAACCGCTCTAACCACAGCTTGAGTGCTTTCGATTACATTTCTTTCCTTATCGTCCGTTGAAAGATAGCTGATTATATCCTTTTCGCTGTCATTTGAACTCCTTCTACGATCTTCGTCCACAATGAGAGTCGAGAAGTGTTCGGTCTCAAAACTATCTGCTCTCTCACCCATGCTCTCCGGACTTTGCCGTCCAGGAGCCCCTTGTGTCACGTTTTGTGATGTAAAGGCAACTTGGCCGACGTTCTCATTAAGCAGATCACACTCAGCAGTGGTCTCATTGTGAGATTCATCTTCAACCGACTCCGCGTCTTCGGTCATCAAATGTTCATCGTCGGCAAGTTTGTTCACACCTTCAACTAAAAGCAGAGATTGTTCGGCAGTCGCCGTCTCTCGCTCCTCGACCGCCATTTGTTCTACTCCATCTGTAGTTATGATGTCACTGGTTTCAGGCGTGAACTCTTCGGTTTCGTCCAGAATGTTCTCAGACTGCGTGTCTGTGGTCCTGGCTCGTCCTTGTTTGAATGTTTTGGGCATGTGTTTTGCGTACTTCAGATCTTCCAGCTCAGTGAAGTCTGCCTGTGTTCTGAATCGAGTGACATCTATTCCTTCTGTGGTCACAATTGGCATGGCATCAACACTCTCACTCACGTTTGCTAAAAGGACAGTGAAAGTTTTCCTATTCAAAACTCCAGGGGTGAAAGTACCGAAGATCCCTTAACTTTGATTTTGCGCCAGAATTCTATGCAGATATCAAATAGAAGCAAACCAAACTCAAATGAAAATACAAGAGTAAACCGTTGCTATGCAAATAGCTTAGAAAATTCCACCATATTCACAAAAAATTTGAAAAAAAAACTTTTTTAAAATTTGTGCCGCTTTTGGTGCGCGGTGTGATGCAAAGAAAGACAAAAACTTGGAAATTTAGTGATTTAATCATAATCGACTTTTCAAAAAAAGAATAATAAGACAAAAAAGTGTAACAAAATTTTGCATTTTTTTTAGAATGTAGAAATTTTGTTACACTTTTCTACAAAGTGTTTCTACAAAGGTCTACATTTTTTCTTTTTTTTTCTAATCGCTCAAAATGAGGCTAAAAAATTTCAAACCAGTTTTTCTCGACATTAGTAAAGTTTTTGAAATGTTAGAAGTGGTAAGATTCACGACTTTAAGGGCTTTAATATGATATATCATTCAACTTATGCTGATTATTATTTATGTAACGTAAGTTTGAGTGGAAAAAAAAACAAAAACCCACACTTCAATAGTCGAAACTATAAATTTTCATAGATCATAAAAGCCTCTTCTTATTTTCAGTTCGTTATTTTTGATTGGCCTTTTATTATCTTCCAAAAAAAGTAAATTTTTTGTTGCATATAAAAACGCAAGGTCAACTTCATGCATGTCAACTCGCTACACTCACTGATCATGACGTTGACAGTGACTTGGGACTGTCCGAATGGGTTGGTCACTTGGATGCAGTGGGTGCCGTGGTGTTCCAGAGAGGCACACTCCGACTGCAGTTTGGCCCAGAACAGGTGTGGAGTGTCCGTTTCCTCAGTCACAATCTCCTCCGTCGGAAGCTAAACAAACCACAAGTTTACAGGTCCGGACACATTTATTTACGTAGAAGCAAAATTATCTTAGATTCTTTGTGTGCCTTCACACTCGCTATAAATTTTGACCACAGAATGTGATAAAAAAAATTCATCGCCACACGCTATTTTTGACCCCGACACACAATTTCAACTGTTCTATTTGCACACTTTAAATATACTTTGCCATAAACTAATGAGCAAAGTATCTAACGCGAAAAAGGGCTGACAATTGGTAGCAATACTCTTACAAATCACAATAGTAAAAGAGAAGAAGAAGAAGTTAACTTAAAAAAGAAAAAAAGACATCAATTTAATATTTAGTGGATTATTTACTGGATTTACTAGTCTATAGTTGTCCAGATCATACCTCTTTCTCGTCGACTGTCCAGGAGAGATCGTAGGAGCAACAGGAAGCGAACTGCACCTGTACGCAGAGAGGTTCTCCCACATTCACTTGTTCCAGCGAGTAGTCATTCTCCGGCTCAGTGATTGTTGGGGGCACACCTTTTCAAACATTTCTACAACTTGTTTAAAAGTTTAAGTTTAGGCAAGGCAATCGATTTTTTCAAAAAAAAAAAAAAATTATTGCGAGTTGGTTAAATAAGGAATTGCCTTAGAAAGCATTCTGAAATAAATGACGATCTTTCTTTGAAAAAAAAATCAAATTTGTTTTATTTCACCCGAGCCCTTAAATTTTTGTTTTTTGAAATTTGAATGGAAATCCCAATTTTTTTAAACTTACCAATAGCTAGTTGTATCTTGTGTACGAATTTCTGCCTCTTGAATTCTACTTGCACCTCATAAATTCCTTCATCATTAAATTCAACTTCATCAATGCTCCAAATGATGAACACTTCTCCCGTTTCCGAAACAGATTCGACCTTGAAATCCTTTATCTGTTCGCCATTGCGAGTGAACTGTGCGTTAAGGTCATCAGGGTTCACACGTTTGTCTAAGGGTACCTTGTACTTCAGCGTACACGGCGAGTTCTTTTGTACAACCACGTCTTCTTGGCTCTCTTTTGGCTCGACAGCAGCTAAAGCAAACGTAAACAATTTAAAATTCACTAAATTTCGTTACACGTTGTCTCGAAAAACAAAACCACCAAAAACCCAATTTTAAGTCACTAAACTCAAATTCAAAAGCTTTAAAAATGATCTGATATTATTGATCAGCAGAAAAATAAACATTCACAAAGTTGTCAACCTGTTTGAGTGTAAAAAAAATCATTTTTGAACGTTGGATGATAAAATAAAATTACATAGCTTATACTCATACAACCAATCAATGCTGGAAGAATGTACTAACGGGTCTCAAATGTTGTTATTTGCGAGTGCTTTCGGAACCCATCCTTATCGGAGACTACAATTTCTACAATCGGCAAAGTATCCATCTCCAGAACTTGCTGAGACTCCACGTTGAAAACGCAAGTCACCAACGAAGTGTTTGAATCCGCATCGCATTCTGAGCAATTCCAATCCACCAGGCTGAGCAAAGACCCATCGCAGCCCTTGATTTCAATTTTAGCATCGAGTGTCTGTTTGTCAGCAACGAAAGGAAGCGCAATTGCAATCTCGACAACGCTGCAGTTATCCGCAAGCAGGACAGTTTTTTCAGATTCACTATATTCAGGTTCCACTAAACAAAATTAATGTCAGAGGCCAAAAAAACATGACTGATTAATGTTACAGGAAAGCGCCAACTCTGAAGCCAAGCTGCACTTCGCGAACACAAGAGAAAAACAAATAATGAGAGCTCTAAAAACGGGGCGAAAAAGGAAAATGCAAGAAAAATATATTTCACTGAATATAAACAAAATTGAAAACGCTATGAAGATTTTCGCACTTTGACTGCACAACAAAAACGTCCTAATTTGCATTATTTTTTTGCATAATTTTTGTTCCGTTTACTGAAAATTGGGAAGAACTTTTTGTATTTGGGTGGGTTTTAGTTTTTTTCTTTTTTTTTGCTTTCCTCGTAAATTCAGGAACCACAAATAAACATCGTAATGAGTCGAGTGTTATATTACATGAAAACTCTTTCAGCCCTAATTCTAAAGACGTTTAAAAATATCAAACAGTTTTTCTCAATGTCGTGAAAAACTCTTTGAAATTTTTGATATTTGGTTTAATTTTGAGCGAATGTGAGCGAGCAGGCTTACAATAGCTTATTTATGCTTAATTTAAGCTGTGAAAACTTAGCTTTACTCAAATAGAATTATTGTTTGGAGTTTTTTAGCGCCAATTTGGGATCAACAAATTCGAAAAAATTCTGCAAAGAAGGAAAAAACATTTTTTTAAAAAAAATTTTCTTAAGATTAAAAAAAAATTTATAGTCAATTTTCTACAAAACTGTTTTAAATTTTTCTTATTTTACTATGATTTTGAACATGCTTATCTTCTAGTGTTTCGTTTAGATCTTTTCATCACACCACGCAGAACAGACGATGCTTAACTGAAAAAAAAACTTTTTTTTTTGTATTTTTCAAAACTGTGGTCGGAACATTCTGTGTTACTTGCACAATCACCAGCCATCCTTCTTTTCTGAGACATCAGGCAACATAGAATGCGCATTCAAATTGTCACAGAACTCGTATAATCATTGCACAAAGTTTGGTTTTTATATGTGCAAATTAGGATTGAATAAACTTGACAGATTGAATATAACTTCGCTTGCAAACACGCTAGAGTAGAAAAACAGTTGACTCCTTATTGCAAAAAAAAACGTAAAAAGCTTAAGCAAAAAACCTGATCTTTTCAATGAAACAAAAAAACTAAAGAATTAACAAGGCCAACATACTACTGTCGGCCAAATACAATTTTTGCTTCTTTGGGAAAATTGAAACTTTAATCTTATTTGAAAACTAAAATTCAAGCTCCACCCTCCATTTGCAGTTACTTGGAGGGAGAGTGTTAAGATCTTTTCATTCAGCAAAAGAATTTGATTGCACTTCAAAAAATTAGAGATTTAACTGACAAATTGAAAAAAAACAGGGACAATTTTAAGATAATTTTCGAAAAAAAAAATCATCCGATTTAGTTGACGAGATCATTTATTAAGAAGCAAAACACATAAGCAAAAATAAAAAAAAAATGTGTCAACAAACTTAAGAAAACCAAAAAACTGAAGACAAAGAGGCGAAAACTTCGTTTGCAAACACGAGCGAGGACATGACAAAAAGCAGCTCTATAAAGTGCAATACTAAAGTAGAAATAAATCTCGAATTAGTGAAAAAAAAATTCACAGCATCTGTTCTCTAGTAATCAGAGAAAAGATGCTATAAAATTTTCACTGCTAGAGATCGTGATGATAGCAAAAAAGCCACCAGTTAAGCAAATGAGGTCAGATAAAAAAGAAAGTTGGTACTAACACATTACGCTGATCGCAGGTGTAAACAATGAAGAAAACAATGCATCCCTGTTAACGCTGTTTGAATTTTAAAAAACGTTTCGATCGAAATGTTTTCATAAAAAACCCACTTACAAAACACTCGCTCAAAAATTAATTACCATGGAAACTCACCCTCCAAACTAAAGTCATCAAAGTTTTTCAATTTTGCACATTTGCAATCGGCGAGTAACATTTTTTGTAGCTAAGGAAATTGAATGGAAAATCACGAAAAAATCAGACGGCGAAAAAACGTTTGAGCTCCTTCAAACTTTTACTTTTCCCTGGAAAAAAGCAGCAAAAACTTAATGAATCAGATAAGTTTTTTCTTCCATTTTCAATTTATGGTGAAAAATTGTTTTTAAAAACTCACCAATGGCAACTGCAATCTTGTGGATGTACTTTTGCCGTTTGTAATCGACTGTGATAGTATAGAGTCCTTCATCACTAGCTTGTACTTCATTCAGCAGTGATTGAATTAGAGTCGACTTGTCTTCGTCATTTGCATTAACAGAGAAAGTGTCAACTGGTTTGTCATCGTGGTAGACGGTAACTTTAAGTTGATTTTCATCAGTGGCAACAATGTTAGGTAGCGTAAATGACAAACTACGCGTTGAGTTCCTCAAAGCTGTCAATTCTTCGCTGCTCTCAACGGGCTCAGGTATTTCTGTTATCAGCAGAACAAAACTTAGTTATATCGATGTGAAAAAGTAGTCAACGATTTTTGAAACTTTCCTTTTTTTAAATTTCTAAATTTAAATTTTCTCCGCAGCCAGTGTTTTTGCTTCGAACTTACTATCATTGTTTGTTCATCAAAATGGACCAAACCATATCTTTAAAACGGGACTAAAAATTGCGTTCCGTGAAAGTTGCGCACAAGACAAAAATTATATACATTTCAAAAATAACACTTGATAATTTTTTACCAGTTGAAAATTTGTAGTTTTTTGTAAATGTTCGAAAATTGAAGCTAAGTTGTACAATTATTTAACAACAGCCAATAAACTATAATAATTATTTGCTTAAATATTATGTGATTTCGACTTTGAAAAGGCGAAAACACGTCTTGAATAAAATCTTTAAGCCAATTTTTCTCATAAATTTCTTTTCCTAAGCTTTCATCGCGGTTTTCATCACAAATCGAACAATAATAGATTTTGTTCGAAATTCTTAAGGTTTTCAAATGAACATACCGGCTTCGAATTTGGCAAGGAGCGAATGCTTTTTGGAGCCCTCTACATCGGACAAGATAACATTGACAACCGGAAGTTGTTCCAACTTCATAAGATAATCAGTGTCCACAATAAAAGAACATGTTATCAGAGAAGCCTCTGATACCTCATCCACATCCGAGCAACTCCATTCGACCAAATTAAGGGCTGATTCGTCACAACCCTTGACATTTGCAATGACGTCAAATGTTTGCTTCAGTACGGCAAAAGGTACAGCAAACGAAATTTCAATTTCAGTAGCTTCAGGCGTCAGTTGCACCGTCTTTTCTGACTCGCTTATTTCGGGTTCGACTAAAATAAACTTTTTTGTGAGAAAAAAATTCCAGTGATTCAGCTTGTATGTATTCAATAAGTTACTTGCACTAAAAGATCTGCAAATTTTAATTTGCGTTCAACCAAAATATACGCGTAATTTTTGCATCAGCTATCCAAAATAATGAGCTCATTTCACGCAATTGACAACGAACATTAAGAACGGATAGCTTTAAAAATTTAATGAAATCAAGGACGCGGAAATGTGCTTCGAAATTTAATTCGAGATGCCTGGAACATAATACTTCATCATACAATTTTTCTGATTACACGAAACGTTTCATTTCGACACCTTTTTGATAAATCTAACTGAAAAAACACATGCTCTATATTGCCCGATTTAAGTAGCTTTTGCCTTGCGCTGTGAGCTTCAAGGCAAGGCCCTGAATGTTCCAGCCGCCATCTAATTGGTCTTGAAAAGTTTTTGGTAAATTGAGTATTGGCAAAACAATGGATTTTAGGCTGATCATGCTGAAATTCAAGTGTTACAATTTGAGTAGTTTTGAATTAATAAAACAAATTAGCTGCCTCAATTTAATTTGGAACGATTTTGTAGAGCGGGATAATTCGCGACGCTTCCAATTTATCAAACGACGAGTTTAACCAGCGTCATGGTATGATACTTTAGTCGTTTGTACACAAGATTGGGCACATGCAGATCAAGAGATTGTTCCCACAAGGAACTAGCGTTTCTGAAAAAAAAACCACCCTTAGCATTTATAGTCCGAACAATAAAATCCAACTTTGAAAATGAAGTCCATCGGAAATTTTGCCGCCAGTTCTATTTCCTCGTTGAAAAGCAAACTTCTTTATTTTAATTGAACAAGTCGACAGTTAGCTGAACTTATTGCTTGAAGTTAAAACTCGAAAGCTGCTAAAAACCGATCAGAGTTTTTCTTACAAAAATGAAATAAAAAAACACATCTGAACCAACTAATGTTCCACTTAAATCAGAAGAAAAACAAGCTTTTACTCATCTGAGTTTTTTTGGTTCAAGACAAAAAAAAACAACATACACCATATTCCTTTCTACAGGTAGGTAGTAGTGCGGCAACAGATTTTAAGCTGAAATCAATGATAGTCAATGTGCAAGTAGCTTAGAATGATCTGACCTCATTCATAAAACTATAAATAAAAATCTTCAAATTTCCAAGTTCTTCACATTAGTGTTGTTTTTTTGTGCGTGGTTTCATTAAAAAAATTTACAAAAGCGTAGAAAAATAATCAATAGCGCATAATTGACAACAGTTGTTGTCAAAAAACCCAACGCAAAGTTGGAAAAGTTTCGAAGAATTAACTGTATATCAAGTTGAAACTGTTTAATTTTCGAGAACAATTTTTGATTGACACTTGCGGTTGAAGCTGTTTGATTGAAGCTGTTTTATGTTTTAGTTTCCGGTTGAATTTTTTCAAATTTCACGAACAATTTATGATTGCTTTTTTTTTGTTGATAAAATCAACCCAATTTAAGAAAACTGAATTAATTGGGAATTTTCATTCCGCTGGGATTACATAGAGGCAAAGCTGCGCTTCGCAAGCACTTGAGAGAACACTAAGAAGCAGTTCTATCAAGTGACATAAGAAAAAGTAGAAATAAGCCTTGAATTTGCGAAAACTCGAGGCTTAATAAAAACTCAAATTAGCAAAAATCTGCGACCTAAAAAATTTGAGTCTCACGCACTATTCATTCAGTCACGGATGCTTAAAATCCTTATACTAGCCACCAATAAGGCGACTATACAAGCTAATAAATTGCCAGTTCGATGCAACAAAAGCAGCACCAAATACAAAAAGATACAATTTTGCAGGTAATAAATTGCAAATCATAAAGCCACATCATGTAAAAATTATACATTTCAAAAAACTGCGAGATATATTGAGTTTGAAACAAATAGCTTTTTTCGGTTTACTTGATTAATTAGAGATGCATCAACTGTGTAAACTTATAATTATTCGAATGTCAAAGCGCATGTTATTAATAAGCTGTAAAGGTGCAACAAATGGGCTGTCATGCCAATTCGGTGCAGCACATTCGATGCAGCATATTTTATTGCCTTAATTCGCAACTATATTTGCGACTTAGTCGCAACAAAAGTCGCAACAATATTTGCAAATTAGGTTGAAAAAAATCGTACTATAACACTTTGCTTCGCAAGTGTAAAAAATAAAATACACTTCCGAAAATAGAAATCGATCATATTTTTTTCGCGTTGTATCCCCTTTTGTTTTATATGAGCTCATTTACCTACCTTTTAGCAACGGAGTTTCAACTGAACTCAAAAACTGCACGTATAACTATATGCATTCTTACCATCATTAATATGTCTGAGGATATTTCTGAAAAAAATCATAAAGACCTATCTAGGAAAAAACCACTTCGTACTTTTATACTCATTAAGAAACAAAAAAATTTTCTCAAATTCATGCCAAAAAAAGTTTGTTACAGAAAAATTTTAATGCCAAAGCTGCGCTAAATAAAGCTTCCAAAAGTAATTTTTGTTTTTTGAAAACAAGTTTTTAAGCCTAAATAACCATGTATTATATAACAAACGTTATTTGATCGATTTACTTAATCGCTCAAATCTAGTCTGAAAATCAACAATTTCAGGCCGATATTTTTCAATACTGAGAGAAAATTTTGATTAATTGAAATCACGACTGAAAACACTTTATTATGATACATCACTTGACCCATTCCGATGATCATCTGTGGTACCTTGCTTTGAGCGGAAAAAATAAAACAAACCGTATTTTCAATTGTCGAAACAGCCAGAACCGCCAATTATTGTGTATGTAACACAAAGTTTCATCCGCAATATAATACTTTTAAGAAATAGTTTTGAAATTGTGTCCAAAAATTTCCAAAAATTTCCAATCAGTTTAAAAAAAACACCCATAGACTAAGTTCCTCCTTTTTTTTCAGATATCAAAAACTTCAGCATTTCTATAAAAACCTTATGTGTGGCAAGCATGAAAAAAAGGAATTTCACCAGCTATACAAAAACACTTCCGAAGAAAACACTTCAACATACCAACAGAGACTGCAATCTTGTGAATGTATTTTTGCCTCTTGTATTCGACATTGATGGTGTAGATTCCTTCATCACTAGACTGAACCTCACTCAGCAGGGTCTGAATAAGAGTTGACATGTCTTCTTTGTTGGAGTTGATAGTGAAAGCGTCAAGAGGCGTGTCATCGTGGTAAATAGAAACATTAAATTGACTGTCATCTTGAGCAACAATGCTGGGTAAAATGAACGACAGATTGCAAGTTGAGTTCTTCAAAGCCTTTACATCATCGCAGGTCTCAACGGGCTCGGTTGTTTCTATGGCAACAAATAAGACTACTGAGAGCAAAAAAGAAGCACCAAATTTAAGTTTCCGCTCCACTGATTAAAAAAGCCTAAATGTTTTCCGCCGTACCTTTTAACAGAGAGATTTAAAAATATCTTATTGGTCATAAAAGTTGAAATTTAACACCCCAAAGAATAGACGAATGCTGAATATTACCAGTTACATCCCAAACAAAAGAAACTCAGAAACCAAAAACTTTACGAGGTATTAAAACAATTCGTTTTTTGACGTCAAACGAGAGCCGGTAAAAGTTTTCACTAAAAACAATTGTGTTTTTTTCCAACCAAACCATGAAAAATACGAAGAGTGTCAACTGCTTGCAGTAAAATGAAACAACGTTTCTGGGCTTACCAGTTTCAAAAGTAGCAACAAGAGAATGCTTTTTGAAGCCATCTTTGTCGGACAAAGCAATAGCGACAATGGGAAGCTCTTCTAGCTGCAATAGACAGTCAGTATTCACATTGAATGAACACGTGATCAAAGAAGTCTCCGACTCCTCGTCAACTTCCGAGCAATTCCAATCAGCCAAACTGAGTAATGACTCATCACAACCAGTGACATTTGCAACAACATCAAAAGTTTCCTTGTCGGCAGCGAATGGAACGGCAAAAGAAACTTGAATTTCAGTACTTTCTTCAGTCAGCAGCACTGTTTGTTCTGACTCACTGATTTCTGGCTCCACTACAAAACGATTTTAATTAGAATCATCAAAATCTTTCCGTCACTAGCAAGTGAAAGTCATCAACTTGTTTGAATATACTCGAAGTAGAAGCTAACTGGACTGGATGTAGTGAAAAGAATATAAGAAGTGCACAGAAAATAGGAGCATAAGAGGACTGGACGGATGCCCTTTAAGGAGTCAGATATCTCACTGCTCAAAAATACGCTCAAGCCAAAAATTCGCTCCTTGGCACTATTGGCACTATTCTAAGACACCATTTTAACCGACCAGACCTGAAAATTTGCTAAGGGAGCATTTCGTGCAAATTATATTGATACTGAGGTAGAACCGCTCGCCAAAAAAAACTCATCTTTATGCAAGGCCCCCATTTATTGAAGTTACTCGACCTACTAATTGAACATCTGATAACTGAAAATAATTTAAATACTTGTTGCTTTTTTATACCAACCCACCAGCCGCTAAAAAAATCGACAATAAATTTTTTGCATCTTGCTCGCTTGAATATTATTTTAGCTGCAGTAGCCACGTCTCCATCAAAATTCAACCAATTGTCTGTTCTGCTCCTTTTTATTTCAAATGGGCCTCTTTCAATAAAGATTTAACTCAAAATGCATAATTCCAACAGTAAAAAAGATGCAACAATGACTTTGCGAAGAGCTCAGAAGCAAAACCTGTCGAGCAACTAAAATGAATGTTAACATATTACCTTTTCAAAAATGTTTTTAGCAAACATTTATTTGTAATTTTTAAAAAATATAAAATCCCTTAAACCTAATACGCCACAAAGAGTGAAATGTTTTACAACGATAAAGAATGTTAACAAAATTTTTCAGGACAATTTTTACCAAAAAAGTGTAGTAATTTTTTTTTTAGAAAATAAAACCTATCAAACATAAACAGCAAGAATATGAAAACAATTCTACGAGCACTCACCAACAGCAACTGCAATCTTGTGGGTGTACTTTTGCCGCTTGTACTCGACTGTGATAGTGTAAAGCCCTTGATCACTAGATTGTACTTCATTCAGCAGTGATTGAATTAGAGTGGATTTGTCGTCTTCATTAGCATTGATAGAGAACGTTTCAATTCGTTTATCATCGTGGTGCACAGTAACTTCAATTTGATTGTTATCATCAACCACAAGATCGGGCAAAGTGAATGACAAATTGCAAGTTGAGTTTTTCAGTACTGTCATTTCTTCACCGGTCTCAGTTGGCACCAATTTTTCTACAGCAAATCGAAAATTTGAAACAGCTAAACACCATACAAAATATTTGACTACGTTTTACAACCAATTGACCAAAAACTGGCTCAAAAACTTTTTGTTTGAATAATCCCTAAATGCCAGTAAGTCATTAATTTAGGATAATTTTTTTCAGAAAACATTAAAACTATCAAGTTTCTTTGTAAACTTATTTGATTTAACAGGACCAAATAACTGAATATATGTTGTATCTTACCAGTTTCGAATTTCACAACAAGAGAATGCTTTTTAAAGCCATCTTTGTCGGACAAAGCAAGAGCGACAATGGGAAGCTCTTCTAGCTGCAATAGACAGTCAGTATTCACATTGAATGAACACGTGATCAAAGAAGTCTCCGACTCCTCGTCAACTTCTGAGCAATTCCAATCAGCCAAACTGAGTAATGACTCATGACAACCAGTGACATTTGCAACAACATCAAAAGTTTTCTTGTCGGCAGCGAATGGAACGGCAAAAGAAACTTGAATTTCAGTATTTTCTTCAGTCAGCAGCACTGTTTTCTCTGACTCACTGATTTCTGGCTCCACTGCAAAAAAAAAGTTAATTAGAATGATGAAAAAAGTTATTAGCACCCTTATCCTTGATCGTTTTCAAAGTTTTTATCCCAAAAAGTCAGAACGAAGCTTTATGTCAGAGGCAAGTGAAAGCCATCAAATTGTTAGAAAAATTATTCGGATTAACAGCGGGCTTGAAGGGCAGAGTAAACGGATGCCCACTGAAATATTTAAAAAAATCACAAACCAAAATTTTTTTCATTTGCCATCCATTTCAACCGACCAACAAACCATTAGAACTTTCAAAGCGCTAATTTTTTTTACAAAAATGAACTAAAATTGAGGAAGTGCCGCGAAACAAAAACAATTTTGTACAAGGTCTCAAGATTTTGAAGTTAACAGACCGAACAATTGTTTTATCTGGACACCGGAAAACACTGGAAAAAAATTTTCCTTTTAAAAACTCAGCTGTTCAATTAAAAAATTGTAGATTTTTTAGCGACACATCAATCGTCAAAAAGCTGCAGTTGCCATGTCTTTATCAAAATTGAACCAATTGAGAGTTTTGTTATTTTATTTTATGTCATATTGGCTAGTTTCACTCAAGAGCGTTCCGTTGCAAACTAGTCAAAACAAAAACCTGTCGAGCAACGACAGTGAATGTTAACAAGATTTTTCAGGACAATTTTTACCAAAAATGTAGTAATTTTTTTTCAGAAAATAAAACCTATCAAACATAATCAGCAAAAATATGAAAACAATTCTACGAGCACTCACCAACAGCAACTGCAATCTTGTGGATGTACTTTTGCCTCTTGTACTCGACAGTTATAGTGTAAAGCCCCTCATCACTAGGTTCTACATTATTCAACAGTGCTTGAATTAGAGTAAGTTTCTCATCTTCATTCGCATTGATAGAGAACGTTTCAATTGGCTTATCATCGTGGCACACTGTAACTTCAGCTTGATTGTTGCCTTCGTCCACAAGGTTTGGAAGCGTGAATGCCAAGTTGCATTTTGAATTTTTCAAAACTGTCAATCTTTCATTAGTCTCAATTGGCAGCGATGTTTCTAAAATGCATCAAAAATTTTAAATATGTGCACACCAAAAGCATTTCGTGTACTTGACAGCTAAATTTATTTGAAATTTTTTTGGGTAAAGAAATTCCCTGACTGCTCATAACAATTTTTCTCGAGAACTCTTTTTGAGAAACACTTTGAAAATTATCAGTCTTTTGCATAACTGCGCTTTTAGATTTCCAGGACTCAATAAAAGACCAAATTTTGTCTGTCTTACCGGCTTCGAACTTCACAGCGAGAGTATGCTTTTTGAAGCCATCTCTATCGGAAACGGTAACATCGACAACTGGAAGGTCTTCTAGTTTCAATACACGATCAGTGTCCACAATGAATGAGCAGGTGATCAAAGAAGTCTCCGACTCCTCATCGATTTCCGAGCAGTTCCAATCGCCCAAACTGAGCAATGACTCATCACAACCAGTGAAATTTGCAACAACTCCAAAAGTGTTGTTGTCGGCAGCAAATGGAACGGCAAAAGACACTTGAATATCAGTAGTTTCTTCAGTCAGGAGCAGCGTTTTCTCTGACTCGCTGAATTCTGGCTCCACTGCAACACATTTTTTAAATTAAATTGTAAGCAGTTTACTGGCACCTGTTTGCATTTATCGGTGTCTTAAGTGACAATTTTTAAACACAGAAGCGAAGCGGAGCGATACTTTACAAACATAAAAACATAAGTAAAAAAACTAGGTAAATAAAAGTTTTCGCATGTCTCAATATAACATAAATGAGGCCACTGTTGGAATTTGTTTTATAATTTCAAATATAGGACTTAGTCCAAAACTTTATCAACTAAAATAAGTGAAAAATGCAAAGTTTTGAGATATTGGGATTTTCTCAAGGAACTTAACTTTATTTTAGAAAAAAATAGGTAGTCGCCGGGTCGGTAGAAAAATTATCGCAACCAGTTCTTGCGGCTGAACCCGTCATCTCAGATTTGATAGGACAATTTTTTAAAACACAGAGGATAATTGATAGGATAATTTTGTCAAAACAGAGGCCAAGCTGAGCTTCGCACCAATTGAGATACAAATATGAAAGACTATGATTAAAATCAATAGGAAAAAAAATTTAAAAAAAAACTTCAAAAATCGTGGTTGTCAATAAAAATTTGCAATAAAAGCCGAAAAAACCCGAAAACAAATAGCCTGCATCAATAGCAACTTCTCAAGATTTTTCGGAATACTAAAGAACCGTGTTTCAACAAATAATAATTTCTCTGGAATTAAGCCAACAAGAATAAGCAGACCGAAAATCATTTAAATTAGCAGAAAACTTTATTTTTGCAAAAAAAAACAGGTCTCTACTGGAATCGAACTCCCGAGCTTCGCCGTCTTAAGTTTGGGAGTAAAAGCAACTTGGAAGAAACTTGGGGCTTCAAAAAGTGTGGGGCTTCGGGAATTAAGTCGACAAAAATAAACAGATGGACGATAGCCTGAAAATAAACAAACAATTCTAGTTTGCAAAAAGAAGAATGCACCGGCCGGACTCGAACCGCCAGCCTTTGCGGTCTCAAGGAGTTCCGTTGGGTTACCTTTACTCCAGCGGCGCCTGAGAGTTGATTGAGCTTGAACTTATTATAAGCAAGAGGTAACAAAGCCGAAAAAATCTGAGAAAAAAAATTTTCAGAAGGAAAAAAATTCAAGAAAAATCTTTTTGAACCGCAATATTTTGAACCGAAAAAAATAAATTGGAGCCTGAATAAACTTTGAGACGTTTTCAGTAAAAAAAAATCTATCGCGACCTATTAACAACGTTCATCGAAAAAAACTGATATGGTCTCGAATTCCGACGTTTGATCCTTCGCGACATAGCCCTGCTCTTTACCACCACACCACTAGACCCACATTTTAATGAAAAATATTTTTATTAAAAAAGCGACCTATCAAATGATTAAAAAGATTCTTTTGAACTAGTTGTTAACCCAAAAAAAATTTATATTCCAGTTCAATAACGCTTGCGAATCGCAAGCGTAAAAAGATTCTAAAAAATGGTAAGAAGTTCAACTTCACTTTCGATATCTGCAATTATTTTTTTGCTTAAAGTACGCCAAGGCCACTTCAGCAGATACAATTCCCAAAATCGGGTTTCTCGAATAACCACTTCACCTTAGAATTGGCAGCGTAGTTTTGGTTAATTTTTTTTTTCACCAGGTAAAATTTTTTTCCGCTGGAAATCTTAAAAATAAATTCCACTTACGAAACTAGAAATTGTTCCCGTTTTTTTTTTGCAATCGCAAACTTTGAAAAAACGCATTAAAAAAGAACTGAACGGTCGCTGCACTTTGAATAGTTTTTTTTGGGAAAGCTCATCTACTTACCGACAGCGACGGCAATCTTGTGGATGTAAGTTTGCCGTTTGTACTGAGCTGTGATAGTGTAAAGCCCTTCATCACTAGGTTGCACATCATTAAGCAGTGATTGAATTAGAGTCGACTTGTTTTCCTCATTTGCATTGATAGTGAACGTGTCAACTGGCTTGTCATCATGGTAGACATTAAATTTAATCTGACTGTCATCTTCAGCAACAACGTCGAGCAGCGTAAACGATAAGTTGCAAGTTGAGTTTTTCATTGCCCTCACTTCTTCCATCGTTTCAACTGGCTCTGGAGTTTCTATAACAAAAATTTTAGCTGATTTAAAACCAATGGAGCTTTTCTTTTAATTGACATGGATACTGTATCAAGCGCTTCGATTTCCTTCTTTTGTTTCATTTCTTGGCTCTATTTTAATATCCTTTCTGCTGTTGCAAAGCGGTTATTCGTTAATAGGTTCTTAATTTGTTGATGTTTAACCGTTAGCTTACTACATTATGGGTGCATATTCATAACCCCAACCCTCACCCAAAGCCTAACACTAGCCAAGTACTATGAAGGAGAGCCCGTGCAAGGAATCCCATTTCATGCAAATTGGCTACGTACTCTTAAACTTTAAAAAAACATACAATTGAAAACAATTTTGATCTAACAAATTTGATTTTTTCATCTTTCCCACTATGGAAGCTCGGTGAAAACCGATTTTATACGATGAATGAATGAAAACCTTTGACAAATGCTGAGACATCCGCACAAAATAAACCTTTTCAATTACTAAACCATCGCGATATCAAGAAGCAACAATTAGTAATCCCAGCGTCAAAATATATAAATGTAAAAAGATTAATGGACTTACGGATTTCAAAATTAGCAAGCAAAGAATGCTTTCTGACACCATCTCTGTCGGACAAAATAACATTGACAGATGGAAGTTGTTCCAAATCCAGGATTTGTCCAGAGTTCACGTGGAATGAACACGTGATCAGAGAAGTATCCGATTCCTCGTCCACTTCCGAGCAGTTCCAATCCGTCAAGCTTAGGAATGACTCATCACAACCAGAGACATTCACAGTAAGATCAAACGTTTCTTTATCAGCAGCGAAAGGAGTAGCAAATGAAACTTGAACTTCAGTTGTTTCTTCAGTCAGCAGCACGGTTTTTTCTGTCTCGGTGATTTTTGGTTCCACTAAAACATATTTTGAAAGATACTTGGAACATAAGATACAAAAGCGTTTGGATAAACACTACAAGAAGCAACTGCGACCATCCGCCATCTCAAATTGAATATTTTCCTATCAAGGCGTTTTAGCGATACGTTCAAAGACAAATTTGCACTAATAATTGTAGCAGTCAACTTTTTGGATAAATTTTCTAGTTTCCCAAAAATTTCAGTGGTGCGTTAACATTTTTTCGACGTGTTCACGAGTGAAACATTCAAGAGATAGATACATAAGCTGTTTTTTAACCTTAAGTCACTTACTTATAGAGAGAGAAATTTTGTGAATGAATTTTTGTCTCTTGTACTCGGCCGAAATAGTGTACAATCCCTCGTCGACATTATCAACTTCATTCAGCACTGTCTCGATGATTGTCGTATTGTTTTGCTGGTTCGCTTCCACGACGAAACTGTCCAGAGGTTGTTCGCCATGGTATACTGTAACCTTGACTCTGCTATCGTCTTCAGTTACAAGTACGGGTAAACTGTATGCCAGTTTACATGTTGAATGCTTAGCCACTCGTTTTTCTTCACTTGATATAACCGGTTCGGGCACTTCTATAATAAAAACAAAATAAAAGTTACAAATGAGACCATCCTTTCGATCATTTTTAGAGCCTTCCTCAAAAACAAGCTTAATCTCGTCTTATGGTGCTCTCGCAAGTGACGTTTTTTGTATAAAATTTCTTAATTTGTAATTCCGTTCTTGTAATGACTTCACTTGGAAACAATTTATTATGATTATTATTACCATTATTTTGATTATTATTATTATGATTATGATTATTATGATTATCAATAATATGACGATTATTATTATGACTACTCTGATTATTATTACTATGATTATGATTATTATAAATCAAATTATTACTATTATTACTATGATTACTATCATAATGAATATTATGATTATAATTATTATGATTATGATTATCATTATTATGATTATTATTATGATTATTATGATTATTATTATTATTATTATTATGGTTATTGTGATTTTTGTTCTGAGTATTAGTACAATTATTAAGATTAATCTGATTATGATTATCATTATTATTGTCTTACAAAAATTTGGGAGATTTCGGAAAATGAATTTGATTGATAACTGTTAGAAAATGTTCAATAAGTTCACCTTAAAAAACAAAATCATAACACCGAAAAAAAAATGTGCGTGAGCCAACAAAAATGAGGATGGAAACAATGATAAAATTACCGGTTTCGAAGTACGCGACCAAAGAGTGTTTCCTGAGCCCTTCTTTATCGGCAAGCGTCACTTCAAGTGTTGGTAAGCTGACCAAATCCAGCAAGCGCTCCGAATCCACATTGAACAAACACGTTATCAGCGAAGTGTTTGAATCTTCATCTATCATTGAGCAACTCCAGTCGGTCAAAGTGAGTAGTGACTCATCGCATCCTTTGACTTCAATGTTTGTCTTGAAATTTGTCTTGTCAGCCTCAAACGGCACAGAGAAGGACAATTCGACAGTTTTGCTTGCTTCAGACAAGACTACAGTCTTCTCCGATTCGCTAAATTTGGGTTCAACTAAAACGATTTTACATTTGAAAACAGCTCAGCAACTCTTTATTACTAATTTTTGAATCTAATGTTGGCTCTCCCAGATTGATTTTGATTATAAAACTTTTGATTAAATCGTGACTTCAATCGTGCTCTCTAAAACATCTAATGATGTCGCAATTCACAATGAATTGCTTAAGAATTATGAAAATATCAGACAAGGAAAAATTTAAAGACGTTTGCCAAAAAGGCCGTTGAGCTCTTGTTCGCTTTCTAAATCTGAAGATACCGTTTTTTTTCCAACATTTTAAGAACATAGAATTGGCTCCCTGTAAAACCATTGCTTGTTTTCAAACTTACCAACAGCTACAGCTATCTTGTGAATGTACTTCTGTCGTTTGTATTCCACAGAAATAGTGTACAAGCCTTCATCTTTGTTTTCAATTTCTTCAATTAGTTTTTGCACGAAAGTAGCGTTACTTTGTTCATCCTTGTTAACCAGGAAGCTCTCAACCTGTTTGTCATCGTGGTAAACGGTAACTTGAACTTCATTTTCATCATCAACGAAACTAATGGGTAACTTGAAAGACAGATAACAAGGCGAGTCTTTCACTACTTTCAAATCCTCGCTAGTCAAAATCGGCTCTGCTATTTCTGAAAAAAAAATTATCTGAAGTAAAAATTAAAACAATTTAATTTTTGAAAAGGAGAACCAGTGCAATTACAATACAATTAAGTAATTGAAAGAGAATCCACATAGAGGCGCATAAGCTTATTTAGATACCCGATTTATTCTATAGCAACAACCGCTTATTCAACTTTACTTTCAAGTATAAATTAAGAAGTCAAATTTTGATTTTTATTAGCAGCAAATTACGTACAGAATATTTGAGACAAGACTCCGTATGTTTGATCAAATCTTTGAAATGAAAACTTACTGGTCTCAAATTGGGCGACCAGCAAATGTTTTTTCAATCCCTCTTTGTCAGCTAATGTCAGGTTCACGATTGGTAAATCTTTCAAATCCATTACTTTCGGACTGTCAACTTCGAACACACATGTGATCAAAGAAGTATCTGAGTCTTCGTCAACTTCGGAATAGTTCCAGTCACTCAGACTAAGCAACGAATCGTCGCATCCAATAATTTCTACATCCGTTTTGAAGTTTTGCTTATCTGCGACGAACGGAACCGCAAAAGAAATTTCGATAGTGTTCTTTTCCTCAGTTAGCAAGACAGTCTTTTCGGATTCACTTACAACTGGTTCCACTGAAAAAAAGGGATAATAGACGCACAGGTACAAAAATAAATGTATCTAAAACCATTTTTTTAAAATGGAAAAATGAAATATATTTAGCAAAAATAAAAAGCCGTTTTATGTAACCTAAACAAAATTTAATTTTTAAAATCAAATTCTTTATTTTTTGCTTGTTTATTCTACCAAACTTTATAAATTTAAAAAGCAATTCCCTTGAGTTTTGACACGATTCGAGTATTTTTGACAAACATGAATACTTACCAACTGACACTCTAATTTTGTGAACATATTTTTGTCGTTTATATTCGACAGAAATACTGTAGATGCCTTCATCTTTGTTCTCAATCTCCTTCAGCAACACCTGTACAACTGACGAGTTTTTGTCACTGTCGGCTTCAATTGTGAAATTGTCAACTGGTTCGTCATCGTGATACACTCGAATTTTCACGTCGCTGTCATTTGATACGACCATATTTGAAACTTTGAAGGACAAAGCACATTGTGAGCTCTTAAGCACAGTTTTTTCTTCATTGGTCACAACGGGCACCGGTTCGCCTAAAACAGAATTTTTATTAATAAAACTATATTAGCAATTTGACTGATTTAACGCGCAATGTATAGTCCAGTTTTCAAAAAAAAATGCACATTTATATATCGGAAAAATCCTGTATTTCGTTTTTTGTTCTGGAAGGGTGTGTTTCATCCTTAACACATGACTTTAAACCTGTTTTGGAAAATTATGAATATAGAAAAAGTTTTAAGTTCCTTAAGAGAATTTAACTTACTGGCAAGAAGGTTGCAGACAAGCGAGTGTTTTCGGAAACCCTCCTTGTCCGAGAGAGTAACTTCAACCACCGGCAAGTTATCCAATTCAAGGACGCTATGCGAGTCCACGTTGAATACGCATTTCACCAACGAGATCTCCGAATCTTCATTCACTTCTGTGCAGTTCCATTCCTGAAGACTCAGTTGTGATTCATCGCAGCCTTTGACTTCAACATTTGTATCGAATGTTTCTTTGTCAACGATGAAGGGAACGGGGAACGTCACTTCAAAACAAGTGTTTTCTTCGCTCAATAACACAGTTTTCTCTGATTCCGTTAACTCAGGATCAACTGAAATTTAGGTTAAGTTTAGTTTTCAATGTTGTTGTTGTTTGTCAGAGGAGGCTTAGTTCTTGTCTGATCTGAGCCCAACAGTTCAAGAAAAAGAACAAATTATTTTTTTTAAATAAGAATTTTTGGATTTTTAGCGGACCACTCTACTCGCTATCGCTAATTGACACATTGGTTAGAAACTAAATTATTACCCAAGACATTGTGTTTACGGAATATATGCATAGCGTATAATTTTTTCCTTAACAAACTTTCTGAAATTAACTTTCATCAGTCATAACTTACCAACGGCGACTGAAATCTTGTGAACAAATTTCTGGTGTTTGTATTCCACTGCGATTGTGTATAATCCTTCATCTGCGTGTTCAATCTCATCAATGACCTTTTGTAACACCGCAACATTTTCGTCTTTCTTGACTTCGAATTCAAATTTGTCGACTGGTTTGTCATCGTGACTGACACTGACTTTGATTTGGCTTTCGTCTTCAATTTCCACATTTGACAGTGAGAAAGAAATCGGACATTGAGAATTTTTCAAAACTGTTAATTCTTCGCTCGTCACAACAGGTTCCGCTTCTTCTAAAAAGTTAGAAAAAAAAAATCGCTTCAGACAATTAAAAACTTTATCAATCAAATTAAATGGTTCCAAAAAGCGCACCACTGGAATGCAAATTCACAACAAACAAAAATTGAGTGTTTATATAAGCGTATTTACCGAATAATTTTTGATAAGCCTATCATCGAACTTCTCCAGAATTGGAGGTTTTAATACGTACTAATTTCCAGGTGAGTTTCGTTTTCGTGTGTCGCGATTCCATCTTTGCTGCTGACTGTCACTTCAAGAACCGGCAAATCATCAATTAAGAACAACTTATCCGAGTCAGCCTTGAATGTACAGGTGACCAGACATCGGTTAGATTCAGAGTCCACGTTAGAAACAGTCCAGTCAATCAGCTCCAGCAGTTTCTCGGAGTCCTTAGAGACTTCAGAAATTGGCTTGACGTTTACAGAAACATCTGATGATTTTTTGTCGACGATAAAAGGAACTTCGAATTCTGTTTTGACGGCAGTCGTCACGACATCAAGAGTAACAGTATTGAAGGAACTGCTGTATTCTGGCTCAACTTAAACCAAAATGGATGATAATCCATGTTTGAAAGATGTATATTTACGTTAGGGGTATAATAAAATACTGATCTTATAAACAGTTCAAACTTCATTAACTTCAGTACAATTTTTACTCAACTTTCGTGCTTAAAACAAAAAACTGTATTATAAAAACAACTTGACAATTTAACCATTTTTCTATCTTTGAAGCAATCAATTATTTTGGCAGTCAGATCTTTCGAATTGAAAAAAGAGAAAAACACATTTTAATTTTTTTTAATGGAAAAGACTCACCAACATCCAGGACAATCTTATGAATATATTGCTGTTTCTTGTATTCCACTGCAAGTGTGTACACTCCACTGTTTTCAGTCTCGACAATGTCAAAGTCTTTGTGAACCAAGACATCCTTAGAGTCGGCAGTATTCGCTGATGATTTCTCAATTTCAAACGACTCAATAGGCTGGTCCTCGAAGGTACAATCTAGCTTACACTTTTCAATCACTCGTTTCACTTCTTCAGGCACATCAAACTTGAGTGAATATGATGTATGTTTTAAAACAGTTACTGTTTCTTCGGTCACGATAGGCTCCGGATATTCTGAAACTTTTTTTTTTTTAATTTAGAAGTGATTTGGTAAAATTAGTAACAATTTTCTATATGACTGCGAACTAAATTAAGTATGATGTTGATAGTTGGTCGCAATGATCGTTAAAATGTTACTACTCAACGATCTATCTAGATTAACTTAAATAAATTACCTATTTCAAGAGACGTAGCATGCGAGTGCTTTCTTAATCCGTCCTTGGTCGTTATGTTGACTTCCAAAACTGGTAGTTGGTCCAATTCGAGCACTTTTCCAGAATCCAGCTCAAACTGGCAATAAATCAATGTTGCTTCACCCTCCATTCCTGAATCTGTTAACTTCCAGTCCACAAGTTGAGCCAAGCGGGACTCCTCAGGTGTAAACGAAACAACAATGTCTTCTGTATTGTTCAGTTCAGACATGAATGGAATTGAAATCATTGTTTCAACTGACAACGGCCTCTGGTCGTCTACTGTGCTGCGTTCAATTTTGACGGTAGAAACTGACTCTGTGTACTCGGGCTCAACTAAAGATCATTCAAACTTAACCTACAGTACGCGACATAACAAAAACAGCAAAAACTCAAAAATCTTGTTATGCAGCTGAATCTAAAAGATAAAAGTATATCGCATTACTCTTAACTTTTAAGAAGAACCTTTCTTAGATACTTAACTTCATTTTTTTTGTTTCAATACGATTGAAGCTTAAATGGTTTTTAACGAGAGCGAATGATAATCCATATTTGAAATAGTCATATTTAGGTTAGAAATATAAAAATACTGATCTTATAAAACGTTCAAATTTTCGTTAACTTCAGTATAATTTTCACTCAGTTTGGTCCTCAAAACTAATTGAAAATCTATATTATAAAACAACTTGAAAATCTAACCATTTTACTGTCTTTAAAGCTGTCATCTATTTTGGAAAAGGATATGTTTCGATTTGAAAATAAAGAAACGTTTTGATTTTTTAATAGAAAAAAACTCACCAACATCCAAGACAATCTTATGAATATATTGCTGTTTTTTGTATTCCACTGCAAGTGTGTACACTCCACTGTTTTCAGTCTCGACAATGTTAAAGTCTTTGTGAACCAAGACATCCTTAGAGTCGGCAGTATTCGCTGATGATTTCTCAATTTCAAACGACTCAATAGGCTGATCCTCGAAGGTACAATCTAGCTTACACTTTTCAATCACTTGTTTCACTTCTTCAGGCACATCAAACTTGAGTGAATATGATGTATGTTTTAAGACTGTTACTGTTTCTTCGGTCACGATAGGCTCCGGATGTTCTGAAACGTTTGTTTTAAATCTAGAAGTGATTTCGAAGAACTCGAACAATTTTTTATGTGACTGTTGATTAAATTAAGCATGATGTTGATATTTGTTACGCAATGATCGTTCTTAGAATTTCAATATTCTATGAACTATCTAGATTAACTTAAATGAATTACCTATTTCAAGGGTAGTGGCATGCGAATGCTTTCTTAATCCGTCCTTGGTCGTTACGTTGACCTCCAAAACTGGTATTTGGTCCAATTCGAGCAATCTTCCAGAATCCAGCTCAAACTGGCAACAAATCAATGGTGCTTCATCCTCCATTCCTGAATCTGTTAACTTCCAGCCCACAAGTTGAACCAAGCGAGACTCCTCAGGTGTAAAGGAAACAACAATGTCTTCTGTATTGTCCAGTTCAGACATGAATGGAATTGAAATCAATGTTTCAACTGACAACGGCCTCTGGTCGTCTACTGTGCTGCGTTCAATTTTGACGGTAGAAACTGACGTTGTGTACTCGGGCTCAACTAAAATTAATTTAAACTCACCCTAGAGTACGCGACAAAAAAATAGCAACAATTTAAAAATCCTATTTTGCAAAAGAATCGATAAGTTAAACGCAAATCTCATCGCTCTTATTTTTAAGACGAACCTTTCCACCTAGATACTAAGCTTCAATTTTTTTGCTGTAATACGAGTGAAGCTGAATATATTTCCAAAGAGGGTGAATCTTTCATTGAGAAAAATGTCACTTCACTTATGCATTTTCTTTTTCATTACTGGTTTATAGTGTTTGAGATTGAACACAAAACAATCAATTGAAACTTAAAATAGGAAGCAGTTTGAGTTTTTCAAATATAACAAACAAAAATAGTTTTTGGAAATTCCAATCTATTGGGAAAAACTTGGTCATGCTATTTTGAAAATGTTTTAAATCTATCGAAAGTTATAGAATTTACCCGTTAACATCGTTTTTCTTTAATTGGAATCGCATGATAACCATCTTTTTGTATGCGCAAGGAATACGAATAAACTTCCATAAAAAATTAATATTATAATGTAAAATAACTATTTGATTAGAAAAAAAAACGTGACTCGCTAAGATGAACTAGCATGGACTCAAAAAAAACTGACAATAGTGTGCATGTGAAAGAAAAGTAAAAAAATAGTAATTCAGCAGGAACCCTTTAGCCAAAAATCAACGAAAAAAGCTAAACTGATCAGCTCAAACAAAAGTCACATAATTCAAACAAAAAAATCATGCAGAGAAAAATAAATTCAGTCGTTATGGTATTGATTTTCAGAATTCAGCTGTGGTTCATTGATAAGGTATAAAAACAGAACAAAAATTCTGCAATAGGAAAATCAAAAGGAAACAAAATTGTGAGAAAAAACTACAAAACACTTTGTAGTCGACAACGAGACACTTGTTTTGCTAGCGTAACAAGGAAAAAAAATAGGTCAAAGAATTTGCATAGTTTGCTAAAACACAATGAAGCAAAGCTGTCAAGGTTTTCTACAATGAAAATTTAGCTTGAAAAATGGAAAATTTATCATGAAAAATTTTTGCGGCACCTGTTACGGTTAATCAAAGCACCTAGTGAAAAAACTCACCAACATCTACTGCAATCTTGTGGATGTATTTTTGTCTCTTATACTGAAGAGTAACCGTGTAAACACCAGCATCTTCGCTCTCGGCACATTCAAGCTCTTTGTATAGCAAGAGAGGCTCGGAATCAACTTTATCTCCAGACAGCTTTTTGATTTCGAAGTCTTCGATACTAATGTCTTCGAACTTGTAGTCCAGCTCGCATTTCTCGATAACCGATTTTACTTTATCGGGAACATCATACTTAAGTGCACAAGAAGAATGTTTCACAACTGTCACGTGTTCTTCGGTAACGATTGGATTATATTCATCTAAGCAAAATAAGCATTTTCACACAAAAACGGTCTATAATTGAAGCCTATCAAAAAGACAGAAGCTTAAATTTAGTAAAAGATATTCAGTGAAACCATATATATAATATATATAGATAATATATACAATATATATAAAATTTAGGAAACAGAACAAAATTTGCGCAAAACCAGATTTAAAATCTAAGCAGTTTTTATTGCAAAAAGAATCAGGAACAGATAATAAAGAGAGAAACAAATCAGATTAGAGTGAAAATTTTCAGTTTTTTTAAATAATGTTTTTGCTCCTATTAGAAGAAAACTTTTTATTCACCATACATGCGTCTGCATAACCTGACAACCCCTGCTGATTTCTTTCTTATCACATCTTTCATGCATTTTAAAATCAAAGAAATGGCATAGAATGATGAAACACAGCGCGTATCTGGTTTCTGCTTAAAAAGCGTTTAAATTGTCGAGACAGCATTTTTTAACGAAACATCCTTGCATGACAAAACATTACAGGACTTATGTGCATAGAATCGTAATAAGTAGTATAGCGGTAAAAGTATAAACGTGCTATATGGCCTACTATGGTTTAATAACATAACTCACCAATTTCGAGAATTGTCGAATGCAAGTGCTTCTGGATACCATCTTTGATGGATACGTTGACATCCAGTATTGGTAACTGATCCAACTCAAATAAGCGATCAGAATTCAATTCAAATCGGCAGCAGATCATTGAAATCGACGATTCGCTATCTGCATCGGTTAGGTTCCAGTCAACAAGTCGGGCCAATGGTTTTGAACCACTGATAAGATTATCCTCAGGTGTAAATGAGACAACAATGTCATCTTTGTTTTTCAAATCAAACAGGAAAGGAACTGAAGCCATTGTTTCAATAGTGAGTGGTTGATTGTCCTCTATTTCATTGCCATCGATCTTGACGGAAGTTTCAGACTTTGTGTATTGAGGTTCAACTGAAAACAATTTTCGTTCAAATAATTCGAAGCAACAAAAATGGATACTTGTTTTTATAGAACATTCATAAAAAACTTTTTCTTCTGATGCTAAATTACAGACTCATTGGTACAAGTTTAAAGTTTCTTTCAGAAAAAAAAAACCTTATAAAATTGAAATAATTCCAATCTTGTTTTTTATATACTAACCAACTTCCAAAGATATCTTGTGAATATATTTCTGCTGCTTATATTGCAAAGAAATCGTGTACATGCCACTATCATCAACGTCAATTTCTTCAAACTCTTTATGTACGACAATTTTTTTCGACTCCGAGTTTTGTAAGTTGTCTTCTGATGACTTCTGGATCTCAAATGAGTCGATGGGACTATCTTTAAAGGTACAATCAAGTTGGCAATTATCGCCGAAATTCGTCATTTTTGCGGGCACATCAAACTTGAGAGAGCAAGAAGAATGCTTCACTACAGTCACCAACTCCTCGGTCACAATGGGTTCAGGAGATTCTAAACAACATTCATTTTTCAAAAATTGACCGTCACTTGGGTAACACATTAACCGGCTCTTTTTCCTTCCCCCACGTCACATAAGCATGTATTTTATGGTGTAACGGCGGGTTTCACCAGGTTGCGTATAAAAACCGAAAAATGTTTTTGACCAAAAACTCGCAAGTGGGTGAAAATGAAAATGAGCGCATTAACCAAAACTTATAGTTGGTACAAAAAAGAAATGCCGATTATTTAACTATCAGTCTCAGAACACTTATTCCCCCAATTCGAAGCTTTTTTGAGAAATCTCGAATGATTTACCCAATTCAAGAGCAGTCGCATGTAAATGCTTCCGTGTACCATCCTTAGTGGTCACATTGACTTCCAAAATTGGTAGTTGGTCCAACTTCAACACCTTTTCCGAATCCATTTCGAATTGACAACAAAGCATTGGATTCAAAAAGTAACCGTCTGAATCTGTCACATTCCAGTCGATGAGTCTCGCCAGTGGCAAGTCAGTGCCAGAAACCGAATCTTCAGGGTTAAAAGAAACAGTTAGGTCTTCTTTATGATTCAATTCAGACAAAAATGGAACGGAGGCCATCGTTTCAACTGTAAATGGTTTGCCCTCTTCTATTTCACTGCATTTAATTATGATGACCGTTTCGGTTTTTGTGTACTCGGGTTCAACTAAAATGATAATTGAATTAATTTTGTAAGGAGAAAAAGTAGGATTATCAAAGAAAGTTAGGATTACCAAAAACTAGGATTATCAACAAGAGGATTACTTAAGGAAAATCTATTAACGGTTATAATTGATGGGTAAAAATCATTTTGTCGGAAAACTGGATGGTGTCTCGTTCAAAATCCGATGTTTTAAAGAAATAACTTTTAGTTAGTGCCGGGAAGAGTGCGGATTTCTTTCATTCTTTTTCTAGTCATTCTTTTTCAAGTGCCATAAACCATTAGGTATAACTGAGCCTATAAGAGGTTTTAATTGATCAGTCTTCAAATGAAACGTCTAGAGAAAATTTGATTGTATATACAAATGAGTTTGGGACTGACATTGAATTCCGCAAAAAAGGAGAATAAGGACAAAAAATACGCAAATTAAAACTGCATGTAACACAGAGGTATCACTCAAGCGTAGAATTGCAAGCTAATTAAATGAAAAATCGAAATCCAGATTGAAAATTTTTTAGGAAAAAATGAAAAATAACATGAAAAAAAAAACAGCCGAGAATTACTAAGAAGGAAAAAATAATGCAAGTCAGAGCTAGTAATATTACAAAGCACAGGAAGAAATACACAACACTTGCAACTAAACTGAAAATCGCCTCTAGCTCATGAAAAATCCGTAAGGTGGCAACTGAGCCAAAATGTCATAAGCAGACAAACGATAGGCCAAATTTTTGACACATAGGCAAAGCTTCGCGCCAAAAGGAAAAAGAAAAACCAGCCTCGAGTTAGTAAAAAGTCGTCTAGGTCTATGATTCGATCTAAGACATATTGCAATCAAAAGATTTTGAGTTTTACGATGTAACCGCACAGCTACGCACGCTTAACCACCGACAAACACTAGTCACAAATAGTCACTAGTCAAACACTAGTTACTAGTCACAAATAGCAGCTACATATGCTAATAAAATGGTAATGAGACTCAGCAAAAGGAGCACCAAATACAAATATAAACAATTTTACAAGTAATAATTTGGAATATAACAAACTGAAGACTCCACACTAACTTCGCATGTAACAAATCAAAGTGGAAAGCCAGATTATGCATAAATTTTGAATTTCAAAAAATTGCGAAACATTGAGTTAAAAAATTTCTGAAATCTTTTAAGACTGAGTTTTTATGATTGTTTTGTTGTTTTAAACAAATAGCTTTTTTCAGTTCACTTGATGCAAAAAAATGCATCAAATGTGTTAACTTATTACTTTTCGAGTTTCAAAGATAGGCACCAATATTCGCGACTTAGATTAGAAAAACAGAAAGTTCGTAATAATACACTACGCTGACGCAAGTGTAAAAAGGAAAAACTTCAGGCAGGGAAAAAAGAAACCTTGCCGGCACTTAAACTCCAGACTTTAAGGTGCAAAGACAACCGCGTTACCTCCGAAACACACGGGATAAGGGGTCTGGAAATTATTAAGATTAACTATTACAGCAAATTTAATTTCTCACAGATTTGTAAAAAAAATTGGGCAGGGGAAAATGTTTCCTAAAAAGAGACACTTGATCTCGCAAGTGTAAACATAGCCAACTGACAGTTGGAAAAGATTAATGAACGCAAGGAAACTGAAAAAAAAACGACTGGTTTTTTCAAAAATTGTCAACTTTTGAATTTCAAAGAAAAGAATCGATGGCCTTTAAGTTCTTTGAATTTGCAGAACAATTTATGATGAACCCTTTGTTGTTAAAATAAACCCAATTTGAGAAAACTGACTCAATGGGTGAAATTTTTATTTCGCTGAGAAATCTGATAAATAATTTCCATTTTCGAAATTAAAAGTCGATCAGGTTTTTCGTGGCTTTTGCTGTTCGATAGTGGAGTTTGCCATCCTTTTAACAATGGAAATACACTGAAGTTAAACAGAAATCGCAAGTCAAACCGCGCGAAAAATCAAATATGAGCGCGAAGAAAATTTAGGACTTTTTCCTGAAAGAAAAAAACCAGCAAGACCTATATAAAAATATTCACTACGTTCAATGCTCTTAATAAGCAAGTTATGCACTCATTAAATTAAATTACAATTAGGGGATGGCTAAAATCTAGGTAAATTGTCTATGATAGCTGAATTATGTAGCAAGATATTTGTTAACACAGGCGAAGCTGCAAATCGTAAATACGAGCAAGGAAACAGCAAATATCATTATGCAGAAATGAGCCTTGAAAGAAAATAAAATTCGAAACCGTAAGAAATGGAAAAGAGTCAATGGACGCACGAAAAACGCACAACCTCAAAGTTAAAAAATTATTGTTTCAGAGCTCTTTAAATTTCAAGAAAAATGTCTGTTGTTTAATGAAATTGATTCAATTTGGGAAAACTGGATCAATAGATTAATTTTTTATACCGCTGCAAAATCTGAAACTTAAAATTCACTTGCGAAATTAGAAGTCGATCAAATTTTCTGTGACCTCAACACTTTTGTGTTCGATAAAGGAGTTCGCCTTCCTTTTAACTAAACAAATGAACTGAATTTGAAAATAAATTAAAAGTCACACCGCAAAAAAAATCAAATAAAATCGCGAACAAATTTTAAGATTTTTCTTGAAAAAAATCATCACTACTTTAATAAGAGTCTTAAATAGATTCATAGATTCTTAAAAACATGTACTGAAAAATATGATTTGAGTCCAGTGGGAAAACTATTGATCTATTTTACACTTTCGTGTTCGATAAAGGAGTTCGCCTTCCTTTTAACTAAACAAATGAACTGAACTTGAAAAAAGATTAAAAGTCAAGCCGCAAAAAAATCAAATAAAAGCGTGAAAAAATTTTATAAGATTTTTTCTTGAAAAAAAAATATCACTACCTTAATATGAGTCATAACTACCTTTATAGATTCTTAAAATAACGTACAGAAAAATATGATTTGATTCCAGTGGGAAAATTATTGTTCTATTCCAATAACTTCATATCAAAATGGGCTACACAATTGCGCCCTGAGTTGTGGAACTATTTGCAGTGATCAAACAATTCGCTTTTACGCATTTAGCATAAAACAATGAAATAAAAATGCGCATAATTAAGTCCAAATTGTTGAGAAAACGACACTTTTCAAACCTTAACGGCAGGGCGATTTTCTACATTTTCTTAATTGCAGGGTGATTTTCTTATTTCGGTTCTGTCGGCGATTATTGCAAAGAATATAAAAATGTCCAAAAAAAACAAACACTCGATTAAATTTGTTTAAGCAATATTTGCACGAAAATGAGCTATCTTGTTTAAAGAGGACTAATTGAATAATACTACGCTCAAAAGCCCGGAGTGTAAACAACTATTTTTCCGTCAAGCTACTAACCGACTTCTACAGAGATCTTGTGAACATATTTCTGCTTCTTGTATTGTAGAGTAATTGTGTAAAGTCCATTGTTATCGAAATCAACTTCCTCGAATTCTTTCTGTATAATAACAGGCATGTCTTCATCTTTGTGATTATCTGCAGAAGGTTTTTGTATCTCAAACGTGTCGATATGTTCATTCTCGAACGAAAAATCCACTAGGCAGTTCTCAACCACTTCTTTCAATGTTTCGGGTACATCAAACGACAGTGTGCACATGGAGTTTTTCACAACGGTAAGAAACTCTTCAGATACTATTGGCTTCGGCTCGTCTAGAAAAAAATGGATTACCATATCCAGTATATAACATAAACTCTATAACACAATTACCTCTTTTTTGCCAGTTTTGTGATGAATTTCAATGTAACCTTTAAAATAAGTATCGGTTTACCCCAAGAAATTTATTTAGCCAAAAAGGTGCAATATCTAACAGCATTACTAAATTTTGTCTATCAACCCAAAACAAACCTTTTGTTTTACAAATACTCAGACATTATACCCTTTTAATCGTTTTAGGCAGGGTCCGACGCTCACTTTCAAAAAACTGATTCGAAAACTGCCACTCCTGTTTTTTTCTTACATTTGATCAAAATTGCATAGTTCTCAGATTTTATATCTTTCTTAAATTTTGTCGGATAAATTAAATAAGACTAAATTAAATAAATAAAAAATTTATTAATTAAATAAAAATTTATCGAACTATTTCCAAAACTACTCATTTCAACGTTGAAACTCTGAATTCGACCGTTTTTGGATGAAAACCATCACTTTTTTTTTTTATAAAATTGAATCAATTCGGAAACAGTGTCAAATATTTCATGATTCATCTGTATAAAATATTTTTCCGCATAAATTAAATCAGCTATAATAAACTCAAGCCTAAACGAGCCTGAAAAAAAACCAGCAAAAGAGCCCTTCGTTCTTTAAAAATTAAAAAGCATTATAGGAAAAGATTAACTCACCAAGTTTAAGAACAGTTGAGTGCAAATGTTTCTGCAAACCATCTTTGGTAGAAACGTTCACTTCTAACACCGGCAACTGATCCAATTCAAAAATCTGTTCGGAATCTAGCTCAATTTTGCAGCAGATAGCAGCATCCGATGACTCAGTTGCTGGTTCTGTTACACACCAGTCGACAAGTCGGGCTACTGGTGATGCCTCTTTGTTCGCAGACTCAACTGGCGTAAAAGAAACAACGATGTTTTGTTCTTCTTGATTTGCCAGGAAGGGTACCAGTGCTGACGTTTCAATCGTTACAGTCTGTGTTTCTGTTGTTTCGCTCTCATCAATGCTGACAACAGTTTCAGACTTGGTGTATTCAGGTTCAACTGAAACATTTCAAATGAGTTATAAGTGTGATCCATCAAAAATAATGCGAAAAACAAAAATCTCGGAAAAAGTCGGTTCTATGTATTTCCGAATCTGGACTGACATACATTTTTGTCATTTGATTTCATTTAACAAAATTTCAACCACAAAATTTTAACAACAATATTTTATCCACCACGGAAAATCAAGCGTTCAACAAAAAGTTTTCGATATTTTGGTTGATTATACGTACCGACTTCCAAGGCAATCTTGTGGATGTATTTTTGCCTGTTGTATGTCATTGAAATTGTGTACACGCCGCTGTCTTCGTTTTCCACAAACTCCAACTCTTTGTGGACTAATACAGGCTTATCCTCAGACGGAGAGTCAACTTCGAACGAGTCGATAGTCTTGTCATCGTGGACGAAGTCTAGTTTAATTTTTTCGATGTTTTTAACTTTCTTGGGTGCATCAAATTTGAGTGAGTACGAAGTGTGCTTCACAACTGTCACAGCCTCCTCAGTCACAATGGGCTCCGGCTCATCTAATTTCACAAAATATCATTTCGATTTTTCAAAGTTAAAAGTGCATAATAGAAAATGATTAACTTACCAAGTTTAAGAACAGTTGAGTGCAAATGTTTCTGCAAACCATCTTTGGTGGAAACTTTCACTTCTAACACCGGTAACTGACCCAATTCAAAAAGCGGCTCGGACTCCAGCTCAATTTTGCAGCAGATAACAGCATCCGATGACTCAGTTGCTGGTTCTGTTACACACCAGTCGACAAGTCGGGCTACTGGTGATGCCTCTTTGTTCGCAGACTCAACTGGCGTAAAAGAAACAACGATGTTTTGTTCTTCTTGATTTGCCAGGAAGGGTACCAGTGCTGACGTTTCAATCGTTAGAGTCTTTGGTTCTGTTGTTTCGCTCTCATCAATGCTGACAACAGTTTCAGACTTGGTGTATTCAGGTTCAACTGAAACATTCAATTGTGATCAAAAATGGCGTCCGTAAAATAATGCAATAAACGAAAACTCTCGGACTTTTTATTTGCGAATGTGAACTGCCAGACAATTTTATAGCATTTGATTTCACATAAAAAAATTCAACTGCAGAATTTTTAAGACCGATATTTCAACCACCACAGAATGTCAAGCGTTCAAAAAGAATGTTCTATGTTTTTATTGTTTTATTAATTATTCTTACCAACTTCCAAGGCAATCATGTGGATGTATTTTTGCCTGTTGTATGTCATCGAAATTGTGTACACACCGCTGTCTTCATTTTCGACAAATTCCAACTCTTTATGGACTAATACAGGCTTGGACTCAGTTTTATCCTCAGACGGAGAGTCAACTTCGAACGAGTCGATAGGCTTGTCATCGTGCACGAAGTCCAGTTTAACTTTTTCGATGTTTTTAACTTTCTCGGGTACATCGAATTTGAGCAAGTACGAAGAGTGCTTCACAATTGTCACAGATTCCTCGGTCACAATGGGCTCCGGCTCATCTAATTCAACAAAGTTCTTTTTTTTTCAGTTATAGACAAAGTGACACTATTCAAAAATTAACTAAGTATATTGCTTTTACCACTGTGCACTTGTTCCATAGAGCACTTGTTGTATTGATTTGACCTGCATTCATCTGTCAAAAATGATACTTTTGCATAATAATCGAGAGAGGAGGGTTTGAAACTGACTCCAAGCACAAAATTGACCAGTTTTCAATTTCGAAAAAACAAACTTGCAATAAAAACGATAAGAACGAGATAAAGTTGACATGTTTTCAAATCCATAACCTAAGCAAATCTACACAGATTGATTGATGAAATGAAAAAAAAAAAGATTGTTTGATTACTTTAAGAGGCTCATTTTTAACTGCTTTAAAAAACCTACAACTTGATTTCTGCTTCGCAGCTCTGCAAAAAAATCTGCATATCTTAGAGAAAAACGTTTAAGTTGGGTTTTAAACATTATTAATAAAGTTACCCATCTGAAGAACAGTCGAGTGCGAGTGCTTTTTCAGCCCATCTTTGGTAGATACATTAAGCTCCAAAACTGGCAGCTGATCCATTTCCATCACTCTTTCCGAATCCAGCTCAAAGTTGCAACAAATCACCGGATTTGAACCCTTATCGCTTTGTTCTTGAACCGTCCAGTTCACAAGTTTTGCCAAAGGTAACGAATCAGGATCATCTTGCTCTTCAGGTGTGAAAGTTACAAGTAGGTCTTCCCTGCTACTTAATTCAGACAAGAATGGAACAGGAGCCAAAGTTTCAACCGTGACATTTTGCTGTTCTTCAGAGTCGATCTGTTCAACTTTGACGACAACTTCAGATGTCGTATATTCCGGTTCCACTATAAAACAATATTTTACCGTAAAAATCAATCAAAAAGATGAAAATTAATTACTGTTTCAATTTTGAAAAACAATTGACTTGTTGCTATCTTGATTAATTAATTTGACAATTGGGACTATAGCTAAGTGGTAAAGAACATATTTTTCGCCAATTCATTTCCTACTTTTTTGCCCTTTTGGTGACCAGAAACGCTACGCCAGCACTAACCGACTTCCAAGGCAATCTTGTGAACATACTTCTGTCCTTTATATTGCATGGTTACTGTGTATACCCCACTGTTCTCGATGTCAATCTCTTCGAACTCTTTATAAACGGAAACAGGTTTGCTTGAAACTTCAACGTCTTCTGGTAGTTTTCGGATCTCGAATGAGTCGATAGGAGAATCTTCAAAAGCACAGTCGACTGCACAGCAGTCGATAACACTTGTTATTTTTTCGGGCACATCAACCTTGAGAGAGTATGAAGAATGCTTCAGCACTGTCACTGATTCTTCAATAACAATAGGCTCAGGCAATTCTGAAACAATTTTTGATAGGGTCAACAGTTATGTTCAAAGGTCATAATTTTCAAATTTATATCAAGTAGAAATTAAGTAGTCTTGATTTACCCAATTCAAGAGCAGTCGCATGAGAATGCTTCCTTATTCCATCTTTGCTCATTATATTGACTTCTAAAACTGGTAGGTTCTCCATTTGTAACACTTTTTCTGAATCCAACTCGAATCGACAAAAAATAAATGCTTTTGATGAACCATCCACTGAATCTGAGATATTCCAGTCGATAAGTTGCGCCAGAGGTAACTCCATATCGTCAACCGACTTCTCAGGTGTAAAAGAAACAATTATATCGTCCTTGTTTTCCAAATCAAACAGGAATGGAACTGAAGCTCTAGTTTCAATTGTGAGTGATTTGCTGTCATCAATCTCACTCCCATCGACCTTGACCAATGTTTCAGATGTTGTGTACTGAGGCTCAACTGAAAAAAATTTGCTTACAATAGCTGGGATAGAAAAACATAGCCAACTGACAGTTGAAAAAGAGTATGGCACGCAAGGAAACAGAAAAAACTGACTCGTTTTTTTTTTAAATTCAACTTTCGCAGTTTAAAAAAAATATTAAAGCTAAAATATATTTTAAGAACAATTTATGGTTGGTTGCTTTTTTGATAAAATTAACCCAATTTCAGAGGACTGAATCAATAGATAAAGTTTTTAGTCCGCTTGGAATTTTACAAACCAAATTCAATTTTCAAAACTAGAAGCCGTTCACATTTTTTTGCGCCATTTCCACGTTCGTATTTGGAAAGAGCTATTTCCGTAACTTTCAGCATATGAATTTCAATTGAACGGAAAAAGTGTATATATTACTAAGTGCATTCATAAGTGCATTAACATGCATGAATGCACATCTGTAGTTATTATAGAATTTTATAATTTTTTTACCTGAAAAAAAAACTACAAAAAATCACCAAGACCTAAATAACTATGTAAGAGTATTCACTCAATTCTTTATTCTTAAAAAAAAATATTTAAATTTCTTTAGTCAAAACACCTCATTCTATTTTCAATTTATGCTATGAAACGTAAGTCTCCTAATTTGAAGGACTATCCGCACATAAACAAAATTCGATGACATTGTACTGCTAACTTGCATATAATTTCTTTTTTAAACCTAAGTACTAACCGACTTCCAAAACTATTTTGTGAATATATTTCTGTCTCTTATATTGCATGGTGATTGTGTAAACACCGCTGTCTCCAATGTCAACTTCTTCGAATTCTTTATGCACGATAACCGGTTCGTCTTCACCTTCTTTGGATTCATTAGGCTTCTGAATCTTAAAGGATTCGATAGGCTGATCTTCATAAGCACAATCCAGTTTGCATTTCTCAACCACTTGAATCACGTTCTCGGGTACATCAAATTTGAGCGAGCATGAAGAATGATTCAGCACAGTTACAGATTCTTCGGTGAATATGGGCTCAGGAGTGTCTAAAACATGTATACATTGTTTATCAGCTGTATTGTTGAAGAATCAATAATGCAGGAAAAGTTTGCTAGAGAAAACTCATTTTAGCATCTCCATGGGTAAAATTATGATTAAAAGTTCAGTCAAAATCAGTCATTTAATAGAAAACATTTTTCGAAATTATGTCATGGTTACCAACCCATTTCAAGAACGGTAGCGTGTGAGTGCTTTCTGGTCCCATCTTTGGTTGAAACGTTGACTTCCAAAACTGGCAATTCTTTCATTTCAAACACTTTCTCGGAATCCAGTTCAAACTGACAAAACACTTGAGGCTTCGAAGAATCATCTTCTGATTCGCCTGTTACTTTCCAGTTGACAAGCGCTGCCAATGACGATGAGTTTTCTTCATTGACAGATTGTTCCGATTCAACAAAACTGACCGTAATGTCTTCGCTGCTCTTGATTTCTGACAGGAACGGAACCGGAGCGTATGTTTCGACAGAAAGAGTTTTTTCTTCCTTTTCTTTGATTTTGATAGTCACGTCAGACCTGGTGTATTGTGGTTCGACTAAAGATATATATCGAGTTTAGCTTTATGTTTTGGTCTTCTCAAACTTCATCTTTACATTCAAATTTCATTCAGGAAATTAATGTTTAGAAAAAATTGCGAAACACAGAGAAACAAAAGGATAGCTGGTTACTGTGCAAATAGCACAGAATATTCCGACCATAGTATTAAAAAACACACTCTTTTCAAATTATGGCGTTTTTTTCTGAGTGGTGTGATAAAAAGGTCTGAACGAAAAAATACAAATTAAGTCAGGAGCGGATTTAATGAGGGGGGGGGGCGGACGCCTCTTCTTCTTCAGGGATTTGACTCGCTGCTGACCCAAAGGGTGGTCCCTTTGTACTATTTTGAGCTATCCATTTTTGGTGACTGACCCTAAAATTTTATTTTTCCAAAAGCGCCTTCGGCGCCAATAGCCAATATACTAGTTTTGAGGGGGGAGCGCGCGACAAAAAATCGAGATTTTTGGCCAAAATTTTTCAAAAAAAGTGCCCTAAAACGTCTTTGTGGCCTGTTTTTTTAAATTTTGCCAGTGGTGCAGAACATATGGCCAAAACAAGGTATTTATAGTGCTCTGGGATATGCCAAAAAATCAAATTGGTTGACCAAAAAAAAAGGTCGACAAAATTTTTAAAATTTTCTTGAAATTCCGCCCCCCCTCAAATAAATCCTAGATCCGTCCCTGAATTAGGTAGGTATATTCGACATTCATAGTCAAATAAACCAGTTGGAAAAGCAGTTTTCGAACAAAAATTACTAAAAAAACCAAAAAAAAAGTTGTTAGAAAATTAAATCTTCAACAAAATTTGTTTTTTGAATTTTTGAAAAATTTGATTACCAAAATGGAGCTCAGAAATATCAAACAATTTGCTTCTGTAAAGATTGAGTAAAACTAAGTTTCCATGGCTTAAAATAAGCTTTAAAAAGCTAGTGTAAGCCTGCAGACCTTATTAGCTCGAGGCTAGACCAAAAATTAAAAATTTCAAACCGGTTTTTCTCAACACTGTAATTAATAATAATTAATAATTGTAGTTCCTGCGAATCGCAGAGGAGCTATCAGTAGGCCTTAACAGTCCTGTCAAGGATAGTCAATCTGTATTATTTCCCCACATTCCAGACAGTGTTATTTTTTGCTGAGCGAAGCTGTTTTTTGCGACTCAAGGCCGTTTTTTTGCGTCTAGAACTTTTACGTGGTACCACTATTGCAGCCAAATTTGGTCAAGTTGTGGTAGACCTGAAGCTGTAGCTCAAGTGAGAGCTTGTCCTCACACACTATCATCAATTAGATATATAACTCGACCTATTCATTTGATTTTTTGTGGTACCTGAGTTTGCGTGGAAAACAAAAAGAAAAAACTAAAACACACCCTAATACAAAGTTCCTCAACATTTTTCAAAGAGTCGGAACAATAAACAGGTGATACATTTAAAAAAGCACTCACCAACATCGATCGCCAAAACATGTGTATGCTGTTGTTTTTCAGCAGTCACAGAGACAAAATAGTTTCCACACTCTTCAGTTGACAATTCGTCAAGCGTGGCAGTAAAAACCGTGCAATTTTTCTCGGTGTCCGATTTCACGCCCCATTTCAGATTCACGACTGCTTTCCCGGTTTTGTCTTCACGTGTCGTCACGACTGAGTAGTTGGAAGGAGAATCGGATTGGATGTCGTGCTGGACCAAAAACGGGACTGAGAACTGGATTGTGACCGGATGTCCTTCTGCAACTGATACAATCTGGTCATCTTTGCTTTCTTTGATAGGTTCCCAATCTGAATCAATTCCTAAAAAAGTCAATACATTAGTTTCGTAGTTCGAGAAAATCAAATCAAAATGACATTGATGACAGTAAAGCCTCAATATTAAATAACAACAAAAACCGTAACCTGGAGACATAACATACCGTAATCGATGATCTAGTTCACTGAATAGCAAAAACAAGGCTGATAAAATTAGAAAACCGAGTTTTTTTGTGTTTTATGCATTGTGAAAAGCAGAGTGATTTTTTATGTGAGCCTAAAGCCGATGAGAGTTACAAATAACACTTTCCTTTCGATACAATTTACTCGATACAATTTAGGTCATTTTCTTCCAAAAATTCCACTTATCTGGAGGTCCTTAACATAAATCAATATTTCAGGCTGAAATCCAATTTATTTCACCAATAGCACGAAACCCTTTATAATTTTAATCCACGAAACATTCTTTTAGCGCAAAAAAATCAAGCTTAGAAGAATCAAACCTACCCTTTCACCAAACTTTGTTCTACAGTGGAAACCCGATGTGCATATTGTTCCCTAGAAGACAGTTAGTAATGAAATATTATTTTGTGAGCGTGCGATGATGTGAGTTCTGGTATGTCGAGGATACCTTTGGTTGCACTAGGTGATGGTACAAGGACTGTGCTTCCTATTCTATCACAGTGAGAGTGATGTGCAATACTACTGGTGCTGGGACCACAGGACAAGCAATCATCAAGGTGTGGTGCTTCACCTCTAGAACCCGGCAGAGAATTAGAATGGTTATAAGATGCTTGATTAGTATTCCAATTAGATCCCGTGGGAGCAAACTCGGCGAGTTCGTTGAGGCATGAGAATCCAGGATTGTTGTAAGATATGTCACCAAAACTTGAGTGCAATTTTTTCAGCCTGTGTTTGAGTTTCAAAATGATGTTTGAATTCAGTGCGCTACTTGAATTCAGTGCATTCGTTGAACTTTGATTAGACTCGCAGTCATAGCTGTCAGCAATGTTTTGAAACTCTTCGGGATACAGCTTTGAGTACTGACTAACAATAAGCTGCGGCAAACACTCTTTGACGTCAACTCCTGCTAACACGAGCATCTGATATTCTTCTGGATGTTTCATCTTAAAGTTTTTACAAATTTTGTCGTAAATCCTACGTTTTTTGTCTTCAGTTAGTTCGACCAAAAAGTCTCCGATTCTTTTGCGCTTGTCTTTTCGCTTGACGGAACCTTATGTATTTGTAATCAAGACGCCCTTTAAAACTTCTTCTGACTCGGAATTCGAATATTTGTCAAAAAGTTTGTGAAGTTCTTCCGGATAGAGCTTTGAGTACTGACTAAAATTAAATTGCTGCAAAAAATCTTTGGCTTCAACTTCGTCTATTATGAGCATCTGATACTCTTCTGAGTGTTTCATCTTAAAATTGCTATAACTCTCGTCGCAAATTTTGCGTTTTCGATCTTCAGCTAGGTCAACGAAAGTGTCTCCAATCATTTTTAGCCTAGTTTTTGAATTGATGGAACCGTCTGTGTTCGTATTTAAGTCACCCTTTAAAACTTTTTCTGACTCAGAGTTCTCATAAGTGTCAATAAAACTGTGAAGCTCTTCGGGAGACAGCTTTGAGTACTTGCCGATGAGCTGCGACAAACAATCTTCAGCGTCGAGTTCACCCAACACGAGCTTCGAATACTCTTCTGGGTGATTCATTTTAAAACTTGTTACGAATTTCGTCGTAAATTTTGCGTTTTCGTTTTCCGGCAGTCTCAATGAAGCTGTCGTCAGTCATTTTCAGCTTGTTTGTTGGCCTTGCTGCTTTCGTTTTCAATGCATTCTCAAAAAATTCATTTGACTCGGAGTTTGCAAAACTAACAACAAGGTTGTGAAACTTGTCGGGGTACAACTCTGAGTACCGGCATATAATAAGCTGCGGCAAACAATCTTCAGCGTCAACTTTATTCAAAACCAAACTGTGATTATTTTCCAGGTGCTGTATCTTGAATTTGTTGCAGATGTCGTCGTAAAGTTTACGTTGCTGACGGACTTCAGCTAGGTCAATGAAACTGTTTTCAATGGTAATTAGCCTGTTAGATGGCTTATCGATGACTTCTTCCGTAAGATTTTCATTTGACGATAAAGCTATTTCGGGAAGCTCGTAGCGAGCTGGATCCATATTTGCTTGCATCATCGGACTTTGGTTTAAACTTTTTATTGTGGTTAGATTTGTTAAAAGCTTTTGCTCAGATGGTGCACAACAAAGTGAATTAAAGCCGGGTCTAGAGGTTGTTGAATTAGGGCAGTGCGCTGCAAAATAATATATCAAGTTTAAGGAACCTTGTATTAAACGTACTTTGAACTTAAATCTACTTCTATGCTATACAACTACACTTCGTTAATGCCTAAATTTGCATAATTCGTTCGTCTCATCACGTAGTTTTTCTCATGCATGAGATTTGAGTAAATGACAAAAACTCATTACCAGGAACGATGTTGACTCTATGTTGATGTTCGTGTTGCGCAGATTCCACGTTCAAAACAACCACTCCAGGTTTGACTTCATGGCCATCCGGTGAGGTCAAGGCAACTATGACTTTTGTGTAATTCTCTTGGGGCTCATAATCGACTTCAACTGAGGTCAAATCCAGAGCCGTTTTACTGTCGTCTTCTCCGGCTTCCAGAAACACGGACGCATCTTTGGAAGTCAGCTGCTCCTGGGTGAGTTCAAATGGAACTGAGAACTCAATCTCTACATAAGACTTTTCACCTGCTTCAAACACTGCACTTGACGTTGAGGCGACAATTGTTGCTAAAACAGTCGGAGAAAATTTTTAGTACCAAGTTAACATCCTCCCCCCTAAACACGTTTAGGGGGGAGGATGTTAACTTGGTTCTAACTTGGGAATTTTCAGCCAATCAGAATCGAGCATTTTACATGCAGCGCTTAGCAAATTTAATTTAAATTAAGCGCTGGGATGGAGGATCTTAACTTGGTCTATTAGGGGGGGGGCACCCTGATTACTAAACTCTGAATGATTTTCAAAACTTTTTGCTCCGAGTGAATATGTTGCCGAAAAATAATAGGTCAACAGAAAATTCGATGAAACTAATCAAAGCAAGTTATACATAGAGGCGAACCACTTGCGATACAACACAAGAAAAAAAATCGAAAATGTCGAAAAAAACTATTCCATCATAATGAATAAAGCTACTTTTGAAACAAAAACATACCGAGACAATAGAATGTAAAATCAGCATCGGATGATTATTTACCAAGCGGTAAAAGCCGAAAATACCCTGGCAGAAACCAAAAAAAGTCAACAAGACTTAAGACGTATGAAAAGTTAATAAGTCCCTCTCGCTCTCAAAACACTCATCAAAACTTTATTTGCCTGTCAAATGTGACAAAATAAGACAACTAAGCCAATATAATTTTGCCCGAAACCTATTAACCACAAAAATAAAAAAAATCTGAAAAAAATCAAAAAAAATTAAGACTAATAAGAAGTTATTAAGCCCCACTCGTCCTAAAAACACAAATACGCACACACTAACTTTTTCGGTCATCGAAAGACACAATATGAGGCCAATAAGCTAATATAATATAGGCCTCAACCTATCAAGCCGGAATAAAGGAAAAACAAACAAAACAGCCGAAAAAAGCAACAATAACGTTGAAAAAAAATATTAAATACAAATGAGCGATCTAGATGGATAGTTAAAACCGGAAAGTAAGCCAGATGGTAAAAACCAGAAACTAAAAGCGGAAACTAAGCCGACAAAAAATAAACAGAAAACGACGAAATCGAAAAATCAAAATAATCTCAAAGAAATATCATTAAAAAATTTGAACTGCGAATTCAATGGAAAAACGCTAATAGGGATGCTTATTGGGAGTAAAATTTACGCGCATACTGAATGCATGTGTACTGCATGCATGTTGAAATCTGTGGACAAATTTGTTTACGGGAAAAAGTCTTGTACCCGATAATGAACGAATCTGATTGACTAGCCTTACCCCAGCACTGACCAGAAGCTTTTGTTTTTGCCTATTTTAATTCTACTACAACTTTGAGTTTCCATCTTTGAGTTGGCCCAATATTAAGAAAAATAAAAGTATTGATTTAGAATCAGAAAAACTCAAAAAAAAAAACTATCGATTTTTCAGGCTAATCGGCCCAGTAGAATCGAATATTTATCTGTTGCCAACTTCACAGACATCAAAAATTACATATTAAGCATGGACTGCATTAAGAATGGACACAGAAAAAAAACTTAAAAATGTGTTTGGACTTGGAAAAAAATGAAATCGGGTATAAATCAAGCGTTTGCTTTTGTAGTTATCCCGATCAAAGATTAATCAAATTGACCAAAAAAATCCTTAATTTCAATTCCGATATTCTAATTTTAATGTTTTCTGAGCGCTTCGTGTGCACGGTGTATTTTCATTTAGAGTGCATAGCCTACCTTCTTCAGTCGTGCAGTCCTGCGAAATCGTGATTTCATCTTTTTCGACAAGAGCTTCAACATCCTTTCGCTCTTTCTGAGTATCTTTGACTTCGGATCTCTCAGTTTCATCGTCTACTTCATCTTCATTGTTTTCATCTTCGTGTTCAGCAATTGCTTCTTCGATTGGAACTTCATCAATTTGGATGTCTGTAAGTTCTTCAAATGACTCTTCTTGAGTTTCAATATCAATCGTCTTCTCCTGGACACTTTCATCTTGGACCGAGACTATCGTATCAGAAACTATTTCCTCGCTTTCTTCCGACACCGAAGCAAGTATGATGTCAGCAGCAACGTGTCCATTATCGTCGACGACAGCTTTCGACTCTGTAGAGTCAATTGATGAAACCTCAATTTCTTGAGTTTCCTCGGGTACTTTTTCTTCCTCGTCGGTCGTTACATTTATTTCCACGTTTTCTGATTCAGATACTTCTTCGAAGTTAATTTCATGATCAGTGGCTGGTTTTTCCTGTACATCGGTCTCTTCGCCGAAGAGAACAGTCGGTTCCTCCAAAGTTTCATCACTGGTTACATCAATCGGTAACACTGGAGATTCAACGTCGATTTCAGATACCGACTCTTCGACCTTCAATGATTCCTCAAAGTGCACTTTGGTTTGTACAAATGAACTTTCAGGAGCGTCGGAATTCTCCGATTCCTCGACTGCTACCGCAACATATTCCAACTCCTCAGTCAAAATAGACTCAGTAGCCTCTGATATTTCGACCGAGGTTGCATCTTCAACTGCGCTCACAACTTCGGCAACTGCTGGTTTCGCAAATTCATTCGAGACATCTTGACTTTCCAAGTCCACTTTAACATCGACATCGAATACTGGTGAAATTTCCTCGGATGTCATTTCTTCAACTGACACCTCAGTGGTTTCGACTTTCGCATCAGTCTCTTCCAGTTGTGAAGTTTCCATGACGCTGACGTCATATGTTTCGTCACCTAGTGTCTCTTCATCGTCCACCAACGATACTGCAATCTCCTGCTGAACTTCATTCACGTCTACAGATCCTTCTTCGATTTCAACAACCGTTGTTTCATTATTCGTTTCGTCCAGTTGCATTGTGACATTTGCGTCCAAAACAACAGTCTCATCTTTAGTTTCTTCGTCAAGTTCAACACGCAAGTCTTCCTGAGTTGTGTCGTTTTCTTGTTGTTCGACTTCAGATACTGAAGCAATGACAATTTCTTCCGGCTCTGATCTGACAAAGGCGACGCTTGATGCATCGACTGAGTCGACTTCCAGAAGAGTAGCTTCGTCTTTCACTTCAGATACGCTACCGACAACAATTTCGGTGTCATCAATTGTTTCTGAATCGGATGCTACAACGACATCTATGACCTCATCCGATTTCACCTCGTCTAATTTTGTGTCAAGCAATTCTGAAAGCTCATCAGGAATTTCTTTAATTTCGGGTTCCTTTGCATTTTCGTTGGCAGGCAAGTCTTTCAAATCATTGGTGTTGATCTCTTTAACATTTTCCTCGGCACTCTCCAGATCTTCGTCTGGTACTTTCTCTTCGGTGACCAGCTCGGCAACATCAGCCTTCTCGTCCAACTGAATGACCTCAGGTGAACTTTGGGGCTCTTCCTCTTCTTGAATGGCGAATGCGATGTTAGCCTGAGCGTCAATTGTTTCTTCATGAAGTATGTCGTAATCCACGCCCGAGACACAGTACTCCTGCTCGGTGTCTGAGCCGACGATGCTTCCACTGTCATCTTCGTCGTCCTCAGAATCGTACCCTAAAAAGAACAAAAGTCACCAAATGGAAAAGACTGCCAATCAAATTGTCAATGAAAGCAAAATCAGCCAAACTGGAACTAGTCTACATCACAAAAGGAAAGTAAAGCGTCTCATTAAGAAAAAAAACTTTAAAATCGACTGTCAAGATGGGTGTCTCTGAAACACTAGCATCCTTAAAACTGAGGTAACGTTTGTTGTAGGTAATCAGGTAAATAAGCATGAGCATGGGCGTAAGAAAGCTTTAATGTTAAGTTAATAATTCAGATACAATTCGATAGTTAAAAAGGAAAGTGATATATTTCATGCCTGGGTTAGTACATTGGCCAACTTACGCAAAAAGCTGTCTTCTTCGCTTTCAGTTTCGGGGAAGACTTCGTCGAAAGAGTTGAAATGCACTTGTTTCTTCGATTTTCTTGATCGGCCGCGGATTCTGAGTCTGTTCGTTAATACCTTCAACGGTTCCACATACAATTCGCTAACTGCTGCTTTCAAGTCGAAGCTCAAACCAAGTACATTTTCGGAGTCTTCATGAACAAACTTGACAATTTTGTTAATCACTTCTTCCAGTTCGACCTGCATTTCGACAACAGAATTGTCATCAGCGTCCGTTTTGTCAATCAAACTGAGAGAGAGTGAAAGGTCAATCATTTGTTCCTGGAGCTCGAACAGTTGTTCTAAAGAGTTGTGACTATTCACCGACGGTCCAAACGTATCTTCAACGGAAGACAATACTGCGAACACGGCGGAAACTAAACTGTGAATGTCGAACTCCAGTTTCGTCAATTTTTTAGGCTCGTTGATACCAAACTGCCTAAAGAGAGTCTTGATGTCTTCTGATTCCAAGATTTCGGAAAGCTCAGTAGCAATAGAGTTTAAATAGGACACCAGGAAATCCTGTTCTTCCGTGTCAAAGCAGAAGTTATCGCTTCCCATTACGTCACTTAACGTGTTGATGTCGTGGGTCAACGACAAAACTAACTTACAGAGCCTCTTGCCCGCGTCTGTTTTTTCATTATCGTTGGCAAACTTTAGAAGCTCAAACAAGATATCGTCTTCTGTGAGGTCTTTGGCCAGCCTGCAACAGTTGTTTAACTGCGATACAATTACCACAGAATTGTCGAACACTTCATTCTCTGAGAGCTTGAGCGCCTGCACTGATGAAGCACAACTCAAAGTTGATTCTACTTCTTTCGACTCCGGCTGTTCTACTGGCGCTTCAGTTTTTTGGGTAAGCGATCCAGGAGTTTCCTCGAATACTTCGGATTGTTCGTGTACCAATTCTAAATCTTCGAATTGTAGCTCTTCAACTGAAATACTGCAAATCTCCCTTTCTTTTGACTCTTCCTCGTCAACATCGATCATGATAGTTGAAGTCTCCTTTGGTGCCGACTCCTCCATTACAACCTGATCCATTGACGTCTCTTCTTCTGTTTGCGTTTCAAATATTACACTTTCAGAGCTATCCACTGTAGTGTCATTAACGTCCAAATGCGTCACCTCAAGGTTGTCCTTCGAGCTGGTTTCAACCTCGATCTCTGTTTTCTCAGATGTACTATGAGCGCTTTCCTCAATCGATTCCGAAAGAAACAGAGACTTTGGTGCCTCCTCTTGCAATGTTTCTAAATAGATTTCTTGTAAAGGTTCTTTTTCAATTGATTCATTATCAACGCTAACCAAAACATCTTCATTCGAACTCAATTGAGACTCACTGAAGCCCAATTGAACTACGTTAGTTTCATCTTCAACCTCAACAGTAATGTCGGATCCTTCTTTAATATCAATCGATTCCGATTCAGCTGTTGATACAGTTATCATTTCAGTTCTTTTTATAGTTGCTGATTCTGCAGTTGCTGCTTCTTCGGTGGATTGAACAGTTGTCAAAGAATCAACATTTTGCTGCTCGAATGTCATAACTTTCTCATGCGACTCAGAGACAGTCTCACTGACTTCCTCTTCCACTTTGCTCGAGACGTCATGGGATGACACTTCGTTTTTGAGTTCTTCGGTTAGCATGGGCACAGCATTCAATGACTCTAGATCGAAGGTTTTTTGTACTGCCTCCTCAGTATGACTTTCGCTTTCACTGACGCTAAACTGAAGCGTTTCAGTTTGCTCAACATCGTTACTCAAGATAACAGAATCATTTTCCTTTTGAGCAACTTCGTCAATTACAGGACTTCGGAAAACAGTGATAGCTTCGGAGGAACTTTCTTCGGTATCATCAGAACTGGATTGCAAAGCTGCAATCTCAACAGTTTCCTCATCTCCAGTTGCAACTTCTACTTCGGTTTTTTCAAATGTAGTATCGACGCTTTCTTCTACCGCTTCAGACAATTGCACAGACATTGGTGATTCATCTTCCACTGATTCAATGTAAACGTCTTCACTGATTTCATTTCCAGTAGAACTATCATCGATGTTCACAATGAGATTTTCATCAGAGCTATGTTTGCTTTCACTGAAGTCAAGTTGCGTCTCGTTCGTTTCATCTTCAACGTCAACAGTGATTTCAGAGTTTTCTGCAATATCAGCTGATTCTGATTCAGCTGTTGAAACAGTTATCAATTCACTTCTTCTTATATCAGTTGCTTCTTCAGTTGCAGCTTCTTCGGTGGATTGAGCCGTTGTCGAAGACTCAACATTTTGTTGCTCAAATCTGACAACTTTCTCGTGGGATTCGGAGGCAACCTCACTGATTTCCTCTTCCGCCTTGCTCAAGAACTCTTGGACAGAAACTTCGCTAACGATTTCATCGGTTAGAACTTGCCGCGCATCTATTGCATCCAGATCGACAGTATTCTGTACTGCTTCCTCAGTATGACTTTCATTTTCACTGGTGGTAAACTGAAGCGTTTCAGTTTGCTGAACATATTCGCCCAAAACAACAGATTCATCTTCTTTTTGCACAGCTTCATCATTCGAAGGACTTTGCAACACAGCGATAGCTTCATAAAGACTTTCCTCGGTATCTTCAGAACTGGATTGCAAAGCAAAAATCTCAACAACTTCATCATCTCCAGTGGCAACTTCAACTTCGGTTTTTTCAGTTGTAGTTTCAGTACTTTCTTCTCTAGTTTCAGACAACTGGAATGATACTGGTGACTTCTCTTTCATTGATTCAAGGCAAACGTCTTCACTGATTTCAATTCCAGTAGAACTATCTTCAAGGTTCACGACGAGATTTTCATCAGAGCTATGTTTGCTTTCACTGAAGTCAAGTTGCGTCTCGTTCGTTTCATCTTCAACGTCAACAGTGATTTCAGAGTTTTCTGCAATATCAGCTGATTCTGATTCAGCTGTTGACACAGTTATCAAGTCACTTCTTTTTATATCAGTTGCTTCTTCGGTTGCTGCTTCTTCGGTGGATTGAGCTGTTGTCGAAGACTCAACATTTTGTTGCTCAAATCTGACAACTTTCTCGTGGGATTCGGAGGCAATGTCACTGATTTCCTCGTCCACCTTGTTCAAGAACTCTTGGACTGAAACTTCGCTAGCAATTTCTTCAGTTAGAATTTGCCTCGCAGCTATTGCATCCAAATCGACAGTATCCTGTACTGCTTCCTCAGTATGACTTTCACTTTCACTGGTGGTAAACTGAAGCGTTTCAGTTTGCTGAACATATTCGCCCAAAACAACAGATTCATCTTCTTTTTGCACAGCTTCATCATTCGAAGGACTTTGCAACACAGCGATAGCTTCATAAAGACTTTCCTCGGCATCTTCAGAACTGGATTGCAAAGCAGAAATCTCAACAACTTCATCATCTGCAGTGGCAACTTCAACTTCGGTTTTTTCAGTTGTAGTTTCAGTACTTTCTTCTCTAGTTTCAGACAACTGAAACGATACTGGTGACTCCTCTTCCATTGATTCAAGGTAAATGGCGTCACTGGCAACAACTCCGACAGAATTTTCATCAACGCTTACAGTGAGATTTTCATCAGAGCTACGTTTACGCTCACTGAAGTCTAGTTGGATCTCAGTTGTTTCATCCTCAACCTCAACACTGATTTCGGAGTTTTCTACAACAAAAGTTGATTCTGCTTCAGCTGTTGAAACAGCTATCATTTGATTTCTTTCTATATCTGTTGTTTCTACCGTTGCCACTTCTTCGGTGGATAGAACCGTTGTCGAATAATCAACCTTTTGTTGCTCAAAAACGACAGTTTTCTCATGAGACTCAGACGCAACCTCGCTAATTTCCTCTTTCACCTTGCTGGAGAACTCTTGAACTGAAACTTCATTATCGATTTCTTCGGTTAGAGTATGCGCAGCATTTTTTGACTCTAGATCGACTGTTTTTTCTAACACTTCCTCAGCATGGCATTCATTTTCGTTGGTGCTAAATTGCAGCACTTCAGTTTGCTCAATATCTTTACTTAAGATAACAGAATCTTTTTCCTGCTGAGCAATCTCGTCAGCTATAGGACTTAGGAAAACAGTGATCGCTTCAGAGGAAGTTTCTTCTGTATCTTCAGAACTGGATTGCAAAGCTGACATCTCAACAGTTTCCTCATCTCCAGTTGCAACTTCTACTTCGGTTTTTTCAGTTGTAGTAGCTGTGCTTTCTTCTGTAGCTGCGGACAACTGAAACGATACTGGTGACTCCTCTTCCATTGATTCAAGAAAAATGTCTTCACTGACTTCGGCTCCGATTGAACTATCATCAACGTTCACAGTGAGATTCTCATCAGAGCTATGTTTACTTTCACTGAAGTCTAGTTGGGTCTCGGTTGTTTCATCTGCTGTCTCAACTGTTATTTGAGATTGTTCACTAAGAGCGATGGTTTCTGATTCCAGTTTTGAAATCTGCAAAATTTCTTCCTCCCCTGTTGCAATTTCAATCACTTGAGGTGATTTTTCCGTACTTTCTTCAGAGTTTTTACTGACATTTACAAAAACAGGTGAGTCTTCTTCAGTTATTTCCAAGGAAATTTCGTTGCTGTTTTTGACCGCTTCAGAAGAACCTGAGAGTTCGACCAGAATATTTTCATCTGAACTCAAACTTTCTTCAGAGAACTCAACTGCGGTGTCTATGTTTTGCTCATGAGTTTCTATGTCGACGGCGTGTTCGTTAGTTGAAGATTCTTCTTCGACGTTTAAAGATGCAGCAATTACAGTGTCTTTCTCGGCAATCTCTTCCGATTCAATTTGATCAACAGATAAAACAAAATCTTCGTTCTGTCCTGTTTCCGAAATTGCGATCGAACCTCCGAAGTCAGTTTCCGTTTCAAGTTGATCAATCGAGATGGAAACTTGCGAGTTATCGACTGAATCATCGGCACTGCTTTCCACTGCCAAGATTGATTCTTCCTTAATTTCAGGGGCAAACATTTCAGCCGAGTCAGAATCATGTTTTACGGTTAGTTCCACTTCTACTTCTGTGGCTGCTTTGACTTCTGAAACTTTGAAGCTTTCTGATGTCTCCTCATTTTCAGTAGAGATCGCAAAACCGATCACATCGCTTGAATCAGCCACACTCTTTGACTCAAAATCTGTGAAAACCGCTGGTTCAGTCACGAACGATTCTTTGATAGACTTATCAGAGTCTAGAGAAATTTCCGAAAGAGCAGATTGCGAAGCGTAGTTTACTCTTATATCACTCTGAGCAAAAGAGTCGTAGACATTCTTTGTGAGGTCAACATCCGTTACCGTTTTGGCGCACTCGTCGATTTTGTCCAAACTTCCTCCGGCAGATTCTGACGAGCAACGGTCGGCTTGTTCCAATTGTGTAACTTCAGTTGTTCTTGTCTCTTTATCTTCTTGCTTCAGAAGAAAATCTAAAATCGAGTCATCTTCCTCCGTTCGGCTTCTCATTGTGATTGTATCAGGTAATTCATCGAAGTTTCCGAACTCATTCAAATCGAAGAGGGTCTCGTCCGATCCTCCTTCTGCCTCGTCCTCGCGCTCCAGGGCATCGAAAACAGAATCGTCGACATCGACCATCTCACTTTTTGGCCTCGGCCGCGACTTCTTCTCAGTTTTAGTCTCTTCAACCACTGGCTCATCATCTTCCGGTTCTTCGTGCCACGTGTGACGTCGCAGTCGGCTCTGAACGTCATCGACTCGGTCTAGCAGCGAATTCCACATATCCGAGAGGTATGATGTCTCATTATTCGTGCTTGCACCGCGCGAACTAGTGGTAGAATTAGTTCGAATGAAATCTACATTGTAATTCAGACACTCGAGGGGATCGAAATCGTCCTTTTTAGTCATGGCCAAAATGTCTTCATTACTCTCTGAGTCGTTTTCAACAACAATCTCGGGAAGCTCAGACTGCTCGCAAATGAATCGCAGATTCTCCAGTTCGTCTTCCGCAGTTTTGAAATTTTTGGGCGCTTCTTCGCTTGTTACTTCAACTTCAACCTCGACAGTTGTCTCTTCAGAATCCTGGGCGACTTCTACGACTTCGTTTTCGGTTTCACGAGACGCCTGCTCTGTGAGCTTTTCGGTAACCTCATAAGAACAGGAAGGTTGTGCGTAGTCTTCAGCGAATGTTGATTGCAGTATCCTTCGCTGTTCGATATCTTCGACAAGTGTCCGTTGGAGCGATATCATGTAGCGAATATTTTCTTCGTACTCGTCCAAAACGGGCTCGCTCACACTGATGGCAGAAGTTGATTGTTCGGCTGTAAATTGAAAACAAACACACGTGAAACAAAGACTTTAGGGGCGTGAATTGATAATCACATATTGGGTGTGACATATAATGATAGGGTCGAGAACTCATTTAAATGGCAAAAGAAAAATTTAGTATCGCGGACCAAAAAATTTTGAACTTAGCTTCACTGAAGTCTTCATATGATGGAAAACAACTCGAAGCAAGGACTCCCCGAGCTTTGAAACTTAAAATCATAGCATGGCGGCTATTTTCTTCTTCTTTGCTTTAACATCAATTTTCTATACCAGGGCTGCATTTGTAGATTAAGTATGTTGGAGATATTTACCCGTCATTTTAAAATCCTTGTTCTCAGCAAAAATGTCTCGACCCGAATTGCAATTGGTGTAATGCACAGTGAAACCTCGGGGGAGAGTGAAACATTTAAGGTTAGTTTACTCGAAAACCATACCAGACCCGATTTATTGAAAAGAGAAAGACCAGTTACAATCTTTTTCGTTACAACTTTTAGCTATTTTAAAAAAATGCAGATGTGCACATTTGTGAGGCCTAATAGAATTAACTAACCTTCAACTTCTAAACTGAATGACTCTTGTTCTGTCTCGTCCACTTCGACCATTTGAACCTCAGCAGCAAGAAGGGAGTCTTTCTCTTCAGACGTCAGCTGCACTTCAATCTGACTGCCATCTTCATAAGTGGCAGACTCTTCGTCAACAACAGCTGACTCATTTTCGTCCACTTCTACAACATAGATTTACAATATTTAGCGTTTATAAGGGCATTAATTTTTGTCAATTGTAATTGTTTTTCTAGAGCTACAGTTATTCTCCCTAATTGTGCACATTTAAAGAAAGAATTCTAATCACTTTCTTCAAAATGATCTTTTCTGTTACGGGATTCAAAAAACAAACATGATAATTCTTTGGACTTCTAGATGCTTCTACCATAAGTTGAGAAAAAAAAAATGTAGAGAGCGGAGAATACTTTGGAACATGATTGATGGAGCTGATTATGAGCTAAGCTATCAAATGATTCAGTGATTTTCTAAAACAAGTTCTTTATCTGAAAAAAGTTTATGTTTCGATTTGATAAACCTTGCTACCCGCTAGCTTAAAAATACTATTATAAAGAAAACCTACCTGCAACCGACAGTTCTTTGACCTCTTGATTTTCTTCTTCGAATCCAATGACGACATCCGCGTCTTCAGTCTCCTGTGTAATGCTCAGTTTGACCTCCGAGGACTGGTTGACCTCTGAATCTTCTGTGGTGTCGACGACGAAGTCCGCGTCACTTTTGTCACTTTCTAGTTCTAGCTTGATGTCCTCCTCAGCCTGGGATGCGTCAGATTCAGACAGAGCGATGTCCAAATCACTTTCTGCTTTTTCGTCGGCAGTGATGGCAATGTCAATTTCTTGAGCCTCAAATTCGACAGATGCTCCTTCCTTCTCGACATCCAGTTGCTGGACTTCGGAAGCTGAAACATAAAATTCGGATCTTTCCTTTTTAAATATGATTATCGAAAAATAGACACAAAAAAAAGAATTTTGTTGATTATATTCCGCGCGTTTCTTCGATAGCTGAAGAATAGCAAAAACAAATCACGCTTTTAGAATTTATCAAAAACACTTCCACAGTTTTTGAGATAAGTCGTTATTTACCAAAATAATGTCAGGATAAGGGTAAATATGATCTCAAGGTTATATAAACAGGAATTTAAATGACTTCTGTTTCTCGGAATTTAATGCATAACATCTTAGTTCCTCAAAAAAACATATTGGTTATTTTCAAAAATCTGGTCAATTTACCTTCGACGGAAACCTGTTCGTAGCTCTCTGATTGCTCTGCAACCCCAACGACAAACTCTGCATCTTGGCTCTCTTGCTCAATCGAGACTTTGAACTCCGAAGTTTTCTTTTCATCGAGTTCTTCAGTCGAATCAAAAACAACTTCCACTTCGCTTTTGTCACTCTCCAATTCAATCTGGATATCTTCTTGACTCTGAGAAGCGTCCGACTCTGACAGAGCAATGACCAAATCACTTTCAACTTTTTCCTCGCCAGTGATTGTTACGTCAATTAGCTTAGGTTCCTGCTCCATCGAAGACTCTTCATCTTTGATAGCAAACTCCTCCTCTCCTCCAGCTGAAAATTCAGACTTTACGATAAAAAAAAACGGTTAGCAAATTATTACCTGAAGATGTCAAATTTTTTGTGTCGCTTTAACACATTTTACAAACAAGTTTAGATTTTGTGTGACATCATCAAAACCGTAAAATTATTTTAGCTACGCTTTCATTTGAAAAAAAAAACATCAATGATGTGTGGGAAAACGTGCAATCCATTTTTTTCATGAGTTCCATGTAAAAATGAGAAAACGTTGAAACACGAGGTTTATCACATTAAATGCTATTTAAAACCTAACCTTCGATGCTGATTTTCTGAATATTTTCAACATTTTCTTCTTCGATCCCGATGGCAACATCGGCTTCTTCAGATTCCTGTCGAATGCTCAGTTTGACCTCTAAAGTTTTATTGACATCTGAATCCTCAGTGGTGTCAACGACAAATTCAACTTCACTTTTGTCACTCTCAATGTCCAGCTGAACTTCTTCACGAGTTTCAGATGCGTCTGACTCTGACAGAGCAATGTCTTGATCACTTTCCGCTTTTTCCTCGCCAGTGATTGTTACGTCGATTTGATTCGATCCCTGTTCCGTAGAAGTTTCTTCATCTTTGATAAGAAACTCCTCCTTTCCTCCAGCTAAATTAAATGTAGGTTTTAACATAGAAACCACAAAATCGGAAACAGTTTGATTAATTTTGCTGAAGAGGCTGAGTAACTTTTGAAGAATTTAACACTCGAATTTAGATAGTACCAAAAGATCATCAGAAGCAAAAAAATTTGAGCTTTTATTTATTACCTTAAAGTGTGCAAAAAATATCGATCAATGGTAAGAGGAAATGATATCTATTTTTCACGTTTTCCATGCAAGAATGCAAAAACTGTTGATATATCAATTTTATCACATTTAATACTGATAAACTTACCTTCGATGTTAATTTTCTGGAAATTTTCTACGTTTTCTTCTTCAAACCCGATGGCAACATCGGCGTCCTCAGACTCCTGTCTTATGCTTAGCTTGACCTCTGAAGTTTTATTGACCTCTGAATCCTCAGTAGTGTCAACGACAAAGTCAATTTCGCTTTTGTCACTTTCGATATCCAGCTGAAATTCTTCATCAAATTGAGACGCGTTTGACTCTGACAGATCAATGTCTAGGTCACTTCCTGCCTTTTCGTCAGCAGAAATTGCTATTTCAATTTGCTTTGATTCATTTTCAACAGATGATTCATCCTCTTTTATCACAAGCTCTTCTTGCTCTCCAGCTGAAATGTCCGATAATTGAATAATTCAAAATGTGTTATCCGAAAATATATTATCTCTACTTCACATATTACATATCCACTTTAAATATATTATCCCCATTCTGCGATCAGAAAAAGTTCATCAGTTCAGTTCGTTTCGTTGTTTACATATGAAAAAAGTTTCTTTTAAAATTAGCGTCGTTTTCCATGCAAGAATGAAAAACTGTTGATATCAATTTCATAACAGTAAATGCTGATTCGCGTCGTTGATCGACAATTTAATTTTTTTTTCGGCAATTAGCAAAACATTAAAAATTCAACTTGATTTTTTCAGAGATATGAAATCAAGCTTAGTTTACCTTCAACTGAGATTTGTTCAACAGCATCAAGTCTTTCTTCTTCAAACCCAATGGCAATATCCTTGTCCTCGGAATCCTGGCGTATGCTCAGTTTTACTTCTGAGGACCGATTGACTTCAGAGTCTTCATTTATGTCAACTACAAAATCAATTTCACTCTTATCACTTTCGAGATCCACCTGAATTTGCTCTTGAGTATAAGATACGTCTGTTTCTGAAAGAGCTATATCTATATCACTTTCCGCTTTTTCCTCTGCAGTGATAGCAACTTCAATTTTAGACTCATCTTCGAGAGCGGATTCTTCTTCCTTTACCGTGAATTCTTCTTGTTCGACAGCTGAAAATTTGGATAAATTTTTGAAACAATATAGAAGAGTAAAATTTGTTAAGACATCAAACCCTGAACGTTGACAAAACATTAATTCAACTAATTATCCCACAGTTTCATTTTTTGTCAAGTCAGAGTTTTCATACAATATAGTGCATCTGATTGCTGTAATTATTTTTAACTCTAAGTTTAACTCTTTGCATGTTATTTTTGTTATAGTAACAGAAATGTTCAAAAACTCAAACAAATTCAAAAATTTTCTTACCTTCTACAGACAATTCTTCGACGTTTTCTACATTCTCTTCCTTGATTTCCATTGAAATTTCGCTATCTTCTGTCTCTTGTGTGATGCTCAGCTTGACCTCAGATGTCTGAGCGAACTCGGAATCCTCTGTGGTGTCAACTACAAAGTCTACTTCACTCTTGTCGCTTTCGAGGTCCAGCTGAATGTCTTCTTGAGTCTGAGAAGCATCTGACTCTGATAATGCGATATCCAAATCACTATCTGCTTTTTCTTCGGTACCGATCTCAATGCTCATGTGTTCAGTTTCAACTTCATGTGAAGATGTTTCAAGATTTACCGATTCGAGCTGATTGTTTTTGAGAACCTCGAGCTCAGTTTCAGATGTGTTTTCATGAATCTGCAGGGTAATTGATCCCGAAATATCTTTTGTTTCTTGCTCGGTGCTGAAATCAACGTTGATTTCATCTTTCATCGAGGTTTCAATTTCGACGGCTTCGACAACAGTGTCAAACGAGGTTTGCGATATTTCGGATTCAGTTGTCGCAATGATGTCTACAGATTCCAGAGTTTCAACTGCATCTTCGTTAGCTTCCAATTGGTCATCAGTAACGACCTCGTTTATTTTATCAGAAGCTACCTCAGATTCGTTTGATGCGATTGTCGTTTGTTCCTCTTGAGCCGAAGCTTCTATTTTTGAAAAAGAATCGGAATTCAGTTCTTCTTCGTTGACATCTGCATTTTCGTTTAGCGTCGCTGAAATGTTAATCGTATTGAATATTGCAAACAAAAAAAATGCAACTCAGAAAAACTCAGAAAACTAGCAAAAATATAGCAAAAACTCCCACGACAAACCCAATCAATTATGCTTCATCAAAGAACAGTTAACTCACTAAATAAAATCAAATTAGCATAGTAAGTAGCTTACCTTCAATTGTGGTTCGTTCGGAAATCTCGCTAACTTCTCGGACACCAATCACGACATCTGCATCTTCGCTTTCCTGATTGATGCTCATTTTGATGCCTGAAGTCTCGCTGTGCTCTGTTTCTTCAGTAGCGACTACTGAAAAATCAATTTCGCTCTTGTCGCTTTCGTCCAGTTGTAACTGGATGTCCTCTTGGCTCTGAGAAGCGTCAGATTCTGAGAAAGCCACTTCTAAGTCTTCTTCTTTTTCATCTGCCGCAACAGCGATATCAAACTGATTCGTCTCATGGGAAGTAGAAACATCTTCGTTAATGATCAACTCTTCCTCAGACTTGGACTCTGAAACCCAGCGATGCAATTGGAAATCAATAACTTGTTATGGCACACATTTTATTTAGCACGATTGAGATGATTAGGTACAAGATAAGAAAATTTGCAGAATCGATGAAATCAAAAGATTTGAACTGAATGAAAAACGCACCTTTAATAGATAACTCTTGAGTCGCTTCCACATTCTCTTCTTGGAATCCAATGACAACATCTGCATCTTCGGCCTCTTGCTCGATTGTCATCTTCACCTCTGAAGTTTTTGATTCTGTTGATTCTTCAGTTGTGTCAACAACGAAGTCTAATTCACTGCCACTACCCTGTTCAACATCCAGAGCAACTTCTGCCTCAATTTGGGTTGCATCTGATTCCGATAGAGTAACATCAAAGGCATCCTCTTCTTTCTCGTCTTGAGTTATTTCAATGTTAACTTGCTGCGTCTCCTGCTCGTGTGTAGTTTCTTGCGAGGTAGCTAAAATTACAATAAAATGCATAAAACACGTTAGTAGTCCAAAATAAAAATCATTTAAATTAATTATTTGACATCGAAATGCTCTTTCCAGTAAATCAAAACTCTAATAATCAAATCTAGAGAAACGAACCTTCTACAGATAATTGCTCAATATTTTCAACATTTTCTTCCTTGAATTCCATTGAGAGATTAGCATCTTCTGTCTCCTGTGTGATACTCAATTTGACCTCCGTGGTCTCATTAGACTCAGACGTTTCTTCAGTGTCGACTACAAAGTCCACTTCACTCTCAAGATCAAGCTGAATTTCATCTTTAGTCTGAGATGCATCAGACTCCGACAGAGCAATGTCTAGATCACTTTCCGCCTTTTCTTCTGCAGTGATAGCGATTTCAATTTGCTTAGACTCCAGTTCGATAGTAGACTCTTCTTCTTTGACCGCGAACTCTTCTTGCTCAACGGCTGGAAGTAAGCAAAACAATTATGGCCGACTAGATAACGGTTTATTAGCATTGAAAATCTGTGTGCAAGGTTCAACATGAATCATCTTTTTGAATACAGGCTTCTATATCAAGCAATACATTATACGAGGCGTCAAATAAAAGCCTATAACAACCAGCAAGAGCTGAACAATCATATGAAATTGAAATCTATTTTTTTTCAGGCTAGTATTAGTTCGTGAACTCTATTAACTTTTAATACTCATACGGTTAACCAAAAACTCAACAAACAAAGTAGTTTCCTACCTTCCACAGACAATTCTTCGACATTTTCAACATTCTCCTCCTTTATTTCCATCGACATATCGACATCTTCTGTCTCCTGTGTAATACTTAGTTTGACCTCAGATGCCTGGTTGACCTCGGATTCCTCTGTGGTATCAACAACGAAGTCAATTTCACTCTTGTCGCTTTCCAGAATGTCCAATGCGACGTTGACATCGCTTGAAGAAGCTTCAGATTCCGACAAAGCAACATCAATATCACTTTCTTTTTCCTCAGCAGCTATTTCGATGTTAAGTTTTTCTCCCTCTGATTCTGACACAGTTTCATCTTGTTTCACAACAAAATTTTCTTCTTTGAAGAATTCCGTTGTAGAAACACTTGTTTCCTTCTCAGATGCTTCCACGGTTTCGGAAACGCTAATGTTTCTTTCTTTGTCTTCAATTTCAACAGAAATGTCGACATTTTCCTCTGTGCTGATCTCAAGTTGAGTTGTCTCCTTGATTACATCTTCGGTTTCAGATTCAGTAACAAGGCTTGTAACAACCTCATCAACAGAAGATTCTAGAACGTCAGTTGTGATCTCAGCAGAAGCAGATTCGTCAACTTTAGTGGTCTCAACAGTTTCTCCGGAAAATTCGCTTTCCTCTTCCACAGCACTGATCAGAACTTTCTGGCTAGAAGTCTCTTCTTTCTCGTACTCAGCAACATCTACCGACAAAACAACGTCATCACTGGTCGACTCAAATTCGAACTGAACATCAATTTGTTCGCTCTCCAATTGTGCGATTTCTACAGCTTCCTTCGAAATAGATTCCTCAGTAGACTCGGTAACATTAGTCTGGATTTGCTCTTCTTCAGTATATGTTTCGATGACTTCAGAAGATGCGGTTTCTGTGACTGATTCCTTGATGAGCAAAGTTTGATCTGGCACAGTTTCTTCTTCGTTAAATTCAACGACCTCTTCTCTCACTAAAAATGCAGAGTCTTTTGCTTGCTTCTACAGGTACTAGCTTTATCCGAAAAACGCCAGCATTTAGGGGTCATTGATTACATTCCAAATATTTTTTTGATGCTTCAACCAAAAACGAATTTTGCTGGATTATATTTTTCTCCATTTACTATATGGTTCAACCCGTGGACCTATATTGACTAATAATATTCCGTATGATTGATCTCTTAGCAATGGTATACACCGACAAACTTAGCGACAGCAAGCTATTTTTCCCACGTGGATATAACTTTTTACCAATACGCTCACGAAAAACAAAGCATCATGAGGTACAAACCTTCACGTGTAGATTCTTTATCTTCTTCCTGGAAACTAACAACCAAATCTGCATCTTCGGTCTCCTGCTCGATTGTCAGTTTGACCTCTGAAGTTTTTGCGTCATCAAAATCTTCAGTTGTTTCGACAACGAAGTCCATTTCACTGTCACTGCGTTGTTCAACGTCTAAAGCTATTTCAGCCTCGGTTTGGCTAGCATCTGACTCTGACAAGGTAACATCAAAAGCATTTTCTTCTTTTTCATCGCCAGTGATTTCGATATTTACTTCATTTGTCTCTTGCTCTTGTGTCGTTTCTTGGGATGTAGCTGGACCAAAATAGTAAAAAAAAAACTTCAAATTACAAGATGACAAGAAAGTTACAAGAAAAGTTCAAATGAAACTTCAGGAGTGAAAAAAAAACAGCGTGATACATCCAAATCTTTTATTCTCAGGGCCAGATTTAAAAAAAACCTCGTCTATAGAAAAATGGGAATTGCTAATTTTGTCAAAACTAACCTTCTAACGAAATTTCAACATTTTCAACATTCTCTTCCTTGATCTCCAAAGAAACATCAGCATCTTCTGTCTCCTGTGTGATACTCAATTTGACCTCCGTAGTCTCATGGACCTCTGACTCGTCTGTAGTGTCGACTACAAAGTCGACTTCATTGTCATTCTCAAGATCAAGCTGAATTTCCTCTTGAGTCTGAGATGCATCAGACTCAGACAGAGCAATGTCCAAGTCGCTTTCCACGTTTTCTTCTGCAGTGATGGCAATTTCAATTTGCTTAGACTCCTGTTCGATAGTAGACTCTTCTTCTTTTACCGCGAACTCTTCTTGCTCAACCGCTGAAATTAAAATAATGTATGCGAGAGTTAAACATTTTAAAACAGTTGTTAGTTAAACATAATTAGCATCACCTCTTACTTCACATGTCATTACATTGGGGAAAAATAAAAGTATCAAATTGTAGCCAAAATCAAGCAACAAACATTTGAATACACTAGGCCAATTGAAAACTAACTTTTTCAACGCAGTATTTGCAGTAACTGCGCTGATTGTACTGTTATTTTCTAATGTATAATCGTATTTTGAATTCAAAAAATTTTTGTTATGAGTTCATTGTAAGAAAGAAACAAAAAAATGATTTCTTACCTTCCACAGACAACTGTTCGACATTTTCAACATTCTCTTCCTTGACCTCCATTGAAATATCGTTATCTTCTGATTCTTGTGTGATGCTAAGTTTGACCTCGGAACTCTGATTGAACTCGGAATCCTCTGTGGTGTCAATTACAAAATCAACTTCACTCTTGTCACTTTCAACAATGTCCAATTCAATGTTGACATCGCTCTGAGAACGTTCGGATTCTGACAAAGCAACATCAATATCATTTTCTGCTTTTTCCTCTGAATTCACCTCGATGCTGAATTTTTCAGCTACTGAGTCGGAACTTATTTCTTCTTGTTTCACAGCAAACTCTTCCTGTTTGAAATGCTCCGTTGTCGATGTCAAGGTTTCCCTCTCGAAGACTTCGATACTTTCAGAAGTAAGTATATTTTTCTCATCTGCTTCAATATCAAAGGAAACGTCAACATTCACATCTTCCATCAATTCGGCTAGAACTGTTTCGCTGCTATCGACTTCCAAAACGGACTCAACAATTTTGCTCGCAACAACTTCGGAACTTGATTCTTCTAAAGTGTCAATAGAAACTTCGACTGATTCCGTTTGCTTTTCTACAGGCTTTTGGATACTGTCACTGTCTATCTCTTCTTGCTCCTGAGTAGAAGCAATCAGAGCCGTTTCACTTGAAGTAACTTCACTTTCATATTCTTTGACGTCCAATGAAAAAGCTACTTCATTGTCAGTGCTTTCCATTTCAAATTGAACTTGAACATCGTCAGTCTCTGAAGTTTCGACTATAACAGTTTCTTTCGATTGTTCTTCGATAACGGTCTCCGTAACGTTAGTAACAATCTGGTCATCTGTGAATGATTCTAGAACCTCTGAAGTAACAACATCATCTTTAGTTTCCTCGAGAGCAACTAACTGGTCAGAAGCAAGTTCATCTTTGATCACCGATGCCACTTCGAACTCAACGTCCTCTTGCTTAACATTGAAACTTAAATCACTCTCATCAGATTCTTGTTCAATGCTCAGTTTGAACTCAGAAGACTGGTGGACCTCGGAATCCTCTGTGGTGTCAAGTACGAACTCAACTTCACTCTTGTCACTTTCTTCGATGTCCAATTCAATGTTCACATCACTCTGAGATGCTTCGGATTCTGACAAAGCAATATCGATTTGATCTTCTTTATCATCTCCAGTTATTTCGATGTTCACTTCCTTTGATTCCTGTTCTTGAGTGATTTCTTGTGTGAACGCTAAAATTTTAAAAAATAAAACGACTTTAAAAAAAACCTAATCGAAATTGTACGATTTAAGTTTAAAAGTTTAAAGTTTTAAGTTTAAAGCATCTTAACTTAGTAACGGCTGGTAATTTTTGTCAAGACATTTTCAACGCCAGACTTTAATTTAAAACTATGATCAAACAACAGGTTTATATAAATAAATTATTCAAAACGACCAGGAATTGCGAGAACGAAAAAAAAACTAACTGAACTAAATAGAAAATCAGTAGAGCAAGTGAAAGTAAAAGTTACCTTCAACTGATAGCTTTTCGACATTTTCAACATTCTCCTCCTTAATTTCCATCGACATATCGGCATCTTCTGTCTCTTGCGTGATGCTCAGTTTGATCTCAGATGTCTGAGTGAACTCGGAATCCTCTGTGGTATCAACTACAAAGTCTACTTCGCTCTTGTCACTTTCTTCGCTGTTCAAGTCAATGTTGACATCACTCTGAGATGCTTCGGATTCTGATAAAGCAAAATCTAGTTGATCTTCTTTATCATCGCCAGTTATTTCGATGTTCACTTCCTTTGATTCCTGTTCTTGAGTGATTTCTTGGGTGGACGCTAAAATTTTAACAAATGAAACGACTTTAAAAAAACCTTTATCGAAATTGTACGATTTAAGTTTAAAAGTTTTTAATTTGAAGCATCTTAACTTAGTAACGGCTGGTAATTTTTGTCATGGCATTTTCAACGCGAGATTTTAATTGAAAATTATGATCAAACATTAGGTTTATATAAATAAATTATTCAAAACGACAAGGAATTGCGAGAACGAAAAAAAATTAACTAAACTAAATAGAAAATCAGTAGAGCAAGTGAAAGTAAAAGTTACCTTCAACTGATAGCTCTTCGACATTTTCAACTTTCTCCTCCTTAATTTCCATCGACATATCGGCATCGTCTGTCTCTTGCGTGATGCTCAGTTTGATCTCAGATGTCTGAGTGAACTCGGAATCTTCTGTGGTATCAACTACAAAATCTACTTCGCTCTTGTCACTTTCTTCGATGTTTAAGTCAATGTTGACATCACTTTGAGATGCTTCGGATTCTGATAAAGCAAAATCGAGTTGATCTTCTTTATCATCGCCGGTTATTTCGATGTTCACTTCTTTTGTTTCCTGTTCATGATTGATTTCTTGCGTGGACGCTAAAATGTAAACCAATAAGATGGGATTTTTTTTAGCTACTCCGCTTTGTTAATAGTTAAAGATATCTTAAAATTTAATAATTTATAATAATTTTGTCAAGGCTTATTTAATATCAGTGACCATTTTAATTTTAGTAAACGACCAGCAAGTTCATATGATTATAAATATCAAAATAAAAGGAACTGAGAAGAATAAGCTAATACTAATAGAAGTAACACTTACCCTCAACTGATAGCTCTTCAGCGTTTTCAAAGTCCTCTTCCTTGATTTCCATTGACATGTCTGCATCTTCTGATTCTTGTGTGATGCTCAGTTTGACTTCTGAGGTCTGAGTGAAATCGGAATCTTCTGTGGTGTCAACTAAAAAGTCTACCTCACTCTTGTCGCTTTCTAGAATGTCTAATTCAATGTTGACATCGCTCTGAGAAGCTTCCGATTCCGACAAAGCAACATCAATGTCAGTTTCTTTTTCTTCCGCGGCTACCTCTATGCTGATTTTGTTTGATTCTGTTTCCTCAGTAATTTCTAGCTCATGTTTCACAACTTCTTCTTGTTTTGTGTGGATGGTGATCTCTTCCGTAGATTCTTTTTCAAACACATCGATTTGTTCAGACTCAATAACATATTTATCATCAACCTGCATTTCAATTCGCTGCTCATTATCAGTTTCAGAAGACAAGGAAATTTCGACAGTCTCATTTTTCGTTTCGTCGACTACAGATTGCAAAATGTTTGAGATTGGCTGGTCACCTGAGAAATCTTCGATTATCTCTGACGTCACAATTTCAGTTTTACCGTCAACTTGCACTTCCTCGATCGAATCAGAAACTATTTCGCTCACAACATCATGAGGTTTCGTCAGAATAGTTTCAGACGAAATTACTTCTTTCTCATTTACACAGTTTTCTTGTTCCACGGAAGCGTTTCTGCCCGATGCAATCAAATCAATACTGGTTTCAATTGTTTCCACGTCTGTTATTACATGTTCTACAGATTCTCTTTCGTCCTGCTCTACCTTCAACTCTGATGAGTAAACTATTTCTTGTTGTTCCTCGAAATCATCAAGAATCTCAACCTCGGCAGAACTCTCAGACTGCAATTGAACTTGTTGGATCACTTCATTAGAAACTTCACTTTCAATTTCATCGGCTGAAGATTTCACAGTTGTTTCTCGACTTTCTTCCACTATTTCAAACGAAACTTGATCTCCGGTTTCCTCATTTTGAACAGAAAACGTCACTTCGGAGCTCGATTCTTCTTCCGTCGTTCTGACCTCTAGTTCTACCTGGGTGGTTTCTGCTACGACCTCTACTGAACTTTCAACTTCACTTACTACATCCCGGTCATGTACCTTCTCAACCTAAAGCAAGAAAAAAAGTTTCACAAAACCCAAGATGTTGAATCAGAACAAGTAATACCACATATTTAATAAACAGAGGCAAAGAGGAACTTCGCACCAGTTGCGATGCCACACAAACATAACAGAGCTAGCTGACAGCCAAGGATAAGAAAGCCATAAGAAAAAGTTTAACACAGAGGCAAACCAGAGCTTGGCATCACTTGCGATACAACACAAACATAGCAAGACAAACTAGCAGACTCTAAGTCGAAAAAAAAGCTTTGAAAATGTCAAGAAAAGCTATATCTACCAAATTGTTACACAGAGGCAAAGCTTCGCTTCGCAAACAGTAGCGAGAACACGACAAAAAGCAGCTCTATAAAATGCAATAAGAGAAATTAGAAATAAGCCTCGAATAAGAAAAAACTCGGCTATGACTGAGATTCGCACCTGCGACATAGAGATTTAAGAGTCTGTCATACTAACCACTCAGCCACGGACATTTTATAAGAACCAAAAAAGTAGCCAAAAAAGCAGAGAACAGATGCTATGCAATTTCCAATTCTACAGTGATATTTCCAAATAAGTGAACACTTTTAATGAACACATTTATTTGCTAGTTAGATTAGAAAAAAGTAGGCTCGTAATAATACACTTAGCTGATCGTAAATTAAATGTCTTTGTCTTGAAGAAAGTTCACTTAAAAAAATTAAGGCAAAAAAATTGAAAGCTACATCTGCATAGAAACAAAGCGGTATTAAAGCCGACAATTTCTGAGCAGACACCCGTTGAAAAAAAAAAACGTTTTAAGAAACTTCAAAAAACATTACATTTCCTACTCAACGAATTTACAGGTATACAAAACTTCTTTCGCTCATCTAACGATGCAAAACAGTGCTACTAAGCCGATTAAGTATAAACCGAAAAACGTTCAAGCCGAGTAAACAACAAAACAAAAAAAACAGAAAATTAAATTATACCAAACCGGAGTTGGTATATTTAAAACCAACATAAGATAAAGAGGCAAAGTGGAGCATTGCAAGCTATTAAACAGAGACGGAAACAACTAAGTCGAAAAAAAACGTTCAAAAAGATTTTTTTTTAATAAATGAATTTCGGAAAAACAGTCGCAAACACAAATACCAGCATTAAATCCGCATTTAATATTTATCCAGCGGCCACAAGCCGACAATAAGTAGGTAGACGATCGTTGAGCAGAAAACAGAAAAATAAAATTGAGCGATTATTGTCGTCATAAAAACTCGTCATAAAAACCTTTGTCGTCAGGAAATTTCGTCATTAAAACCTTTGAGCGATTGAGTTTTAAAACTTTGAACTTTTGCACCACAACCGAACTGAATTTTTCAAACACAATTAATTTTTGCCCTTCAAACGACGCCTAATAATTTGACTAAGCAGATTCAACATAAGCCGAAACCACGTAGGACGAATGAAATTTTCAATTGAAATAAAGAAAATTTTTGAGTAGTTACCAATTGAACCAAAAACAAAATTTTTGTGAAAAAAAAATTTCGAATTGATTAAGCTTTGAAAGCTTTTACTCCCCATGTCGAGAAGCATAAAAGAAGAAAAAATTCATTTTTCATCTTAAAAAAGGAAATATTAGTGAATAAGCCTAAATATTTAGAGGCACTTAGCATAGTAATAAGACGTTCACTTTGCGATCGTCAGATCATTTATTCGATCTCCAGCCGTGTTAAGATCAACTCACTTGATGTTTAGCTTCAATTCTACCACAACCTGGCCCGTTTAGGCTGCAAAAGTGGTACCACCCAAAAAAGTACAAGACGCAAAAAAACGGTCTTGAGCCACACAAAAAAAAACGTCGCTCAAAATCTTCTATGCTTACACAGGCGGGATAGCCTTTCATAGACCCTCTGCGAATAGCACAAACTACAATAACCGCAACATTTTGCGCCAAATATTTATTTTTCACAAAAAAAAAATTATAAAAAAACCAGGGTGGGTAAATTTACAGGTTTAAGGAATAAATCAAAACGACTGTAAATTATAGTGGAAATCGCTTAAATCGCAAAAAAAATCCGCTCTGTGACATAGGATAGGTCTACAACTTTTTTTTGAGTTTGGAAAAAGAAACAGATCCTGCCCGGATTCCATCAAAGGCCCTTCATTGTCCCAGGCATAGACATTAGCAGTGGATCAAGACAGCTAATAAATGTGAAATTTGGATTCATTAAAAAATAAGCATTAGAAATGATTCAAGGATTTTGTTAGCTTAATTGTTAACATAAAAGTCTACATTGCAATTTGATAACGCCTGCTAATCGCAATCGTAACCATAGGAAGAATTAGTACTAGAGAACAAGACTTCTGATCTTCAAATACAGCGTAAATTGCATAAATTTAATCGATTTGATCTATGAAGATTATTTTGAAATAGGAATAAAAACTTGAACAAGTTGCTAGTCGAAACCCCAAGATTGAACTGCAAATTTACCTCGAAGGCAATGACGTCATCACTGCTCTCGCCTTTCTCTTCCACCGTGATTTGCGTTGTCATGGCAACCTCCTCCGACTGTCCTAAGACTACTTCTGTCGATTCCACCTGGTCTGAAGTGACATCATCCACGACTACGTCAAACTCAGCCGAAACATTTTCTGCAACTGATTCGTCAAGTTTTACACTTAAGTCGGAAACGTTTTCCTCCTGTTCTGAAATTGCTATTTCAAGCATTTGATCTTCTTGAGTTTCTTGAACTTCCATTTCGACATCCAAAACTTCTTCAGTCTTGTCGTCTAATGTCATTTCAATCGTCGCTTCTTCCGCTTCGATTTCGACATCGACAGTATCGTGTTCGTCGACCGAAACGTTGATTTCAGTTTTTTCTTCAACTTCAGTTTCTGATTGAATGACGACTGCTTCGATTTGCTCTTCCGGTGCCCGTTGAGATTTCGCTACAAATTGTGAAGATGTTTCTGATGTTTCGGTTGTGATTTGAGCTGCCAGATCGCCGCTGATTGCCAGAGTTGAACTCTCGAAGGAATCCGAAGAAGCCTCCTCGATGAAATCCTGCTTTGATGTTGCCAATTGCAAGAGAGCAGAGGAATTCGATTTGAGTTTTTCTTCGGCTTTGTCGTTCGAGTCGGGGTGTCCCATAACAGTCGTAGAGTCCTGTTCGCAGACATGTTCAAATGTCAAGGATGTCTCCTGAGAAGCTAAGGTGTTCGCTTGTGAACACTCGAGCTTCTCGGAACTGACTGATGACGCTACGAGATCTTCCATGGGACAAGCTAAAATCTGATTGGTCGCTGCTTCCGCTGACCGATAGACTTCTGAGCTTACTGTAGGCTGGCTGGTTAACCCGGTAGACAAGGCGTGTGGCGCTGATGGCGATTCCATCAGCGGCGCTGGCAATAAAAAATGATCGGTTGATGCTCCCAACTGCTCCAAAACATCCACGTTTGCTTCCGTTATTCTGTAATTGACAGTCTCTGTTGATACTAACGAAACCTCTTCATCAAACGATTCTTGATGAACTGAAACTTCTATCGATCCCGGTTTCGGCTGCTCGCCCGTTTCGTCTGTTATTATATGTAATGATATCTCCTCGGTTCCCAATTCCTCGCCTTCTATAGACCCAACTTCGACGTTGATCACATCATTTCTCTGCTGTTCCTCGCCAACAATGATTTCGGTTTCGCCGAGAGCAGCTCGAGATTCCTCTGAAACGATAACTTGATAGTGTTCCAACTCAGCTTCGCTCGAGGACGATTTTTCACCAGTCGAAGATCCTTCGCTGATAATGGATTCAGTTTCGCTATCAACTTCAACTGTTTCCTTGAAGTTCTCTCTCGTTTCCTGGAATTCCTCTGTGATCATCTCGCGGTGATGCTTAACATGTTCGGATTCTATGATTTCGGTCGAATCAATTACGACGTTCTCTTCTGAAGTCTCCTTGACTATGCACGAGATTTCAGCTATATCTTCGCTTTCTGTAACTTCACTGGTTTCGATTTGCACTTTGGACATTTCTGGTTTACTTTCTTCGTCATTATAAACCAAAATGTCAAATTGAGATTGCTTCTCTTCAGCTGAGACCAACACTTTCAGTTCAGTTTCTTCCAGCTCTTCGTATTTTTCCTCGTCAATCTCTATACCGATGTTCACTTTGCTCTCAGGAACGTTCGAAGAATCTTCAGATGATATTTCGAACTTTTCACTCTCGTGGTCTTCAATAACATTGACTGTTAGCATGAGTTCACTTCCAGTGCTGTCGGTATCTGAAACATCTTTGATCTCTTCGGTTTCAATTTTGACTATTTGCATTTTTTCCAAAGTTTCAGCGTGTTCTGAAACCTTAACTTCCATGAACTCTTCTCGACTCTCCTCAGTTTTTGACACAACTTCGTACATTTGTTCGTCGATGGCTTCTCGAGTATCAACTGAGAACTTGATTTCGTCAAACTGGAAGTCGGTCGCATCTTCGGTTTTTTCTTCTGAGATTGCGATCGAGTACAGTTTCTCCTGTACAAAATCGTCGACAGCTTGTCCAACAATGACTGAGACCATGTCATTCAAGATATCCTCTTCAACTTTGACAGAGATGACTCCCTGCAACTCTTCAATTTGTTCTTCTTCGGCAGAAACGGTGCATACGTACTCATTGACTTCGGTGTCATCAAAACTTCGCTCAGACCCACTGTGTTCAGCCTCGTTGTGTTCCGTTTGCATCAAGATCTCCCATTCGGTAACATTTACTGGTCCCACAACGTCTTTGAAGTCCTCAAACTCTTCCTTGGGAGCCTCAAGTACCAATGATTGCAGTGACTCTGAAGACTCGAGATCAATTTCTTCAGTCTCGCTTCCTGCCTTCACCAACTCGGGACTCTTAACTCGGTCCCAGTCGGTTTTGAGTTCTACTTTTTCGAGTGTTTTTGACTCGACCACTTCATCAACGGTCTCATCGACCTCAACTTCAACTTCGGTTTCATCTTCTTCTGTAATTTCAACGTCGAAATCTTGTTTCATGTACAATTCCGAAATTTGCATTTCTTTGCTTTTGATAATCTGAGGTGCAAACTTCTTGCCTTCAAAGACCTCCTTCTGTTCGGTAACTTCAACGCAGTAAATGGGGGCAAAGTCTGAAGCAAACTCGCCCAAAACCCCTTCGTCGAAAAAGATGTCTTCGCCGTCCAGTTTAGTTAGATCTGGCAACTTCCAGACGGTAGGAGTTTCCACTTTTTTCGTCTTAGAAGGTTCAATTTCTTCGTCAATTTCCTCCTCATCTTCATTTTCATCAACTTGAACTTTAGTTTCGTCTTCCTGTTCAACGGAAATCTCAAAATCTTGATTTGAGTAGAGCTCAGATATTTGAAAACCTTTGCTTTTGATGATTTGAGGGACAAACTTGTCGCTTTCACAGAAGTCTCTTTGCTCTATCTCCACGCCACAATTGATAGGAGAAAAGTCAAGAGCAAACTCTCCCAAAAAATCTTCGTCGAAATAAATATCTTCCCCGTCTAATTTGGTCAGATCTGGTAGCTTCCAACCTGTTGGAGTTTCGACCTTCTTTGACTTAGAAGGCTGTAATTCTTCGTCAATTTCCTCGTCTTCATCTTCGTCTTTGGGCTTAAACTCTACAGCCTCATCCGATATCTCAAACTGCACGCCAATGGAGTCATAAGTTTCAGAAACTTGGAGTTCGGCGCTTTTTCTGATCGGAAGCTTAGTTTCCTCTGAAGCCAAAACATAATGTTGAGCCTCTTCTGAAACTTTTGAGGTATCTTCAGTGAAACCTTCTAAGCTTAATACTTGGTCTTGATCAACATTTTCGTTAGTTTGACTACAAATATTTTCAGCCAGCTCGGAATCGTTCATTGCAAATTCATCAGGAACGAAATCTTGCTCCGATTCTACAGGAACCAAATCTCCCATTATCGCTATGAACTCTTCCTCATTTTGTTCTTCCTTTTCAACGGCAGTTACCACATTCAAATCTGAGTCAGCAAGGTCGAAAACGTTCAAAACTGTCTCCTCGGACGTTTTCTCACTTGATAGATCTTCAGTGCTTGCAAGAGAGCCGATAGATATTGTTTCAAGCACCATATCGGCTTGATTTTCAGCTAAATCTGTCTCGTGCGAAGTCATTTCAGACGCAATTTCAGACACTTCTGGCTGGTCAGCGACCTCATCGGCGAGTTCAGAAACGTCTTCTTTCTCAACTGTTTCGTCAAATTCGGACACCTTATTTTCAGTTAACTCTGTCTCGTGAGAAGTCATTTCAGATGCAGCTTCGGAACTCTCTGGCTGATCAGCGACCTCGTCGGCGAGTTCAGAAACGTCTTCTTTCTCAACAGTTTCGTCAAATTCTGACACCTTGTTTTCAGCCAACTCTATCTCGTGAGAAGTCATTTCAGATGCAACTTCGGAACTCTCTGGCTGATCAGCGACCTCGTCGGCAAGTTCAGAAACGTCTTCTTTCTCAATCGTTTCGTCAAATTCTGATACCTTGTTTTCAACTAACTCTGTCTCGTGAGAAGTCATTTCAGATGCAATTTCGGAACTCTCTGGCTGATCAGCGACCTCGTCGGCAAGTTCAGAAACGTCTTCTTTCTCAACAGTTTCGTCAAATTCTGACACCTTGTTTTCAGCCAACTCTATCTCGTGAGAAGTCATTTCAGATGCAACTTCGGAACTCTCTGGCTGATCAGCGACCTCGTCGGCAAGTTCAGAAACGTCTTCTTTCTCAATCGTTTCGTCAAATTCTGACACCTTGCTTTCAGCCAACTCTATCTCGTGAGAAGTCATTTCAGATGCAACTTCGGAACTCTCTGGCTGATCAGCAACCTCGTCGGCAAGTTCAGAAACGTCTTCTTTCTCAACCGTTTCGTCAAATTCTGAAACCTTGTTTTCAGCTAACTCTGTCTTGTGAGAAGTCATTTCAGATGCAATTTCGGAACTCCCTGGCTGGTCAGCAATCTCTTCCGCTATTTCATGGACGTATTCTTTAGCGATAGTCTCGTCGACTTCCAAAACTTTGTTCTCTATTAAACCTGTTTCGTGAGACGACACTTCAAACGGGATTTCTGATACATCTGTTTCCTCAGTTGATTCAGCGGCAATTTCAGATGTCTCATCTTTTTCTATGGCTTCTAAGGTCAAACATGTTTCATTTTCAGCGACAAAACTATCATGTGATTTCATTTCAGAGTCAAAAATTGAGCTAGAAACCTCTTGTGAGACTTCGGAGTCAAATTGGTCCACGTCTTCAACAGAAGTGGATTCATTTGAGACTGACAACATACATTCAGAAATCTTCGATTCGTTTTCTTGCAGCTCAGAATCTATCTGAGAGATCTCAACGCTCGATTCTTCACTCTCTTCAAACTTATTAACACTTTCGCGTTCAATCTCCTCTGTTGTGAGCGATATTTGAATCTCTGAGTTTTTAAATTCCTCAGTAGTTTGACATTCTTCCATAATTTGTTGGAACTCAGGAGTTGTCGCGTCTTCCACAATTAATTCTTCGACTTGGTCTGCCTTCTGGTCCTCGGCGACTTCGGTTAACATGTTTACGTGAAGAGTCTCGAGGGAATCTTCTTCCACTTTCTCAGTTTCCATTGCAACATTCACAAACTCTGCAGATTCTGACATCACAGCTTGAGTTTCTTCGACGTCTAAATCAAACTCAACTTCGGGTGCCAGATTTTCTTCAAACTTGGAGTCACAAACGTCCTTTACTGTATCTGATACGGTAAACATATCCACCTTTTCCTCTGTATCATCTTCTACGTGCATTTCGAGGTATTCTTCGTCAATTTGCTCGTCAGTCGCAAAAACGTTTGACTCTTCCGTAATTTTCTGTGGTTTTTCTTCCACCGATTCGATCACTGATTCCAAAGGAGTGTCTTGAACCTCCAAAAGAGATTCTAGTTTCTCGTCCACTGCTTCCGTGGCGTGAGAGTAATTGAGCTCGATTGCTGAAAAGACAGAAACTTCCATTGGAGCTTCATAGTGTTCTGCTTCTGTGAAGTTTTCACGAGGAGTCGAAGGGGATAACTCATTGGCTTTCTCAATTACTGGAATAGAATCGTCAGCGTTTATTCCGAATAGAGTAAGCTGCTCAGCCTTTACGGATGGCGGCGACTCTGCGCGTCTCTCGGTGTCCAGGAGTCCTTGTGAAACCTCTTGGTGTTGTCCGTCGTCAGAATTTGTTTCATCCCATTCGACATAATCCATTCTCGACACACCCGCCGAAACAACAATGTTTGTCTCGGTTTTCTGAGCCGAGTAGGTTTCTGAGACATCCGAGATATCTGTCTGGTCTCGGATAAAAACCGAGTCACTATCGTCGGCAAGATCCCAACTCTGGAAAGCATCTTCGCCCATTGCAGTCGAAACTGTATTGGATTCGTTGATTGATTGGTACATTCCAAGTTCGTCGGTCTCAAAGACATCTGGCTGTTGACCAGCAAATGTCCAGTCACCTTGATTGCCTTCATGCCAGTCAACGTATGTGTCAACTGGAAGAGCTTTCAACATTGGCTGTTCTGGATACATGGGCGCGTTTAGATTTTCAAGGAAAACTTCCTCTTTGTAAGTCTGTCCTAGCATTTCATGGGTTTCAACGTTGTACATTAAATGAGATAAATCACTGCTCATTGATTCAGTGAAATTTCCTAGAGCTAAGCTTTGTTTGGTTTCATCAACCGAGAAGTTTGAAAGTTGGTCACCCATTTCTACATGAGCTGCCAAAAATATGGGTTCGACGTCATCTAAATCATTGTCAAACTCCCAATCATCTTGACGTTCGTCAGCAAATCCTGTCATAATGGATCTCTCTAGGATGCTCTTCTCGTTCAATCCAGATTCAAATCGGACGGAATCAGCTATAAAATGCTCAGCGTTATCTGCTTCAAAGATGGAGTCTAGGTTATCCCAGTCTTGTTCTAGGTTCCTCGAACGTCCTTGGACATCCGAGACATGTTTTTCAATGAGTTTTGCCGTGTTTGGTTCCCGACTCGATACGACTGCCGACATTCCTCGGTTTTCGACGAACTCCTTGGACAAGTCCCAATCATTGTCAAGCTGCTGCATCTGGGGTGCAAGGTAAAAATTGAAGCTGTCTTCAGTCTCGTCAGGAATAACACTGAGCTCGGCCGTGTAGAGTGCGAATCCCAAATCATTCTCAGCTTTGAGACAGTACTTCCCAGAATCTTCAACGCACACATCTACAATTGAGAGACACGCTACTTTAGTTCTTTCAAAATTGGCAACTGTGATCGTCTTTCGGAAATCTTCTTCAACCACTACGCCGTCTTTAAACCAAGTCACACATGTATCAGCTGTTGCCTCGATTTGGGCATCGAACTGAGCGACTTCGCCTGGTTTCGCTTCGACTCTTATCTCACTCTCTCCTACGAATCGCGGAGGCGTCGGAGCCTCGTCCACCGGAGATACTACCAGCTCTGAAACGTGTTCGGCAACTTCACCCGCGGGTCCGATCGCTTTGACTACATACTGACCGGCATCGGTTACTAAGACATCGTCAATTAAAAGTGTATAGACTAAATGTCTATCAAAGACAGAATATGTGGCATGAACTCTTTTGTCTTCATTGATGTTTCTCCCGTCTTTGTACCACGTGACTTTGGTGTCTGGATGAGCCTGGATTCTGACATCCATGACAGCTGTATGTCTTTCTGGAGTCCGTTCTGGCTCTTGTTCTACTGTCACCACAAAAACAGGCTTCATCAACTCCTTGGTCCACTCAGTGACACTGATATGACCAGTGGTTTGGTCTTCACCGACAGCGTTCCAAGTCTTCAAAGTGTACTCACCTATATCTTCCGGTTTGACATTTTCAACAACAAGAGTCGTGATGACGTTGTCATTGATTCGACTATCAGTAATCAAAGTTCTCTCATCTTCGACTATAGGCTGTTCGTTTCTGTACCACTGGAATTTAGTATCTCGTGGGCCTTGGATAGTTCCTGTAAGCTGTAGCGTGGACGCTTCGTTTATTCGCAGAGGCCAGGCTGGCTCTTCAACGATCGTCGGTGGGCGGACCTCGACTACTTGAATCGGTGCAGCTACTGTGACAACTTGTGACTCTGCGATCTCTTCTCGGAACTGGTAAGTTTCTTCATTTATGTGGAGCACATTCGTAAAATGAACTTCCTCACCCGTTACCGAAACAGCTCTTGCAACGTATTCACCAGTATCTTCGGGTGTCGGTTGCGCAATCACTAGAGAGCTATGAAGATGTTCATCTTGCTGGACCAATACTACTTTCTTTCTGAAATCTTCGTACACGGGTTTCCCGCCCTTATACCAAACAATCTTGGTGTCATCTCGGGCAACGAAAGTCGCATCGAGCTGCGCTTTGGTGTATTGAGGCAAGACAATTTCCCGCTTCGGTTTGCCAACAGGTCTCATTTCTTTAGCAAATTCGGTGACTTTCAGTTCGCTGCTTAATTCGCTAACACCTTCCTGGTTAATTGCTCTTACGGTGTAGCTTCCAGTATCCGTTTCGTCAGTATCAAAGATAATTAAACTCGAGTTTATTTTGTCCTCGTGGACATTCATTACGATCTTCCGTTTGTGGTCTTCATTGAATCGCTTACCATCCTTGTACCAGACTACTTTAGTATCCGGAGTTCCTCGTATCTGGAAGTCAATATGACTCGTCTGATTCGTATAAGATTTGACAACAGGTTGAGCGTTTTCAATCAGAGGAGCTACGTAAGGTCTAGTCCATTCAGTAACCTTGAGTTCTGTTGTATACTCCATTATCTTTCCATCTGGTGACGTTGCTTTGATCGTATATTGACCTTCATCTGCAACTGAGACATTTTTCAAATGAAGCGTCGAGTTGATTGACTCGTTGTCAATAGTGTAGTGGAACCGGGTTTTGAAGTCTTCATTAACTTCGTGGCCATCTTTGTACCAAATCAATTTTGTTTCTGGATGCGCATGAAGTTGCACGTCAAACTGCGTTGACCCATACTCTGTGACATGCTTCACGTACCTCGGTACCTGATTAAATTCAGGGTTGATCAAATGTGCGTCTCTGATGATGGGTGGAACTGAAATGTGTGCCGATCGTCGCACTGGCGGATTGCCTCCGGGTCGCTTAACCTTGCAAGTCCAGACTCCGGTGTCGCCAGGTTCAACATTTGAGATGAAAAGTGAAGAAGTTCGGTTCTCTCCGACGTAATCTGTGACAGTGAAAACTCTTCTCTTATCCTCGTAAATTCGGCTTCCATCCTTGTACCAAATCAATTCAGATCCAGAGGGGATGTTTTGCAGGCTGACATCTAGTTTTACTGGTCTGCCAGTTGTGACTGGCTCTGGTTTGACAGCTGATTTTCTCGATGCCGGTCGGATGACCTTCAATTCCGAGAAAAGTTTCGAAGTTTTCGGGGAGTCATTGTCAATCATATGCGTGTCTTCGTAAATTTTGTGCACATAAGTGCTCTTGTTCTGTTCGCTTCCCTTCTTCGGTTTGTATTCGAATTTGTTTAGACTTAATGTTGACTCATACTGTACAGTTCCTCGTGGGTTCTGTGCTTGTACTTTGTACTTGCCTTCATCGTGAGCAGTGACATTCATAATGTCGAGTGTCGATTTATGTTCGGAATCAATAACCGAAAGAGTGACTCGCTTTCGGCTATCTTCGCCAATCTGCTTACCGTCTTGGTACCAAACAACACTGGTATCTTCGGTCGATTCGAAAGATATCTCAGAGTGAACTTGTTTCTTCTCCAAGTAAGGATGCATAGGCGTCGCTTTATTGATTTTGGGGATTGCGGGTGTCCCCAGTTCCCGAAGAGTGGATGGCGGCTCGCTTCCCCAGTTTGGTCGGGAGCGATTATCTATTTGAGATGGGTCCACTTTCACTGATGATTTCATGTGGCATTCTCCGTTCTGATTAACCGCGCGGCACAGGTAGGTTCCGGCGTCTGAGAAATCTGCGTCGCGAATGATCAAATTGCACGTCAGGTGATCACTTTGTACACTATACACTGTACTGTGTTTGTAGTCGTCTCTGATTCGCTTTCCGTTTCGGTACCACACAACTTTCGTGTTGGGTGTCTTGGATATTTTAGCGGGTAGAACAATTTGTTGTCCTTTCTCAACTCTGTTTAGGTAAGGCGTCTCCACCAAAAATCTTGGTGGCATTGTGAGCTCTCTTCGGTCGGATAATTTAAGCATTGAAGTCTTTTTCGGCAAGTTTAGACTACTCGG